CTCACCCACAAGTGAACCTTCTCCTGGACACTTCATACCACACACCCTACCCATACTCCAACAGGACCGCACCACATTGGATGGGGTTCAAAGTAGGAGACAATCAACCTTAGAGGGAAATATTATATCATTTCAGTTCTGCTTTGGGGCAGGGATTGGGGTTCGGGATGGACACATCCGAAATATGGTGGTGAGAAAGGTGTTTGGATTGGGATTGCGTGTTTGACTATTAAATGCAATCACGTGAAACAGGCTGGCGTGGGGTCTGGCGGCGTGGCTATGGCGTGCGTCACGTTGCTCCCTTCTGGGAGAGAAGGACATGCGATCTCATATTGTTTTTTTTTTTTTTTAAGATGGTGGGATTGGTGTTTGACTATTAAATGCAATCAAGTTACTTGAGCTACTTTATACACTGTCACTGTCACTGTCCTCCCGTTGTCCATCGATTTGCTCGAGCGGGCCCAGTCATGCCTCCATTGTGACACCTGTTACTGTGTCTGGCATATTGAATTCGTCACGGGTAGCTTGCCAGGCTGTGCCGTGTAGGTGTGATACTCTCAGTACTTTATACAGTAAAAAAATTTGAATGAAACAATACATGTATGATGGGACTGGAGCAATAGGACAGCGGGGAGGGCCTTGCATGCATCTTACCAAGGTTCAGGCCCCGGCATCCCCTAGGGCCGCCTGAGCACTGTCAGGAGTGAGCCTTGAGCACAGAGCCAGGAGTGAGCCCTGAGCACTGCCAGTTGTGGCTCCCAAAGCAATAAACCCATAAATAAAGGAAATATTTTCTCTCTGGTGGGAGGATAGCTCAGGGAGCAGTGCACCAGTTCAGCTCACAGGAGACCCAGGTTCGATCTCCGGCCCCTCCTATTCCCCAAGCACTTTCTGCAGCAATTCCCTGAGTCCAAAGCTGGTTATAGCCCTTAAGCACCCCTGTTTCCGCGTCCCAAACCACAAACAAACAAAAAGAATAAAAATTGTTCTAGGGACTGGAGCGATAGCACAGCGAGTAAGGCGTTTGCCTTGCACGCAGACAACATGACCGACACAGGTTCGATTCCCAGCATCCCACATGCTCCCCCGAGCACCGCCAGGAGCAATTCCTGAGTGCATGAGCCAGGAGTAACCCCTGAGCGTCGCCGGGTGTGACCCAAAAAGAAAAAAAAATTGTTCTATTTTCTTTCTTATTATGCTTTGGCTCTGGAGGCCAAACTTGGGGTTCTCAGGGAGCCACAGATCAAAACTGCCTCCCACATGAAGACCCAACACGCCTGCCTTTTTTTTTCTTTTTGGGTCACACCCGGCAATGCACAGGGGTTACTCCTGGCTCTGCGCTCAGGAATTATCCCTGGCAGTGCTCAGGGGATCACATGGGATGCTGGGAATCGAACCTGGGTAGGCCGTGTGCAATGCAAACGCCCTACCCACTGTGCTATCGCTCCAGCCCCCATGCCTGCCCTTTGAACCTTCTCCCCAACCTTAATTAATTTGGGGGTGCCAGAGTGAGAGCACAGCAGATAAGGTGCTGGCCTTGCCGGAAGCTGAGTCAGGTTTGATCCCCGACACCCTCGAGAGTCCCCTAAGCCCTGCCAGGAGTGAGCTCTGAGCACAGAGTCAAGACTCTGAGCACATAGCAGTACTCCTACATTAAAAAAAAAAGACTCTGAGCACTGCCGGGTGTGTCCCCAAATCAAAACAAAACTAATTAATTGGGGAGGGTGTCACACCCAGCACTGCTCAGGGCTGTTTCCTGTCTTTGTGCTCAGGAATCACTTGGGGTGGGGCTCTGGGGACCCACGGGGTGCCAGGGATCAAACCTGAATCAGCCATCTGCAAGGCAAGCACCTTCCCCGCAATCGGCTTTTTGGGTTTGGTTTGGTTTTAGAACCTCCTTCGACATTGCTCAGGGCTGACTCCTGACTCTGCACTCAAGAATCACTCCTGGCGGTGCTCTGGGGACCCTACGGGATGCGGGCGGGGGGCAGGGGAGTCGAACCCAGGTTGGCTCGTGTAAGCAAGTACCTTCCCCTGCTACAGACGCTCCTCCCCACCCCATCAACATTCTATAATGCAGACGTCCTTGGCAGGAGAGCTGGCATGTGGATGGGGGTCTAACTGGGCATGGAGTCTGTGTGTAAAATCACATCCTTTCTCCAGATGCTCCTGTCCAAGAAGGAAGAGGAGGAGGGGGGAGGAACAGACGCCCAAGAGCACCTGGCTTCCTGAGAGTCATAAATGGGGCTGAGGGGAGACAGAGAACAGTCCAGAAGTCAAACTTCATCCACTGACCCACCCTCAGCGCCTTCCCCTGGAAGGTGCATTGGCAGCAAAGCCTCCGGGTAAACATTCCGCTGGGCAGCAGTGCGGATGCTGGGCCAAAGCAAGCAGCAAGGAAACGGGGAGTGAGCCGAGCACTGGGCCGGCTCCTGAGCCGAGCAGCGGGTCTGGCTGGCCCTGTGCGATTTCTGTGGCCCCGGGGGACTGGATCCTTCTCCCTGGGGGTGATCTTGGGCCATGTGGGGGACGCTGAGCCACCTCCTGGTCTCCACCTCTCGGAATCTCTCCCCTGCCACCCCTCAGATGCCTCCCAGGCAGCCCCAGAGTGAGTGTCATCTCAACGACAATTTTTGTTTTGTGAAGGGGGAGTGGGGCCCAACTCAGTGCTCAGGGGTACTCCCAATTTAGTGCTCGGTGGTGGCTCCTGACTCAGTGCTCAGGATTCTTGCAGTGGATGCTGGGGATTGAGCCCGAATCTCCCAAATGCAAAGTGTCTGCTCTGCCTGTTGCTCTTTCTCTCCAGGCCCTCTCCTCTCTGCTTGTTTCTTTTGGGGGGCCCACATCTATGCTGAGAACAACTCTCAGTGCAGTGCTCAGGCAGTCCTGGGGATCAAACCCAAGCCTCCTGTCTGCAGAGTCTGTGCTCCAGCCTGTTGAGACATCTCTCTGGCCCTCAGGGGGAGGGAGTCTAGGTAGTGCTCAGGGGTGACTCCTAGTTCTGTGCTCAGGGACCAGTCAACCATTTGAGGGATCAGGGATCGAACCCAGGTGGGACACGTGTGAGGCGAGTGCCCTCTCTGCTGTCCTATCTCTCCAGCTCTGAGAAGACGTCTTCAAGAAGGCTGTCAGCCAAGCACCCAGCGTTACACCTCACACCTTGCAACTATACATTTATTCAGGGCAGAGAGACACAAAAGTAGGGAGGGTGCTCTCCTCTGTACTCAGCAACCCAAGTTCGAGCCCCAGCATCTCTTATTCCAAGCACGCCAGGAGTAATTCTTAAGCACAGAGCCAGAAGTAACCCCTGAGCATCTCCAGATGTGGCACACCCTCAAAAAAAAAAAAAAAGATCTATCCACTAAACTCCTCAAACCAATAATCAAGATGCTCTACATCCAGTCCTTCCTGCCCTCACACTCCAGCCCTCCTCCACTTGTTCCTTTGCCTCAGCCTCCTTGCTTTTCTTTCCACGGAGGACCAGGCCCCCTCCTGCCCCAGGACCTTTGCACAGGCTGTTCTCCAGGCTAGTTTCCGTAAAGTTGCTCCTGGTTGACTCTCATGTTCCGTGATTGACCACCAGTGTCACCTTCTTGGAACCCCTTTGCCCAGAGTTGCCTTGGTTTCTTCTGCTCTGGGTCCTTGTTCTTGTGTGCAATTTGGATTTGGGAGTGCTGGGGTTGGAGTCATACCCAGTGTGAGGCTTAGGGGCTATTCCAGGCTCTGTGCTCAGGGGTCACGCCTGGCCATGCTCAGGGGACCATGCGGTGCTAGGGACAGAACCTGGATGACTGTGTGCAAGGCAAGTGTTTTTACCCCTGACTGAACCCCACCCCCAGCAATAATCTGCAAGTTGTCCCTGAGCACTGCCATATGTGACCCCCAAGACTAGAAATCTGGGGGGGGGGCAGAGAAATTTCACAATGGGCCGCACGTGGGTTTCACGTGCGAGAGACCCAGGTTCCGCCCTTGGCACTGCCCAATCCCCTAACCTCTTCCAAATAACCCTGTGGAGCGCTGAGCTGGTAGTAATCTTCCTGTACCATTCCTCCCACTCCCCAACAAAAACAAAGCGAGGACAAACGGCTTGATGTGGAAACAAGCGGATATATATTTGGAAACAATGTGGAAACAAACTATAAACTATGTATTTGCCCGATAAACTAGCGGCCCCTGATTCTAGCGCTGAGGAGGCTGGTTATGGTCCTGGAGTCACTCAGGGCTGCGCTTTGATCCCCACTTCCAGCACCTTTGAGCCTGGACCCCCGCCCCCAGCACTGCTTGGGAGCCCCTTTTAAAAAAGATTTAAGGGGCCGGACTGATAGTACAGCGGGTAGGGCGTTTGTCTTGCACGCAGTCGACCTGGGTTCCATCCCCCGCATCCCATATGGTCCCCCAAGCACCGCCAGGAGTAATTCCTGAGTGCGGAGCCAGGAGGAACCCCTGAGCACCGCTGGGTGTGACCCAAAAAGAAAAAAGGGAAAAAAAAAAAACAAGATTTAAAAGGTCTAGACGGCACATGAAGGACAAGGCCTCGTGGGTGGGGGAAATGCTTATAGGATGGAGGGGGGCTCCCCCAAAGACTTGAACTGGTCCCCTTGGAAATGTGCGCGGAGGGCGAGGACCAGTCAGAGGGGATCCCTGGAGGATCTCGGGAAGCTGGATCCCAAGGACGACAACACCGCCGCGGAGACACAGTCCCGGAAAGTAGGGGAGAGGTCATGGCAGAGCTGGGGCGCCCCAGACTTCGGCCTTTGCTCCGGGCGACTGGAAAAGTATAAAGCGGGGAGGGGGGGTGGCGAGAACCACCACACGCACACACAAAAAAACAGCGTGATAACGGGTTCCCCGCCCCTCCCCTAGTGCGCCTGCCTCTCATTGGCTCGACTGCCTGTCCGTCTTCCGTCTCCACCAATCATCTTCCAGGCAGAGGTCTAGGCCCTCCCCGGGAGTATTTTAGCACCTTTTGCGGGTGGTGACCCAGTTCCCGAGACCAGCCCGCAACCCTGGTGGTGGGGGCTGGACCTGCTGCTGCCCAGAGCCGAGATGCAGACGGCGCTGGAGCCTGAGGTGACCGAGCTCTTGCATGGGGACACGGTGGTGGAAAAGGTTAGTCCCGGGCGGTCTTGGGGGGTGGCAGGAGAGACTGGAGGCTACGAAGCACCCCCCTTGCACAGGTGGGAACAATGAGGTCCATGGAGAGTACGCGAACTTGTAGAGCCAGAGACATAGAACAGCAGCTCGAACGTCTGCCTGACGCAACTTAGCCGGGTTTGATCTCCAGCATCCCTTAGGGTGCCCCCCGAGCACCGCCAGAAGTGCTCCCTGAGCACAGAACCGGAGTCCCGCCGGGTGTGGCCCTCAAATCCCACCAAAGAAAATTGATCAAACTTGCAGCCCAGCCCCCACCTGTCCCCTACCTGGGACAGGTTGAAAATACGAAAAGAAGGGCCAAAATTGTAGCATAGCAGGGAGAGCCCTTGCCAATATGGTTTCGATCCCCAGCGTCCCATAGGGTCCCTGAACCCCACCAGGAGTGAGCCCTGAGCACAGAGCCAGGAGTCAGCCCTGAACACCACCGGGTGTGGCCCCAAAACCAAAACCAAAACACACACACACACACACACACACACACACATAAGCAAAAAAGTTTGTTGAATCAGCGAAGTGGGTGGAATCCCCTGGTGTCACTTTGGCACCTGGTACAGAAATGGAGGAACTTAGGAACGTGATCTCTTGCTCCAGAGGGAGGCGCTGGGAAGGTGCTGGCCTGCACATCTTGTGAGCCGGGTTCGATGGCCGGCACCCCACAAGGTCCGCTGAGCACCACCAGGAGTGATCCCTGAGCACTGCTAAATGAGCCCTCCACCCAAAGGGGGGGGGGAAGGAAACAAGAAACGATTTCTTTCCCTTTGGGTCAGCCCGTTTATAGGGATCTGGAAACAGGCACAGCAGGCTGTGGGGCAGGAGCGGGCAGCCCTCACTCCGTCCCTTCCTCACCCCAGATGGCCAGTTCCCTTTGCCCCCTGGGGCCCCTGGACAGCCTGGAGCTCCTGGACCTGCTGTTCGACGGTCAGGACGGGATCCTGAGGCACATGGAGATGGGCACAGACTGGAGACACACTGAGGAACAGGTATGGCTGTGCATCCCCTCAGCTCCGGCCTGGGGTTCAGCGTCCCCCCGGGGCTCCGTCTTAGACAAGCATGTTCCCTGTGAGGCTTCTGCCCTGACCCCCCAAGAGGCGAGTGGTGAGCGGCAGAGGGAACAAAGTTGCCCCGAGACGGGCAGTAACTTGGCTGGGGCCACACAGCAGTTTGAACTCGAGTCCAAACTCGAGTTCCGGAGCTGGAGAGATAATACAGGGGTGAAGGTGCGGGTTGTGCCTGTTTTTTTTTTTTCCTCTTTCTTTTCTTTTTTTTTTTTTTTTTTTTGCTTTTTGGGTCACACCTGGCGATGCTCAGGGGCGACTCCTGGCTCTGCACTCAGGAATCACTCCTGGCAGTGCTTGGGAGACCCCCTGGGATGCCCGGGATCGAACCTGGGTTGGCCGCGTGCAAGGCAAATGTCCTCTCCGCCATTCTATTGCTCTGGCCCCTGTGCCTGGCTTCAACTGGTCCCACATGATGTCTCCAAGCACAGAGTCCGAAGTAGGCCACCACCCCCCCCCCAAAAAAACACAAAAGGTGGCCAGAGTGAGAGTGCAATGGGCAGAGCATTTGCCTTGCATGCAGACAACTTGGGACCCATCCCTGGGATACTGCAGGGTCCCCTGAGCAGCGTCAGGAGTGATCCCCGAGTACAGAGCCAGGGGTGACCCTGAGCATCACCAGGTGTGGCCCCAAAAAACAAACAAAAAAAGAAAGAAAGAAAAGGAAAGGAAAAGATAAAAAGAGTGAAAAGGTCCAGGGAGGGTGCTTGGTTTTCCCAAGTCACACAGCACCAGGCAACCGTCTCCCGCTGCCCCTCTGGCCCCAGCAGGTGCTGCCTTGCCCAGACTCTGACGATTTCCTCAACACCTTCCTGGGCTCCGGGCATTCGGCAACCAGCTCCCCGCAGTGGTCCCCCGCGGCCAGCGACAGTGGCATCTCTGAAGATCTGCCCTCCGATCCCCAAGACACCCCTCCGCGAAGTGGGTCCGCTGTCAACCCCTCCTACCGAGCTGCGCTCCCGGGCCCCTCCCGGCCGCCCGGGCCAGCGCCTTCCCCGCACGAGGCCTCTGTGGCCATTGACCTGGGTGAGTGCTCGCGGCCCCTTCGAGGGGTTCATGGTCAGAACCTCTTGAGACTGAGCCTCCCCCACATTTCCTAACCCCCCCCGCCCCCCCTTGTGAGGCCCAGCTGGGAGCCGCCAAAGCCAGGAGCAGCCTGGGGGGAGGGGGAGCAGGCCGGCTGCTCAGAGGAGATAACACTAGGCCCAAACGACAGCACAGCAAGGAGGGCACCGGCCTTGCACATGACTGACCCAAGTTCGATCCCCGCCGGCCCACAGGGTCTCCGAGCCAGGAACAATTCCTGAGTGCAGAGCCAGGAGTCAGCCCTGAGCACCACCAGGTGTGGCCCGAACTTAAAAAAAAGAAAGTAAATAAAAATAAAAGGCGCCACAAATGAAGTAAAAAGGGTCACAGATGGGGCCGGAGTGCCAGGACCGCAGAGAGGGTCCTGGCCTTTCACGTGCTAAGCCGGGTTCGCTCCCCAGCGTCCCAGAGGGTCCCCCGATCCCCGCCAGGAGTTACCCCTGTGTACAGAGCAAAAGTGAGCCGAGAGTATCACTGACTGTGGCCCCAAAACAGAAAAAAAGAACACATCCCAGCAGGACCTTTGAGCTTGCCAAGGGGGATCATATCTTATGGTGCTCAGGGATACTCCAGGCTCTGTGCTCAGGGATGACTCCTGGCTCTGTGCTCAGGGATGACTCCTGAGATCTCTGGGGGCCCTGTGAGGTGCCGGGGATGGAGCCGGGTCTGCTGCCTGCACAGCCAGGTCCTGGGATGTCTGTAAACTCCAGAGGATGTGCTACGAGGAGTCACTCACTCGAGGCCACACAGCCCTGCCTCCCTCCCCAGAGTCAGGATGAGAATTCTGGGTACCCCATTCCGGGCTGCCCTGGACCTCACCTCCCTCCTCAGATGCCGCCCCCTTCTCTCCACTGCCCTGTCCCAGGGGGGTAACATTCTCCCTGCCGAGTGGACAGCGGCTCCCTTGTCCACTTCCTGATACGTCTGGGTTCCCATCTTCCAGCAGAGGGGACACCAACGTCCCCGCCACGGCTATCCACTTTCAAACCAGGCCTCCGGGGGCTCTAGGCTATGCCTCTTGAGCACTTGGAGTCCAACGGGGAGGCTGCCTGGAGGAGGCGGCAGTAGCAGGGAGGTCAGGGTTGCCCTCCTGACCCTCCCTGTTCCCGTCTCCATCCCCGCCGGCCCTGGTCAGAAATGTGGAGCCCGGAAGTGTACCCCGAGGAGCACGCAGAGCTGGCAGATGCATCCCCACGCTATAATCTCACTGTGAAGGACCTTCTCCTCTCTGGCAGTGGCGGGGACCCGGTGAGCGGGGGGACCCTGTGCACCCCACACACATACCCCAGAGCTGGGGCTCCAAAGAGTCTCATCCCGCGAGACTTGGACAGTTGAATCACACAGGGGGCTGGGGGGGTCAGTGAGGCCAAGCCCTGAGCTCCCTGTTCTCGTGGGCTGGGGTTTAGGAAGTTCCACGAGGGGGAACTGCAGGGAGGGCGTTTGCCTTGCACGTGACTGACCTGAGTTGGATCCCCAGAGCGCCCTGTCATCCCCTGAGCACAGTCAGGAGTCCGTTTTGAGCAGCGACACTTGGCACGGCCCCCCAAAACAAAGCAACAAGAAATGTGTGCCTCAGAGAAGTTGATCCACCAACCCAATGTCACACAGCCAGCAATTTTGTTTGAGGATCACACTCAGGGTGCTCTGGAGCAACTCCCTGCTCAGTGCTCTGGGGGACCCTGTGGTGCCAGACGTCAGACATGGGCTCCCACATGCAAAGGCTGACCTCTGGGCATTTTCTCCCACTCTTTCATTGCGACTCGAAGTCCAGTTTGTCTGACCTGGCAAGCTCCAGGCAGGACTGAAGTGCTCTCCCCAACAGGAAGACCGTGATTGGTGTAGACCCCTGGGAATGCAGGGGAAGACAGGCTGGAGGGGGTGGGATGTCATGGCAGAGCCAGGCAGGCTTCCTGGAGGAGGTGAAACTTCAGCAGGCCTGGAATTCTAGAGGAGGTGGGGTCAACTTTGGGGTTTTTGTTCGTTTGGGAGAGCCGCACTCTGCTGTGCTCAGGACTTACTCCCGCTTCTGCACTCAGGAATCACTCCTGGTGGAGCTCAGGGTTCCATTTGTTAGTGCTGGGGCTGGCACCTGTGCTAGACGCTTGCCAGGCAAACAGCCTCTCCACTGCGCTGTTGTTCCGGCCCCCATGGTCCACCCGGGGAATGAGAATGGGTTACCGTCCAGCAGGAGGGGAGAGAGCAAGAGGATGTGGCCAGGGACCAGATAAAAGTTAACAAATACATATATATATATATATTTGTTGTTGTTCGTTTGTTTCATTTTGTTTTGGGCCCACTCATGGCAGTGTTTAGGGGACCATCTGAGATGCTGGAGATTAAACCTGGTGAGCCGTGTACCAGGCAAGCCCCTTTTCTATTGTAATATATCTCTGGCACCTCAAAAAAACTTTTTTGGGGGGCACGCCCAACAGTGCTCAGCGTCACTCTTGGCTCTGCACTCAGGGATCACTCCTGGCAGTGCTGGGAAACCCTGTGGGAAGCAGGAGATTGAACCTGAGTTGGCTGCGTGCAAGATAAGCTCCCTCCCTGCTGTATTATTGCTCCGCCCTCCACCCCCAATTTTTTTGGGGGGTCCACACCCAGTGGTGCTCAGATCTTACTCCTGGTTCTGTGCCGAAGGGTCCTGAGGGACCATAAAGGATGCTGAAGATCAAAACCCAGGTCGGCCATATTTTAGGCAAGTGCCTTCCCCACAGTCCTATTGCCCCCCTTTTTTAAATTTTTGGGTCACACCCGGCGATGCTCAGGGGCTACTCCTGGCTCTGCACAGTGGCCACATGGGGTGCCGGGGACTCAAACCAGGGTTGGCTCCGTGCAAGGCAGATGCCCCTTGTTGCCCTTTTAAGCCTCTACAGAAGCCGGGATTCTTCCCTGGGTGCTGATGTGGATTTTGTGTTCGATCCCGGGCACGGCCAGGTCCCCAGGCATCCTGGAAGTGACCCCCAGCCCCCAGAGATAGATCTTCAGCCTCCCAGGAATGGAATTTGGGGTCGGGGGAAGGGCTTGTGCCCTGCGTGCTGGAAGCTGGGTCGCATTGCGGGGTTCTCAGCTCGGGTGCCCCCTTAGCGTTTCCCAGGGGACCGCCTGCCCTCCCCGACGCCGCTGTCTCTCTCCCCGATTCTCCTGGCAGCAACAGCATCACCCCACAGCCCCTCACCTGCTGCGCCCCGGAAGTGGACACAGCCAGGAGCTGGTGTTGACGGAGGATGAGAAGAAGCTTCTCGCTAAAGAAGGAATCACGTTGCCCACCCAGCTCCCCCTTACTAAGGTGAGCTGGGATGGGGGATGCACGGGGTGGGGGTGAGGGCAACAATTCTTAATCTATTTCCCCGCAGCTGCCCTGAGGTTCCCTTCAGGGCTCAGGTATGTCTGGGTAAGTCGGTCACCTGGTAGGGAGCACCGCCCTCTGCCGTCCAGCGCGAGGTAGTGCAGGGGAAAGGCACTTGCACGCCGCGGAACCAGCATCGCCAGGCGTGCACCAATCTCTAAAATAATCAAAATAAATAAAAGCCTTCGGGCCGGAGCGATAGCACAGCGGGGAGGGCGCTTGCCTTGCACGCGGTGCCCGAAATACCATAGGGTCCACCGAGCACCATCAGGAGTGATCCCTGAGTGTAGAGTCAGGAGTAAGCCCTGAGCGTCGCCACGTGCAGCCCCCAATCCCACCCCAGACCCCAAAAAGCACTTTCCAGGCCAGCCGGGAGCTCAGCTGGGCTGAGGGACCTGGGACACCTACTTTTTCTTCTTTCTTTTATTGGCTTTGGGCCCACCGGCAGTGAGTCGAAAAGGTTATTTTATTCATGTGATTATTTATTATGATTTTGTTTGTTTGGGGGGGCACACCTGGCCGTGCTCAGGGGTTTTGACTCTGCATTCAGGGATCAGTTTTGGCAGGGTTTGGGCGCCTCTCGGGGCTGTGGGGGATTCAACCCTGGTCGACCACGTGCAAGACTAGCGCCCTCCCCGCTGGACTATCTCTCCTGGTCCAGGTTTTTTATTCTTGAAAAGTGCCGGGTGCACTACCATTTTTTTCTAGTTTGTGACCACTTGGAGAATGGGCTTCCCCTTCCCATGTTTCCATCCGCGCCCCCCAAATCACATACAACAGACAGAGGCTGAGGGTTGGTGTGGACGCCCTACACGGTGGCCCTCCCCAGCGGACCTGCTTTGCGGCGCCTTCGGCAAAACAGCCGTTGGACAGTGGCGGGACATTAGGATATTGGCGGGTGCTGGGGAAGAGATGGCCAGGAGGGGGCGCAGTGGCACCGCTGCGCCAGACACACCGCACACTTTTCCTAGAGATTGTGCAGAGTCAGCGAGCAGAGGGAAGCTGGTGTTTAATTCCTCAGGGCTCTGCCCCCCAGGTTCCCTGGGAAGAGGATGTTTTGAGCTTATTTGGGTTCAGGCCACAAAGCAGACAGACCTTCGAGACGCCCTCAACCGCCTCCCTCCGTGTGTGTGTGTCTATACCTGGCGGTATTCCGGGCTCTGCTCAGGAATCGCTCATGGTAGGGCTTGGGGGACCCGACTCAGGCCCCAACCTCCTCCCGCTTTTATTGGGCAGAATGAGGAGCGAGTGCTGAAAAAAATCCGCCGGAAAATCCGGAACAAGCAGTCTGCTCAAGAGAGCCGAAAGAAGAAAAAGGAATATATTGATGGCCTGGAGACCCGGTAAGGGTTGTGGACCATAAGTGTTGTGTGTGTGTGTGTGTGTGTGTGTGTGTGTGTGTGTGTGCGCGCGCGCGAAGGGGGGGGAGTACCATACGTGAGGAAGTTTGAAGCCCAGAGAGAGGGGTGCAATGTGACTAAGCTCAGGGTGTTTAGGGGCTGTCAAAATGTTTGTTTTGCTATCTGTCTCACTCTCTGAGATGTTTTACATGAATTGCAAGAGTGTAAAGATACCCAAAGTCCTGTGAGGGTTTGGAGAGAGGAGAGGGGTCCCTTGATCTTTGAGAAGGTTCCAGATGGACAACACAGAGTGAAAGTGAGAATTTAAAACTAAAGAATTTAGGGCCTGAGGGCCCAGAACAAGAGTCCAGAGTTGGATGGGTGCTGGCTTTGCATGCGATTGACCCAAGTTCAAACTCCAGCACCCCGGATGGCCCCCTCAGCCTGCCAAGAGTGATCACTGAGCACAGACACAGGAGTAAACCCTGAGCACAGCTGGGTCTGGCAACAAAATAAATTTTAAAAATTTAAATGTTCAGCGGGTAGGGCGTTTGCCTTGCCTGTACGTGGCCAACCTGGGTTTGATTCCCAGCATCCCATATGGTCCCCCGAGCACTGCCAGGAGTAATTCCTGAGTGCAGAGCAAGGAGGAACCCATGAGCATCGCTGGATGTGATCGAAAAAGCCACTGCTCTGTAGCACTGTCCTCCTGTTGTTCATCGACTTGCTAGAGCGGGCACCAGTAATGTCTCCACTGTGAGGCTTGTTGTTGCTGTTTTTGGCATATCAAATATGCATGGGTAGCTTCCCAGGCTCTGCCATTTGGGTGGAATACTCTCAGTAGCTTGCCAGGCTCTCCGAGAGGGACAGAGGAATCGAACCTGGGTTGGCCGCGTGCAAGGCAAATGCCCTACCCACTGTGCTATCACTCCAGCCCCTCCATTTTACTTCACTTTGTGATTTATTTTTGGTTTGGCGGCCACCCCAGAGGTACTCAGAAGTTACTCCTGGCTCTGTGCTCAGGGATCCCTCCTAGCAGTGCTTAGGGGAAAGCTTTGGGATGCCAGGGCTCAAAGCCGTGTGCCAGGTAAATGCCCTCCCCGTTGTGTTATGGTTCCAGCCCCTAATGTCTCTTTTTTTTTTTTTAATATGAGATGAGCTGGTGTGACAGCACAGCAAGGAGGGCGTTTGCTTTGCAACCGGTCAACCCAATTCAATCTCTGGCATCCCACAGGGTTTCCTGAGTACCACCAGGAGTAATTCCTGACAGCAGAGCCAGGAGGAACCTCTGAGCATTGCTGGCGTGACCCAAAAAGCCAAAAATAAATAAATAAAATAGAAGTATGGGGCCAAAGAGATAGTACAGAACATTTAAAAAAAATTTTGGCTTTTTGGGGGGCTGGAGCGATAGCACAGTGGGTAGGGCATTTGCCTTGCACACGGCCAACCCAGGTTCGATTCCTCTGTCCCTCTCGGAGAGCCTGGCAAGCTACTGAGAGTATTCCACCCAAATGGCAGAGCCTGGGAAGCTACCCATGCATATTTGATATGCCAAAAACAGTAACAACGAGCCTCACAGTGGAGACATTACTGGTGCCCGCTCTAGCAAATCGATGAACAACAGGAGGACAGTGCTACTGCGCAGTGTAGCACTGTCCTCCTGACCCAGGTTCGATTCCCAGCATCCCATATGGCCCCCCGAGCACCGCCAGGAATAATTCCTGAGTGCAGAGCCAGGAGTAACCCCTGTGCATTGCCGGGAGTGACCCAAAAAGAAAAAAAAAAAGAAGTAAAATGGAGACATCACAGATGGGACAGCATGACGTGATTCAGAGGCATGGTCTGCCCGAAATTTCTGCTCCTTCCGCATCTTTCCGGGACCTGACCCTTCACCTGCTCCTGGTGGGTTGATGAATGATGGTTCATGGCATTTTGTCCCTCCAGAATGTCCGCCTGCACGGCCCAGAACCAGGAACTTCAGAGGAAGGTCTTACACCTCGAGAAGCAGAACCTGTAAGTGTTGTCTCATTGAGGACAGAGGATGGGAGGAGGTGGCTCCTGGTGGCCCTAGTAGCAGGGAAGCCAAGCCTCAGCTGATGCTTCTTAGGGCTCCACTGAGAGGAGGGGATTTGGGGCTTTCAGGGTTGTAGAGGAGTTCACTGGGGTGAGTGAGGGTAGGAGTGGAGGGTATGTGCGGAATGTATTCTTAATGGTCAAAGGCTAGAAATACTGAGTGTAAAAAAACATAGTGGGGGGGGGCTGGAGAGTTAGCACAGCAGGTAGGCTGTTTGCCTTGCACACAGTCAACCCGGGTTCAATTCCCAGCATCCCGTATGGTCCCCCGAGCACCACCCGGAGTAATTCCTGAGTGCATGAGCCAGAGTAACCCCTGTGCATAGGCGGGTGTGACTCAAAAAGAAAAACAATAAAATAAAAACAACAACAAAAAAACTCACAGTGAGGGACTGGTGGGGAGCAAGGGCACTTCTTTGCACCCAGCCAACCCAGGTTCCCATAGGGTCTCCTGAGCACCACCAGGACTAATTCTTTTTTTTTTTTCCTTTTTGGGTCACACCCGGCAATGCACAGGGGTTCCTCCTGGCTCTGCACTCAGGAATCACTCCTGGCGGTGCTCAGGGGACCATATGGGATGCTGGGAATGGAACCTGGGTCGGCCGGGTGCAAGGCAAACGCCCTCCCCGCTATGCTATCGCTCCCGCTTCACCAGGACTAATTCTTGAGTGCAGAGTCAGGAGTAACCCCTGAGCATCGCCCTTGGGTAGCACTGTAGCACCGTCCTCCTATTCATCGATTTGATCGAGTGGGCACCCATAACGTCTCCATTGTGAGACTTGTTACTGTTTTTGGCATATTGAATATGCCACGAGGAGCTTGCCAGGCTCTGGCATGTGGGCGGGATACTCCCGGTAGCTTGCCAGGCTCTCCGAGAGAGGGACGGAGGAATCTAACCCGGGTTGGCCTCGTGCAAGGCAAACGCTCTACCCGCTGTGCTATCGCTCCACGCCACCGGCCCAGGGTGTGACCCAAAAAGAAAAGGAAAGAAAAGGCCTTCCTGGGGCTGCTGAGGAATGTGCGCTTTCAGGAGTCCGGGATGCAGGAGTGGGTACGGCCTCCAAGGTGGCGCCAGATGGGCTGTCTGTGCCTCTGGGGTGTTGATGGGATGGAGGCCGAGGAGGCGAGCCTGGGCTGGGGGGTGCCACAGGGCTTATAGAAGGAAGGAATCTAGCCCGCAGCCAAGCATGGGCACCACAAATGGGCTGGGAGCCAGATTCCTCTTCCGGGGGGGCTCAATCAAGGTTCCTGCCCCACACCAGGTCCCTTTTGGAGCAGCTGAAAAAGCTCCAGGCCACCGTCCTCCGGTCCACCGGCAAGTCAGCCCAGACCGGGACATGCATAGCGGTAAGTCTTGCACCTCAACTCCACGCCGCCCCCAAAACAAATTGGGGTCCTGGGTAGGCCTTGGAGGTGGGCGGGTGGGGAAGTTGTGGCGGCAGGGACTCAGCCCTGAGCCCCAGCTGAAGTATCATCCAGTGTCCTGGGGCTCAGTTCCCTGTAAGACGGGCATGCTCAGGGGAGGGGGACCCCACCCCGTCTCCCCCAGGTCCTGCTGCTCTCTTTCGCCCTCATCGTCCTCCCCTCCATCAGCCCCTTCACTTTCCACAAAGCCGAGAACCCCGGGGACTTCGCACCGGTCCGAGGTAGGTGAGCTGGGGGGTGCCACCCCCCTTTCCTTCAAAGCCCCTTCCCCCCACCCTGTGGGTCCACCTTATCCTAAACCCCCTGTTTCCCTCACGCTGGGTCTCGGGAAGGGGAATGTGTGTCTCGGGCCAGTCAGAGGGAAAGATATTCCAGACAAACAAACCCCCAAACAACAAACAGTATATATACAGGCTCCTGCAAATCTGGAACTTCACAGAGAAGAAAAATAGTGAAGGTGTGGAACGGAGGGAGAGAAGGTGGGGGGATGACACGGGAAGAGGTGAGGAGAGTAAATAAACACAGCAACAACATGCCCTGAGCAAGCACTGACCCTGGCTCAGAAGGGACAGCCTCTGCTAAGGTCCTGGGGCAGGAAAGCTAGTCTCTTGGCAGTGCATTTGCTCCCCAAGGCTCATCACTCATCACCCCCTTCCAGTTTTCTCCAGAACTCTGAACAACAACGCTGCATCCCGCGTGGCCCCGGACACTCTGCCAGGTTCAGAAGGCTCAGGAGACCTGCCCCAGGGGAGCACACCCCAGGAAGGGGCCCCAGGAAGTCCCAGGACGCACTGGGAACCCCAGGACTGGCTGGATCTGAGCAACTCAACTGAGCAGCTGAATAACTTGAGCCTGATGGCCGTTGAGTTCTTGGGGAGGCTGAATCTGGCCTTTCTGCTGGGCTGGGCCTCGCCTGAGCCCGCGCTGGGCCAGGGCCTTGTAGGGTTGGAGGCTGCGGTGGCAGGGGAGGAACTCTGAGCAGCACCCCTAGAACGCGCCCTCCTCTTCCCCCCACCTCGGGCCTTGCGGCTGGAAGGGCCAGCAGGCCTGGACATTGGAGGTGAGCCGGACAGACAGACAGACAGCGGAGAGGCCAGAATGGCGAGCCGAGCCCCGCCCCCCCCCCCCCCCCCGCGTTCGGGACTATGGGATGATCAGCCGCTTTGGGGGCGGGGGGACACTCGGCCTGAGAAACGGGTGGACCCCGAGGGCACACGCGCGCGCTGAGCTCCCGGCCTGGTGCTGGAGACGCCGCCTTTGCAAAAACGCCCCAATAAAAGGATTTTGGCACAAAAGACGTGGCGCGCTGGGGCGTGGGGCGGGGCTGAAGCTGCATCTGGAGGCGGCCGGGCCGGACAGCCCGGGGTGGCGGTTCCTCCCTCCGCCTGGTTGGAGCCGGGGTGCGGTACGCGTCTTCAGCACCTCGGAGAGCGGCAGGCGCGGGCCTCCCGGGGCCGGCTCAGGATCCGCGGCCGCCGGGAGCCCTTCAGGGGCTGTTCTGTGCAGGGGGTGGGGGTGCTGTTGGGACGGCTGTCTTCCCGGGGTCGCTGGGCGACCCCCGCTTGCTGCTTCTATCATAGAGAAAAAAGGTGCCACGGAAGGCAGCGGTAGTGTGTTGTGTGTAACTTCCATTGTGACTACTTGCGACCTTTTAGTTCCAGACAGTCCCGGAGGGAAGGCACTGTCGCACTGTCCTCCCGTTCGTTGTTCATCGATTTGCTCCAGTGGGCCCAGTAACGTCTCCATTGTGAGACTTGTTGTTACTGTGTTTGGCATATTGAATACGTGTCACGGGGAGCTTGCCAGGCTCTGCCCCGCGGGCGAGATACTCTCGGGAGCTTGCCTGGCTTTCCAGAGAGGCAAGGGCGGAGGAATTGAACCCTACTGGGCCGGTCTGGCGGCTTGCAATGCAAACGCCCTACCCCTACAGCTGTGCTATTGCTCCAGCCCGGCAGGAAGGCAGATGCTATAAAGCCAGCACATGGGGATGGAGAGATAGCACGGAGGGCCAGGTAGTCAACCTTGCAGGCAGCCGACCTGGGTTTGATGCCCGGCAGTCTATAGGGTCACCCAAGCCCTGCCAGAAACAATTCCTGAGTAACCCGGAGTAATCCTTGAGCATTGCAAGGTGTGGCCCCAAAACCAAACCAACCAACCAAAAAAAAAAAATCCCTTGCAAATAGGCATGCCATGGCAAACAGGGCTCCAGGATGCCAAGCTGTTGGCATCACCCTTATTTTTGCTTTTTAGGTCACACCCAGCGATGCTCAAAGGTTGCTCCTGGCTCTGCATTCAGGAGTTACTCCTGGCGTTGCTCAGGGGACCATATGGGATGCTGGGGATCAGACACGGGTTGGCTGCGTGCAAGGCAGATGCCCTACCCACTGTGCTATCACTCCAGCCCCTGGCATCGCCCTTCAAAGCCCCCAGGCTGTAACTCCAGGGTGCAGGGGTTCCCCCTCCCCCAGCCCCTCAGGGCACCAGAATTCCACAGACGATCGTGGCTTCGAATTAAAACCAGACTCAGGTGCAAGTTGTTTTTATTGCATTGAAGAAGTTTCTGGAAGCCATTGAGCCCATGTCCCTGTCTCTTTGGCTGCCAAAGGCAGTGCAAGCCTTGGGGGTCTGTCACCAAAGGAAGTCTGGATCCTTGAACTAGAGGGGGATTGTCTGGGGGGCCCTGCCTTCCTTCCCTCCCTGACAGGCCTTGAAAGGAGTTTGGGGGAGCAGTGTGGGGGCCCAGGGGAGCTGAGAAAGTGAAAGCCCTTGGGCAGGAAGTGACACCTTCCCCCGCCACTGCGCCTAGTTGGGGGGGAGGGGCAGGGCCTGGGGTCTCAGCTCCGGGAGGGAGGAGCCTCCCAGAGAGGCTTCTCAGCCCCATGGAGACCCTTAGAGCCAAAGAAAGAGATGCAGATTTCTGTGGTGTCTGAGGGGGAAGCCCAGCTCTCAGCACCCTGCATTGCCCTGCCCTGCGCCCTGGACAGATCCAAGTAACAAAATGAGAGCGAGAGCGGTAAGAAAAAAAAAAAAAAGAATTCAGGGTTTTTACAAAACAAAGTCCCACCCTCCCCGGAGCCCCTGGTCAGCTGGGGTCCACCTCAGCTTTCACCCTTTTGGGGGACCTCTGGGGGGCGGGGCTGTCCGGTCGCTCCCTTTTGGGGCTGGTGGGCCCCGAGCCGTTCTGATGCGCGCAGGGCGCAGCCTGGGGTTCTTGCTTGGGGCTGGCGGCGGAGGCGGGAGCTTCGTCCTTGGGCTCCAGTTTGGGGGCCGGCGGGCGGGGCAGCGGGGGGCAGCGCGCGCTCCACCACGTGGGGCCCGTCCCACGCGGGGATTTCCAGGCCCAGGTGCTTCATGAGCCGGCTCATGACCTCGTCCACGTAGCCGTGGATCCGCAGATCGGCCTGGCGGTCCTACAAGGCGTGGGGGAGGCCTTTAGCGGACGCAGGGGCGTGTGTTTGTCGGGGTGGGGGTGGCACGTGGGAGTCCTGGGCAGGGCCCCGAGAGGTCGGGGCTGGGCTCCGCAGCACTTACGTGCTTGGTGGGCTGCAGGTTGACGATGACCAGCCGGCCACCTCGGCGCTTAGTGGCCAAGGGTAGGTTCCCGCTAGGCCGGATTTGCAGGGACGTGCCCAGCGTGATGGACAGGTCTGCGTTCCTGGGGACAGAGGCAGAGTTGTCCTGGCCACACCCCAAGGGAGGGTCTCCGCAAGGCTCCTCCCCCAGGCCGCAGGGGCGTGGTCTCTGCAAGGCTCCTCCCTCAGGCTGGAGGGGTGGGTCTCTGCAGGGCTCCTCCCCCGGCTGCAGGGGTAGAGTTCATGCAGGACTCCTCCCCAGGCTGCAGTCATGCTGGGCTCTGTCTGAACCCCAAGCCCAGGGCCATGATGGGAAGGTGAGCTCTGTGAGGGCCCCCTCCTCCAGGAAGCCTCCCCTGCAACCTCCAGTGCTCCTGCACACCCCATCATCCCGGCCCCGGGCTGCTCTGGAGTTCGGACCTGCTGGCCTCATCAGCGAGAGTGAGGTCCCGGTCTGGCAGGGCATCTTCCCAGTCCAGAATGGTGTCTCTCAGCTCACCCCTGTGTTGGCAGGGTGGGGAGTTAGTCCACATGGCTCTCTGGGTGGGGGAGGGGCAGCTGCAGGCGGGGGTGGGGGTTTACTCACCTGCAGGCCCGCAGCCCCCGGGCCTTGGCCACAGTGCAGAGCCGGCCCGTGGCCTTGAGGCCCATACTGCCCACTACGGTGTCCCGGACGTACTGCCTGTGCCAGGAGCAGGGGAGGCGGGGTCAGGCCCATAAGCCCGCACCCAGCACCCAGGTCCCCATCCTGCAGTCCCACCTGTGTGGCTCTTGCTCTCTGGGGAGGGGTTGAGGGAGCCGTCTCCCCAGGAAGTGCGGGTTGCAGAAGAAGAATTCGAACCAGATCTGACACACATTCAGAATTCCAGAGGGATGAATGATTGACACTAGGCAATGATGGACAGGCCGGTGTCCTGCCCCCGGAGGCGGGATTAGCCAAAGCCCCGCCCCTAGGGGCGGTCTCTGTATTCCTCTGCATCCTCCACAGATGCCCCAACCCCCCTCAAGGCGTCCACCAACAAAACAGAGAAGGAAGAAGGAAAAGCAAACCATGGAAATGGTCCCCTGGGCCAAATACAGACTTCTCCCTCCTTTTCTTTTCTTTTTGGGTCACACCCGGCGATGCACAGGGGTTACTCCTGGCTCTGCACTCAGGAATCACTCCTGGCCGTGCTCAGGGGACCATATGGGATGCTGGGAATCGAACCCGGGTCGGCCGTGTGCAAGGCAGACGCCCTATCCGCTGTGCTATTGCTCCAGCCCCCTCCCTCCTTTTCTTATTGGGGGCGGGGTAGAGTTCCCAAGCAGTGTCAGGGGACAGGGTCACAGCGGTGATGTTCAGGGGCTATGCCACGCTGGGGTGAAACTAGGGCTGCACACATGCGCAGAGAGCATGCTCTTCTGATTCCTGCGCGATCTCCTTGGCCTCGCCCCCTGCCTTTGTCAATAAAGTTTTATTGGTACCCGCTGTGTGTGGACATGGGGGTGCACGCTTTCCTGCTACTGGGGCAGCACCCCAAGGACCCAGACAGTCTGGCCCCCAGGAAGGGGTCTCACACCCCAGTATTTCAGAAGGGACTAGGGTTCAGTCTTCACAAAGACGGGGTCAGGCTCCCTCATAGCACTGGCCAACGCAGCTCAGTCTGGATACCCCTGCAGGACCCCAGAGGAACTTGTCTGGAAAGAGGGTCCTTGCAAAACCGGTGCCTGGTGAAGCACCGTGTCCTCCAAGAGGCAGCCCAGGGCCCAGGCCTGGCACATCACAGGGTCTACCAGAGAGTCCAGCGAGGGGAGGGACAGAGAAGGGCCCAGCCCCGCCCTCCAGCAGGGCCCGCACTCACGTCTTACACTTGGCACACTCCTCTATGAACATGTTGCCATGAAGCTCCGCCAACTTGTCCCTGGAGGAGGAGGAGGAGAAAGGGGTGAGGGATGATGGAGTGTGCGTCAAGCCCTCCTCCTCCAGGGAGCCTTCTCAGATTCCCTCTTGGAGATTCCTCCAGCTTCTGGGTCTGCCCTCCTGCAGGGTGCACAGTATCTGTTTCCAGGCGTGACCCGGAGGAAGGAAATCCTAAACTGCAACTGGGATTTGAAATCCCACAGCTGGCTTGGGAAGGTCTGCAAAGGGCGGGGGTTGAGGGTGTCTGTGCGCAGGAGGGTGTTTGTCCGCTTCTGCGCGCCTTCGCTCACCACATGGTGCCACAGAATGGGCGGGGCTGCCCTGGCGTCCACTGCACAGGTGGGCAGGGGGTCACACCCCCCGGCAGACTGACCTGGGGAAGCCGGAGCGGACGTGCAGCCCGTCCACATTCTGGCTGACCAGGAACTGCAGCAGCCCCACGCGCTGCAGCTGCACCAGTGCCATGTGCGTCAGGCTGGGCCGGGCGCTCTCGAAGGTGGTGTCGAAAGTGGGGGTCAGGCCCCGCTCCTCCATCGTCCACACGCCATGGGGGCCCCTGAAGGCAGCAGGTATGTGGGGGAGACGGTGGGAGACGAGGGGTGGGCAGACAGACGGGGAGGGCAGTGAGGAGAGAAAGTGAGAGGGGGGTGGGGGGGAGGGAGAAGTGGGTCATGGGTGGAAGGAGAGAAAATGGGGTGCACAGGCAAAGCCACCCCCACTTACAGCAGGCAGAGCCACATGCTGGGGGATACTGGGGTCCCTGGTGTACCCACACTTTGCCTCAGGACAGTCCCTGATTATGGAGGGGCAAGGACACCCTAGGAGGTCATGCTCTGTGGGGCTGACAGCCGCTGGGAGAGCAAGGCAGTATCTTTGAATTTGATACAGATGTGTGTGTGTGTGTGTGAGAGAGAGAGAGAGAGAGAGAGAGAGAGAGAGAGAGAGAGAGAGAGAAAGAGAGAGAGAGAGAGAGAGAGACCAGAAAGGTCCTTGAATTTGATACAGGGGTAGGGGTGTGTGTGTGTGTGTGTGTGTGTGTGTGTGTGTGTGTGTGTGTGTGTGTGTGACCAGAAAGGTCCTTCAATTTGATACAGGGTGTGTGTATGGGAGGAGGGGAGACCAGAAAGGTCCTTGAATGTGATACAGGTGTGTGTGTGTGTGACCAAAAAGGTCCTTGAATTTGATACAGGGGTGTGTGTGTGTGTGTGTGTGTGTGACCAGGAAGGTCCTGGAGCGCCCCACTGTGGCAGCTGGGACCCAGGGCTGGCAACTCAGCACTCAGAAAGGCCTCTCTGGGGCCCATCAGTTCGAAGCTGAGGGCACTTGGGGTATTGCTGGTTTTCACACTCTTTTACAAGAGATGAGACAGGTTCAGATGGTTAAACTGTTTGTGATAAGTAATAGAGAAAAAAGTATCTGGGGAGGGAAGAGAGACATAGTCCAGCGGGCGAGGCGCTCGCTCGCTTTGCCTTGCACGTGTCTGACTTGGTTGGGTTCACTCCCTGGTATCCCATAGGGGACCCTCAGCCCCGCCAGGAGTGATCCCTGAGGCCGGAGCCAGGAGACAGCCCTGCGCACAAGCTGGGTGTGACCCCAGCAAAAGAAAAAGAAAGAAAAACATCTCCGGTTCCTGGGGGCCAGCAGGTAGGGTCCCAGACGTGGCCAACGCCCTCGTCCAGAATCACCAACTCCCAGAAAGGCCTCCGAAAACTTGGAAGGCTCCAAAGAGAAAAAGGAAAACTAAACGATTGGGTAAGTGGCAGTAACGTGACCGACCCGGTTCTGGCCAATAGGATGTGCCTGGAGTGTCGGGTGCGCCTTAAAGGGGCCGCCTGACCTGGACGGGTCCTGACCAGTCCCTAATCCCCGAGGGATCCCTCATGCCCCTGGACCTGAAGTCGGGGATGCCTGAGGCAGTGCTGATGCCCGCGCCTGTGTGGAATACCACGTTGGTGGACTGCCAGACCAGCTGCGCCAGCTCCCACACTTTCCTCTCCAACTCCTCCGGAGGGTCGAAGATCTGCGGGGGTGGGGGAGGGATGAGGATGCAGAAGGTGGGGAGGGATGGCAAGCGTGTGGCCTCAGTGCAGGGCCTAGGGGGGCACTGTAAGGGGAGGGAGCAACCTGAGCTTCGCCTCCAAGGAGGGGAAGCCCCAGAGAAATGTAGGCGAAGGAGGGGCATAGGGATGGGCGGAGGACTCCAATCTTGTCGCCGCCCCCCGAGGCAGGGAAGTAGACGGCTCAGTAGGAGGACATTAGCACAATAAACGGGGGGAAAAGGAAACGATCGGGAGTCGTCTCCCCACTGCGATGTGCGCATCCAGCTGTCGGCTACCCCGCCCGCACACACTTATTAGAGCCAGTATCCAGCGAGCGCTCACTAGTCACCCGGTCTAGAAGTTGACAAATGCACGAATCAGAACTAGATGATATGGAGTCTGGTCCCCACCAGTTCGCCTGCGTTGACAGGGGAGACCCACAGTGGCACAGAGAGTGGTGGGCTAATGCCACCCCTCTAATTGGGCCCCACTCGGGATCTCAACACGTGCACAACCCCCCCCCCCAACACACACACCGGGTCCTACCCTGGGTCCCAGCCCAGCTGTCCCAGGGTGCGGGCCGGGAAGTCCCTCCCATTGTCTAGCCTTTGAGCCTCTTGAGATTCCCACAATGCCCCAGGGCCGCTCGGCCCCGCCCACCCGCGGGCCGCTGGGGTGGGGGAGGGGCGCCAGTGGGGCCCCACCCCCACCCCGGTTCCTGTCCGCGCTCACCTCGGGGAGTCCGCACTTGCCCTTGTCCGCGTACGGCGAAAGCCCCGCCGCGTAGTTCACCGACATCCTTCGCCGCCCTGCCGGGAACAATAAAGTTTCCCTTGTTGCGGTCGCTTCCGCCGGAAAAGGGGCCGGGACAGAGAGAAAGGCGGAGCCGCGCGTTCCGCGCTCACGCGCTCGGTGGCCCCGCCCAAAGCGCATGCGCTGATGCCGCGGGTGCCGTCTTAACTGCTGGCAAGGGGCTGCCCGCTGTCCGTCGTTCTCTCGTGTGTGGGGCGGCAGAGGTGCCCTCCACGCGTCTTGAATCTGGGTTGGCTGTCCCCGTGTTCATTCTACCGGCACCATTCAAATGAGGGGCACTTTTTTTTTTTGGTTTTGGGGTCACACTCAGCGATGCACAGGGGTTACTCCTGGCTCTGCACTCAGGAATTTACCCCTGGCAGTGCTCAGGGGACCATATGGGATGCTGGGAATCGAACCCGCGTTGGCCCTGGTCGGCCGCGTGCAAGGCAAATGCCCTACCCGCTGTGCTATCACTCCAGCCCCGTGGCGCGCTTTTTTTTTTACAAAGTTTTCCTTAACAAATGAATAAACTGAGCACCACCAGGAGACCAGAAGAACCCCCTCCTACTTCACCCTGCCCCTCCTGCTCCCAGACCAGTTTCTGGGCCAGGCTCTTTCCCAGTGCAGTTCTAAAGGTTATGAGATTACAGATGCAGTTTACCCGTGTTTGATGTGGGGCCTGGAGCGCCCCACCAGGAAGGACCTTGTTCCTTTTTGTTGTTCTGTTTGGGGTCCACATCTAGGGATGCTCAGGGCTTACTGCTAGCTCTGTGGTCAGGGTTCACTACTGGCGGTGCTCGGGGCACCCGAAGCGGTGCCTGGGATGGGACTTGGGTGGGCCGCCTGCAACGCAGATAGATGCCCTCCTCGCTATAGTGTGGCTCCGACCCCTGGAGCACTTGCTTTGAATGCTGTGTTCGAAGCCCTGAGCCATAAGCACCGCAGTTCACATACCAGCCCTGAGCCTGGAGCACTGCTAAATAAGGCCCCAGAACAAATGAGAAAAAGAAACGCATACTTGGGGGCTGGAGCGATAGCACAGCGGGGAGGGCGACCGACCCGGGTTTGATTCTCAGCATCCCGTCTGGTTCTCTGAGCATCGCCAGGAGTATTTCTTGAGTGCAGAGCCAGGAGTAACCCCTGCATGTCGCTGGGTGTGACCCAAAAAGAAAAGAAAAAACACATGCTAAGCACCTACTGTGTGCAGGGGAGACCCTGAGGGAAGTGAAGATATAAACAGATGACCAGGTAAGGGGAGTCAGAGAAGGTACCCAGTCCAGTCTGGGGCATCTGGGAAGGCTTTCTGGAGGAGGAGGTATCTCAGCCAACCTCTGAACAGTGCCAGAGAGATAACTCAACAGGTTTGCTTTGCATGTAGGAGGCCCAGGTTCAATGCTGTGTAACCACGTGTTTCCCGGGTGACAGCACCCTTGCAAACTACACACTTCTATTCCCTGCAGCTGAGGGGCTGAATGAATTCAAGAAAGAGCTTTTGGGGGGCTGGGGAGATAGCACAGTTGGTAGGGCATTTGCCTTGCACGCGGCCGAGTCGGGTTCCATTCCCAGCATCCCATATAGTCCCCTGAGCACCGCCAGGAATAATCCCTGTGCATCGCCAGGTGTGACCCAAAAAGCAAAAAAAAAAAAAAAAAAAAAAAGAGCTTTTGGGTCAGAGGGTCAGAGAGACAGTCCAGGGTTAAGATACTGAGATACTGGCTTGCCCATGGCCAACCCAGTGCCATCCCCAGCACCAGATTAGGGGTTCCCCTGAGCACCGCCAGGAGTGATCCCAGGGCAGAGCCAGGAGTAAACCCTGAGCACTACTGGGGTGGGGGTGAGGGGAAGCCAAAAAAACAAACAAACAAAATATGTCTGTATTTTAATAAATGAAAAACTAAGTGGGGGTGGGGTGGCTGGCTTCCTGAGATGCACTGTCTTGTCTGAAACCTAAGCAAAGCAAAGCCTCAGCCCTATGGTGGGGGGCAAGGATGATCTTCCTTGTTTATTATCAATCTCTGGCTGGGTTTCATCCAGAGTACCCCAGGATGTGGCCTCCCCAAACAAACAAAATCTGGACTCCGAGGAGAGGCGGGAAATGAAGGGGCGGGGAGGGCAGTCTTGCGAGCGGGTTCCCAGGCCCAGGAGCCCTGAGCGCTGAGGCTGCAGAGAACTGATGAGGGCCGGGCCCCTGAAACTGCAGTGGGTTTGGCAGAGACCATGGAGAAGGGCCTGGGCGTCTTCCCACCTGCGCCTGCTGGCCAACGGGCAGCCCTGCTGTGAGCCTGTCCCCTCCCTCTGCTCATCCCCGGCCCCAGGGCTCAGAGCTGATCGGGTGTCTGAGTGCACAGGGAGTTGCTGGTGGCTGGCCGAGAGAGCGGTAACAGGAGCTGCTCTGGGCACAGTGGCCTGAGGCTGAAGTCACTGCAGCTGGAGGAGGTAAGAGAGGAAGGTGAGGGAGGCCGGGAGAGACGCTGACTTCCCGGCCCCCTGCCCCTGCCGTCTGGCCTGGAGGAAACTGGAAGGGGCTGGAGGAACTCCCTGGTCCACACTGAGGTGCCACCAGGCGCTTTCACACGCACACACTCATTCATTCACATGCTCATGAACACACAGTCACAACCACACACTCATGGACACATGTTCATGCACATCTATACACACATAGATGCGCGGTTTATACACAAGTTCATGCACACACTCATGGACACATACACATTTGTGCCCGTGTTCATACATTCATGCACACATTCACACACACTTTACCTTACACACAAGGTCATGCACACACATTCATACGTGCTTTTGTGCACACATACACTCACACATATTCGCACACACACCTCCCCCATCCCAGCCTCTGCCCCTCTTTCCTGCCACACCTCCCCAAAGGTCAGGTTTTTCTTCCTTCCTGTTGCCTCTTCCAGGAAGCAGCTCCCTAGGGAAGTGCTCTCTGACTCCTGCTCCCCAGCCCCAGCCACCGAGTGCCTCATGCCCAAGAAACCCGGGGACTCTTCTCTGGGGTCTTACTCCACCTGGTTCTGGATCTGATCAAGTTCTTTAGATCAGGAGAAAGGGTGAGGTGGGCGGTGGGTGATCGGGTATATTCATGGAGGGGTGGGTGAGTGGGTGGGTGATGGATGGATGGATGGACACATGGGTGAGGTATGGATGGAAGGATGGACAAGTACAAGTGGGTAGGGAATGAATGGATGGACGAGTGGGTGACGGATGGATAGGTGATCAAGTGGACAAGTGAACGGATGGAAAGTAGGTGGGTCTGTTTGGCGAGCGAAGTGCTAAGTCGAGAGCTGGTTGGTAAGCGACTGGGTGGGTGGACAGATGGATTAATGGATGGACTAATGAATGAATGGATTGAGGGTGGTTGGTCTGTTGGCTGGTAGATGAGGAGGTGGTAGGTGGAGGGTACATGGACAGATGGGTGAGTAAGTGGGTGACTGAGTGTACGGATAGATGGACAGTGTAGTGGGTGGATGGTGGGTGGCAGGTACTAGTAGGTGAAGCGTGTTTGAAGAACCAAGAGAAGGTGAGGTGGGTGGCATGGAGTGGCCAGAGCATGAATGTGCAACGGCTTGGGTGGGAGGATGAACGCAGAGGTGAGTAGATGGGGGAGGGGAGGATGAATGTGGACTGTGAAAGCAGGAGTGAGTAGTGGGTAGAAGGATGGCTCCGAGAAGGGGCAGGCAGTCGGGTGAAGACCACCTTCACAGAAATCCCCTCAGATGTGAGAAGGATTTGCTAACCACAAACTTGGCAAGCACCCCCTCAGAACATCCCTGCTGGCTGCCTAACTGCACAGGACATAGACGAGACCGGGGGTGGGAGTTCCGACACACCCTGTGTAGGGACACAGCTGCCTGTCTTCTTGGTCCCTGAGGTTGCTCGCCACTCCTGTCACTCCCATGGAATCCAGGCTGGTAGAAGGGAATTGGGTGGCAGGGTATTGCTCAGGCTCAGGTCCGGGCCGCACAGAGTCCTGGGATGCTCAGGAGATAGAGGCATCCCAGTCCCAGCCTGTGGAGCAAGGTCTGCGACCGAGGAGAGACAGCAGGAAGCTGGGTGAATGCACTCTGGGACATTAGAGAGCTCTAACTGCAGGTGAAAGACTTGAAAGACTAAGTGAATCAGAATAGGGATTTTGGAATGGGGCTGTGAAGGATGAATACGAGTTCACCAAAGAAGAAGAAACAGTGCGGGGGGTGGGGAGAGTGAGAGGAGAGCGAGAACGAGAGAGAGAGAGAGAGGGAGAGAGAGAGAGAGAGAGAGAGAGAGAGAGAGAGAGAGAGAGAGAGAGAAGAAAAGTACCTGTCATAGAGGCAGGCTAGGGGAGAGGAGTTGGGAAGTGGTGGGCGGGAAACTGGTGAGAGGGAAACGGGACACTAGTGCTGGGAAATGGTGGAAGGATGGGTGTTGGAGCACTGTATGACTGAGAATCATGAACAGGTTTGTAATAGTCTATCTCACCATGATTCAATACAAATAAAATTTAAAAAAAGAAGGAACAGGGAGGGAGGGCGAGAGAAAAGAAAGAAAGAAAGAAAGAAAGAAAGAAAGAAAGAAAGAAAAAGAGAGAGACAGGGACAGAAGGAAGGAAGCAAAGAAGGCAGGCAGGCATTAGGGGCAGAAACAACTGCAGAGATAAAAGATCCGGGACTGGAGAAACGGCAAAACAGATGCTGTATATCCTTTGCATGCAAGAGCCCCTGGTTCGAACCTGGCATGACATGTTTCCCAAAGCACCATTAGGAGTGACCCCGGGGCATCATGCTGGGAGTAACCTCTGAACACAGCTGGGTGCAGGCAAAAGGAAATAAAAGTTGAAGATGAGAAAGTGTTTGAATTGGGCTCCAGGGAATCTACCAAGGCACATTTATTGAGCATCTGCTGTTTACCATGCTCCTTTCTACAGACATCACTAAAAATCCAATCAAGTTGATCAGGAGAGTGGGGGCTGGAGTGATACTCCAGCGGGTAGGACGTTTGCCTTGCAAACGGCCGACCCGCGTTCGATTCCCAGCATCCCATATGGTCCCCTGAGCACTGCCAGGAATAATTCCTGAGTGCAAAACCAGGAGTAACCCCTGTGCATCACCAGGTGTGACGCAAAAAAAAAAAGTTGATCGAGATGGTGGAAGTATTAAAAGAATAAGGAAAGTGTAGGGGTGGAGCAATGGTGAGGAGGAGGGCACTTGCCTTGCACTTGGCTGACCTGGGTTTGACTCCTGGAACTCTATAACGTCCCCAGCCCCAGCACCACGAGGAGTGATTCCTGAGTGCAGAGACAGGAGTAAGCCCTGAGCATTGCTGAGTGTGACCCTCCAAAAAAAAAAAAACAGAAGAGATAGAATGAGAGAAGTGACTGGTACTCAGGGAGGATCGGTGACTGTGCAGGAATCCTCAGCGTTTAGGGGATGGAGGACCCGGATGACCTGGGAGGGGGAAATGGCCCGTTTAAAGACAGAAGAATGGGACCCTCAGAGTCGATGACCGTCAGCCCCCTTTCCCAGGAGGCCGAGAGAAAGGAGAAACCCCACGCTGGCCATGAAGACACTCCGAGCACGGTTCAGGAAGACAGAGGTGAGTCTGAGAGCACTGTTAGATAGACTCAGAGGTCTCCAACCGCAAGCTACTGCCCACTCCCAGGCTGGAGTCTGGCTGGACACCCACTGGGCTTCCGGACTCAGGTTTTCTGACCCTCAGAATTCCCGTCCAGAGCTCACGCCGGGCAGAGCCCAATCCCCACCCCTACCCCACACCCCCACCTTTCCCTTCGCTCCCTGCTGCCCTCTGCTGTCCAGCTCTTTGCTCTCTACTGCCCCCTACTGCACAGACGACCTGCTTACTGCTCCCTATCCCACTGCTTCCCAGCCACTCTACAGCGCGGGGAGGGGGCAGTGGCTGTTCCCTCCCCTGGGACCACCCCTCTTTTCCCTCTGCAGTTGGAAACCTGCCATTGTTCACCCAGATAACCCAAGCTGTCCTCCCCTGCCATGACCAGCTCCTCTCCATGGACTCCCTTTCCCCTGGGGGCCCCCAGGTCGAGCTTTTGAGCAGGGACTCCACCGAGACTTGTTTGCAGTGCCACAGGACGCAGAGGAAGAGCGTGGTGGAAAGGACAGAGAGAATTGGGGTGTCATCGAATTTATTTTGTGGTGCCGGGGACCGAACCCAGGTCTCCTGCGTGTCCCGCATAATGTTTACCTTTGAGTCCATCTCTCCCCTAGAAACACAGTTTTCTTTCCTTTGCTGGCACAGCACCCAGCGGTACACGGGGACCTTGTGATGGTGGAAATCCAAGTGGGGCTGCTGCATGCTAAAGGATGAGCTCCAATCCTTGAACTTCTTTCTCTGGCTCAGAGACCTTCGATTTTTGATTTCTTTTCTTTTTTTGATGGTGGGGGGAGGGAGCACCCAATGGTATTCAGGGGGAATTTAGAAGCCTGTTTGATATCGTTTACTTCTTTTCCTTCCCCCTCTGTTTTGGGGGCACATGTGACGATGTTCAGGGCTTATTCCTCAAGAATGAGTCCCGGAGGTGCTCAGGGGACCCTCTGGGACGGTGTGGATCGAACCCGGGTCAGCCATGTGCAAAGCAAATACCCTCCCCACTGTGCTACCACTCCAGCCCCGCTTCTTTTGCTTTCGGGGTGGAGGCCATACCCAGCTGTGCTCAGGGCTGGCTCCCGGGTCTGTGCTTGGAGGTGCTCTGGTGACCGTGTGGTGCTAGGGCTCAGTCCTTTGAGTGTGTGACTGTCTTCAGTTGTTGTGGGGGCACACTCAGCGGTGCTCAGGGAATCCTCCTGCCTCTGCACTCAGAAATTTCTCCTGGTGGGGTTCGAGAGACGCAATGGGATGCCAGGGATCGACCCAGGCCTGCAGTATGTAAGGCAAGCGCCCTCCCCGCCCTCCCCACTGTGCTCTCCTCCCAGGCCCTGAGCATGTGGTTTGAAAAGTGCTTGGTAGAGAGTTGGGGAGGGGGGAGTGTGCTGGGGGGCTCAGAAGTGGACCACCTGGGGTGTTGGGGGCAGGGTTTGTGCCCAGCATCCTCCATCTGCCCACCCTGCCCCCCCGCCCCGTCACAGCCTGCTGCCCCCACCCACACCTGCCCACAGCTCCAATTTCTGCGCTGGCAGCATAGTCCAATGCGGCTTTTGTTCAGCTTCCCCAAGGGAGGAAAGGCAATACCCGTGACTGTTCAGAGCCGCCGGTCACAGAGACCTTCTGTCCCCTCCCTGTCACCCGCACGGACAAGTCGCTCTGCCGTGTACACTCACGGCTTTTTCCTGTGGTTCCGATACATCCCAGAGTGCCATGGAGCCATGGGATATGGGGGGCTTTTGTGGATGCGTCCAAAGGGGAAGGTTCAGAATTTAGGGGGACAATATCATATGCGACTGCAGCCAGTAGCGAATGAAGTGCTTGCCTGCCCTGGGTTCAATTCCTGGCATTCCACAGCATTCCCCGAGCCTGCCAAGGAGGGATCCCTAAACACAGAGCCAGGAATCAGCCCCGAGCACCTCCAGGTGTGCCCCCCCACGTCTATCCCCCCCCAAAAAAGAAAGAAGAATCTCAACAGCAATTAGTGCAGCAGGCTCCACACTGTGTGCCTTGCGTGTGGACGGTCCAGGTTCAATCCCCAGCACCTCTGAGGGTCTCCCACATGCCCCGCCAGGAATGATCCCTGAGCACCACTGAGTGTGGGCCAGAAAAAAAAAACTGTTTTTTTTTTTTCTGGGAGCGGGGGAGAAATCACTCCTGGCAGTTGGGTGGACCGTGCGGTGCTGGGATTGAACAGGGGGCTCCTGTGTGGGCTCCAGCCTTTTGAGTTCTCTCCCTCGCCTCAGATTGGGGGTTTCAGAGACTCACGCAACTGGAATCCCCAGCGCTCCCATCCCAGACAATAAAGGGGAGGTGCCAGGAAGGAATACCAGGGCCTCCCTCCCCCCAGCGAGACGCTGCTGCCTTCGGCCCTCTAGTTGTTCTGCTTTATTCGCAAACACATTGTATTTGGGGGAGGCCGTCTCCCCAGCAGCAGGCAGGCAGGGGGGCCGGGGACAACACAGCATCAGACTCTGCGAGCTCAGACTTGGGGTGTCCACACCTGGCCGTGCTGGGGGCGGAGTCAGTGCTGGCGATGGAACTCGCGGCTGCTGCCTACAAGTCAGATGCTCGGCCCCAGTGCCTCCATTGCTTGCGCTGGCTCTCGCACACTTTGGTCGAGCGCTCACTGCTTACTAGGCCCTGCGGCAGGTGCCTGATGATGCAGCTTGGGCATGAGGGGAGGGGGCGGCGTCGGGACCCCAGGCTTGGGGGCGTGGCCAGGAGGGGCGTGGCGTGCGGAGGGGACGTGGCCTGGTGGAAGCGCTGGCAGGGGCGTGGCCTGGGGAGGGACGGGGCGTGTGCAGGGGGCGGGGCCTGGAGGGAGCGCGGGAGGGGCGGGGCCTGGGCTGTGAGGGGGCGGGGCCTGACCAGGCGGGAACGCGCGCGGGGCGGGGCGAGGCGTAGCCTGGCCGGGCGGGAACGCGCGGAGGGGGCGGGGCGGGAGCGGGGGGCGGGGCCTGGTGGGAGCGCGCGGGCGGGGCGGCAGAGCTCTGCATCGGCGGCCCCCAGCATCGACCCTCCTGGGTCCCCAAGTCCCGCGGCCGCTGGCCTCCAGCTCTCGGCGCCCTGGATGCCATGAAGCAGCTGTGCCTTTGCTCCGCAGCCTCGTTAGCGGTAGGGTCCGGAAAGGGGTGCGGGGGGACGGGCTGGGCGCTGCTTCTTCCTCGCCCCGCCCCGCCCCGAGACCCCGGAAGGATGCTCGCGTAGTGGCGGGCAGAGGGCGACAGAGGTGGGGCACGCTGGATGGGCATTTGGAGAGACAGCTTGGTGCGCAGAGAGGGACACTCGGGAGAAACGTAGAGGGCACCGGGACGGACATTTGGGGGGAACAGTTTTGGAAGGAGTCACTTGGACCTTTTGACGATGACCGTGGGGGATCGTTTTGGGGGGAGGGGACAGCGGAGAGGGTCTTTGGGGAGATGACTTGGGAGCATTCTTCAGGGACTGCGTGAAGACGTTTCTGAAGCAATTTGGGGTGAAACAGATCTTAGGACGTTTGGGGGAGACAGTTGAGGTCCTTTGGGGGTAGACATAGAAGAGATGATTGAGGATGGTTCCGGGAGACACTTCGAAGGACCCTTCTGCTGGGAAGACCTCTTGGGAGGGTAGTTTAGGGTGTCGGTTGTGTGTGGGTACTAAGGAGACCTAGCAAAGGGGACAAGTTTTCTTTCTTCTTTTTGGGTCACACCCAGCCATGCTCATCCTCCTGCCTCCGCACTCAGGAATTACTCATGGCGGTGCTCGGGGGACCATATGGGATGCTGGGAATCGAACCCAGGTTGGCCGCATACAAGGCAAATGCCCTACCGGCTCTACTGTTGCTCCGGCCCGCATTTGTTTGTTGCATTATCACTCTGGCCCCACCAGTTTGTTTTGGAGCCACACCTGGTGGTGCTCAGGAACTTCTCCCAACTTGGTTCTCTGGGGCTGCTCCCAGTGGTAGTCTGGGGTCTGATCAGTGGTGGGGTTCCTGCACTCACAGCTGCGCTCAGCCCCAGAGCCATCCCCATAGCCTGAGCACAAGTTTGTGTTTGTTGGCATCTTTTTTTTTTCCTTTTTTGGGGGGGGTCACACCCTGGCAGTGCTCAGGGGTTCCCTCTGGCAGTGCTCGAGGGACTTTATGGGATGACGGAGATCGAACCTGGGTTGGCTGCATGCAAGGCAAATGCCCTACAGGCTCTACTATTGCTCCGGCCCGCGTTGGCATCTTAAATAGATTTTAAAATTTGTTCTACTGTGACTCCGAGTTCCATGCAGAGAATGTTTCAGCACCACAGCCTCCACCAGTGTACCCCCTTCCCCAGGCACCACCCGAGCTTTTGGCTTATATCTGAGGGTGCTCAGGGCTTTTTACTTCTGGCTCTGTGCTCAGGGATCACTCCTGAGGGAGATTGTGGGAACCTCTGGGGTGCCAGGGACCGAGCCCAGGTTTGCTACTTGCAAGGGAAATGCCCTCTCCGCTGTCCGAACTCCCCGCTTCCACTGAGAGATGCTGGCAGGGTGTTGGAAGTTTGGGGAGTTGGGTGGGGGATGGAGAGCTGGGAAGGTGGGCGGGGGCGGGGGGCAGGTACTGGGAGAGTTGCAGGTTTGGGGACACTGTCGCAGGCCCCCGCCCACCTCCCACCCCCCACCCCCAGCAGCTGCGGCTCGGCCCCACCGACCTTGGTTCCTGCCCGCCCTGCGGCCCCTGCCCCATCCCGAAACCGGCAGCCAGAGGCAGGCGCCAGGCAAGTGCCCAGGGGCGGGCGGAGAGGCTCCGAGCCCCTGCAGGGGGCGCGGGGAGGGGGCAGCGGCTGCCCCGGCCCCATGCCCTGCTCTGGGTGTGCCCTGCAGAGCCAGGAGTGGAGCAAGAGTGACGAGCGGCTGCTGCAGGCCGTGGAGAACAATGACCCCACCCGTGTGGCCGCCCTCATCGCGCGCAAGGGGCTGGTGTCCACCAAGCTGGATCCCGAGGGCAAGTCCGCGTGAGTGCCCCTGCTCTGGGAGTCAGGTGGGAGGGGCCGAGGAACGGCCCCGGGGCTCACCCTGGACCCTCACTTCTGCCTCCAGGTTCCACCTGGCAGCCATGAGGGGCGCGGCCAGCTGTCTGGAGGTGATGCTGAGCCACGGCGCTGACGTCATGAGCACTGACGGGGCAGGTACCGCCTGTGGGTCCCAGGATGGAGGAGGACTCCACGCTCTGGGCCCAGCCCGAGGGCCGGAGAGGTCCTGCTGCTTCCTCACGGCTTTCCAGGGAGGCAGCACATGATGTGGGGGTCTGTTGCTGCTGGCGGTGCTGGCGGGGGGGCGCCTTCAGTGGCAGACTGTGGTGCCCACGCCTGGTGGTTGGGGCATTGTGGGACTCACAGGAGAAGCTGGATGGGGGGGAGCAGTTGATGCAGAGGGGTGTTTGTGCTCCCGGGTCTCGGTGCAGGGGTCGGACCAGGCAAGAGGGGAGCCGGTCCCAGTCTGTAGGACCACGATGGGCTTAAATGCTGGGGTGTTCCTAGTGGCGGGGATGACTGAGAGTGATGGCGGTGGCTGGGAGTTGCTGGCTGTGGGGAATAGCCGGGGATTTGGGAAGTAGGTGGGGGTGGGGAGTAGCTGGGGATATGGAGAATAGTTGGGGTTTGGGAGTAGCTGGGATGTAGGGAGTAGGGGGATTAAGTAGGTATAGAGAGTGAAGCGGTGTCGGGAGTTCCTGGGTGTGGGGAGTAGCTGGAGCAGCAGGGCAGGAGGAGGGCCGGGGTGAGGGTGGCTGAAATGAGCTTGTTGGACTCAGACTAGCAAGTGTCTGTCGGGGAAATCTGCCCCGGGGAGGGGTGGGGTGGTAGCAGCACCGTTTTGAGAAATCCCTGGAGTGGGGTGAGGTTGGGGGAACCCAGTATGGCTGATGGAGCTTTGGGGAGCCGCTGGCAGCTCCCGGGGTGTCTGGAGCCCTCGGCCTCTTCCCCCCTTTTCAGGTTACAACGCCCTCCACCTGGCCGCCAAGTACAGGCACCCCGAGTGCTTGAAGCCATTGCTCCAGGTGAGTTTGACGTCGTGTGCCTCTGTGACTCCCCGAAACAGCCAATCCTTGCCTTGACTACCACTGAGTGCCAGTGGTCACCGGAACCCCCATCTTCCATCCTGGGGATCATGATCCCCTTTTTCTCATGGCCTTCAGCTCCTTCTCCCTGGATGACCAGATACTCCCCAAATATCCAGCTAGCCCCCATGTCCACCATATACTCCCGATGCCAGATACTTCCTGTACTCAGAGATCGCTTCCGGTGTGCTTGGGGAACCATGCCAGATAGTTTCTGAGCCCCAGCATCTCCCCAGGGTGCCCCAAATACATTCTTACCCACGGTGGTTCTTCCTAGTGCCCCACCTTCTCCCAAGCTCATAGCTACTCTCCCTCATTTTCATAAACGCAGAGAGAAAAGCTGGGGTGAGACAGGATGCCAAAAATATAAAAGAGGGGCCACAGTGACAGGACAGCCATAGTCCAATGGGGAGGGCGTTTGCTTTGCACATGTCGACCTGGGTTCAATCCTCGGCATCCCATAGGGTCGCCTGAGCGACCAGGAGTGATTCCTGACTGCAGAGCCAGGAGGAACCCCTGAGCATTGCTGGGTGTGACCAAAAAAGAAAAAAAAAGAAAAAAAGGAGCCCAGGGAGGGCAAGGGAAACTTGAGGCAAGTGGTCCTGCTTCAAGCGACCCTCCTGCTCTATCCCCAGGCTTCCTGTGTGGTGGACGTCATGGACAGCAGTGGCTGGACCGCTCTGCACCATGCAGGTATGTGTTGCCCTTCCCTGCTTAACCGATCGTGACCCCTAAACTGCCAGGTCCGGGGGTTCTTCTCTTCTGGAGTGAGACTAGGATGTGGGGATCCTTGAAGCATCCTTTATTTTGCTGGAAGCGCTCAGATATTATCCACCTGACCTAACGCCCCAAGGAGGGGCGAACGGGTCTCCTACCCAGCCCCAGCGTCTGCCCGCTGTGCCCTTGGGTTTCCCGGATGACTCAAGCAACGTCAGCCTTCTGGGGTACAGAGAAAAAAACGGGCTGGGCTGGGAGTTTTTCCCGGCGGTTCAGAGCGTCTCTGCAGTTGGGCTGTGCTGCCACCTAGCGGCGGGACTGACCGTCACACGCTGACCGCCTCTGGGTTGTATCTTCCTTTGCCCTAGGAAGGGCGAAGCTGCAGAGACCGTGGAGGTTCCCACAGCAAACCCTCGCGCTGTGCCACAGCACGGGGACACACAGACGGCTGCGCTGTCCCAGACCCTGCCCTAAAGGTCTTCCTTCTCCCTGTCCTGAACGTCCCTGCCGACTCCCCCTCCTTGGCCTGACAAAGCTCTTTCCCACCTCAAGGTTCTTGCTCACCTCCCGCCTTTATCCCCTCCAGAGCTCAGGGGCAGGGGAGATGCTCAGAGGCTTTGCACGCAGGAGCACAGGAACTCAGCCAGGACCCAAGAAAATAGCCCGACTTTTGGGGGCTGGAGAGATTGCACATCGGGGGGCCCTTCCTTTGCATGTGGCCCACCCAGGTTTGATCCCCGGCGCCCCTTAGGGTTCCCCGTGCACCACCGGGAGTAATTCCTGTGTGCGGAGCCCAGAGTAATTCCTGAGCACTGCAGGGTGTGACCAAAAAGAGGAAAAAAAGAAAAGAAAAAGGAACTAGTTTGACTTTCGCTGAATTTGATTCCTTCATCAACATTTTAGCACCCTCTGTAGGAAGATTTACTATGTTTGCATCAAAAAAAAAAAAAAAGAACTGGGATGATAGTAGAGCGGGGAGGGGAGGTTGCCTTGCACACAGCTGACCCAGATTTGATCCCCAGCGTCCCACAGGGTTCCCTGAGCATCTCCAGAAGTGATTCCTGAGTGCAGAACCAGGAGTCAGCCCTGAGCATGTTGGGTGTGGCTCAAAAACAAAACAACAAAACAAAAAAAAGTAACTGTTGTTGGGGCCAGAGTAGATAGGACAGCGGGAGGGCACTTGCTTGTGCCGCCCTGGGTTCAGTCCCCAGCCTCCTCTAGCGTCCCCTGAGCACTGCTAGGAGTGATCCCTGACCTCAGAGCCAGGAGTAACCTCAGAGCACTGCAGGGTATAACCCCCAAACCCAAAAAAGAATAAAAAGAAATCAATCCTGCTAGGATAACAGGGCTACTCACATCCTTACTCCTTTCCAAATCCCCCTGTCATTCCTTTTTTCTTTTTTTGGGGTCACGTCCTGCAGGGTTTGGGCTGCTCTTATTAGCTAGGTGGCTCGGGGTCCCCGTGGTCCCCATGGAACCCAGATATCCAACATTCAGAGCAGATATTTCAGTCCGCTGGGCTCTCTAGCCCTGTGGGTTCCGGGTCACACCTGGATCACTAACCAGAGACTGAAGCTGGTCAGCCTCGTGTTCAAGGCAAACGCTTGACCACTGTGCTGTCTCTCTGGCCCCCTTGGGGGGAACTTTCAATTTTTGCCCATTCTTTTTCTTCCTTCTCCCCCCCCTTCTCCTCCTCCTCCTCTTCCTCCTTCTGTCACACCTAGCAATTCTCGAAGCTGACTCCCAGCTCTGCACTCAAGAATTACTCCTGGCGGGGCTCAGGAAACCCTCTGCAATGCCGGGGATCGAACCCGGGTCAGCCGCATGCAAGGCAAACACCTTCTGTGCTGTGCTATCACTCTGGCCCCATCCCACTGTCCTGTTGCTTCAGCCCCAACAGCTATTTCTGCTGCCTGTTCCTCTCCCCACCCCCCACGTGCCACTGAGTTTTCCTCCTCTGTCTGTCTGTCTGTCTGTCTGTCTGACCCCGGTTTCTCTTTCTCCAGCTGCTGGTGGCTGCCTCCAGTGCTGCGAAATGCTCTGCTCCTTCAAGGCACAACTGAATCCTCGAGATCGGGTGAGTCAGGGCCAGGAGGTTTTCTTTTCTTTTCCTTCCTTTCCTTTTCTTTCTTTCTTTTTCTTTTCTTTTTTTTTTTTTTTTTTGTTTTCTGACTATTGGTCACACTTGGAGATGCTCAGTGGTTTCTCCTGGTTCTGCACTCAGGAATTACTCCTGGTGGTACTCAGGAGACCATATGGGATGCCGGGAATCGAACCCAGATTGGCTGAATGCAGGCCAACGCCCTTCCCGCTGTGCTATTGCTCTGGCAGGGGGTTTGTGTGTGTGTGTGTGTGTGTGTGTGTGTGTGTGTGTGTGTGTGTGTGTGTGTGTGCAGGATCTTTTCAGGGGCAGCAAGGGCCAGCACTCCAGGCTCTGACAAGTGTGGCTGCGTAAGACTTAGGGGCGGCCTGAGAGGTGGTGGGACCTCCCCAGGTCAGCCTCTCAGCCGTCCCTTCCTCGTCCCTGTCCCCCCACCCCACCCCAGTCAGGTACGACACCCCTCCTCATAGCAGCTCAGATGTGTCACACGGATCTCTGCCGCCTCCTTCTGCAGCGGGGGGCGGCGCCCAATGAGCAGGACCTACACGGCAGGTGAGGCTTTCCTCCTCCCGAACCCCGGCCAGATTGCTGTGTGATCTTGGGCAGGGCTGGAGCCCCTCTGGGCTGGAGTGTCAGCCCTGGGCGGGTGGGCTGGAAGCCGGCCTGGCGCCCTCAGCAGCGCCCTCTGCCGGCAGGACGGCGCTGATGCTGGCCTGCGAGGGCGCCAGCCCCGAGACCGTGGAGGTGCTGCTGCAGGGCGGGGCGCGGCCGGGCGTCACCGACGCGCTGGGCCAGGACGCGGCTCACTACGGCGCCGCGGCGGGGGACAAGCTCATCCTTCACCTGCTTCAGGAGGCGGCCCAGCGGCCCTCACTGCCCAGCGGTAGGCAAGCCCCGCGCCCTGGCCGTCTCAGGGACCCGCCCCCACGTTTCCACCCCTCACCCCTCATCGCCTCTGCTGGGGATGCTTCCAGGATGCCCCGGGGTGGCATTTTGGGACGGTTTATGGCGCCCCCCCCCCCCACGGACCTTGCTCAAGGTCCCCTAGGTCTCTTGACCTTGCTCCATCCCATAGGGTCCCCCCAGCCCCACCAGGAGTGTTCCCCGAGCTCAGAGCCACAAGTCAGCCCTGAGCATCCCCGAGTGTGACCCAAAAGCCGAAAAGAAAAAGACAAGAAAAGAATGGTCTGGGGGCTGGAGCGATAGCACAGGGGGTAGGGCGTTTGCCTTGCAGGCAGCCGACCCGGGTTCGATTCCCAGCATTCCATCAGGTCCCCCGAGCACCGCCAGGGGTAATCCCTGTGCATCTCCGGGTGTGACCCAAAAAAAGAAAAAAAAGGTGCTGGTCCCTGGGGAATCGAGGTGTCCCTGCGAAGGTGTCCTGGGCTTTCTAGTTCTCCTGCTCTCAGGGGATGGGAAGCCTGACCCTGCTTCCCTCCCTCCCCCTCCCCCACCGCCAGAGGATGACTCCGGAGAAGCTTCATCTCAGGTATGAAACCGCCAGCAGTGAGTGAGCAGAGCCCTTGTTCCTGGCTGCCTTCCCCCTCACCCCAAGTTCCTGGGGGAGAGAAAGAAGGGGTGAGCCCCAGTCCAGGGTCAGGATGTGTTTGGGTGAATGCATCCTCGCGGATTGCATGGTCACTGAGGGGTGAGGGGCAGTCACAGAAGTGACTCTCAGAAGTGGGATCCAGGGGCTGGAGCAATAGCACAGCGGGTAGGGCATTTGCCTTGCACGCGGCCAACCCGGGTTCGATTCCCAGCATCCCATAGGGTTCCCTGAGCACCGCCAGGAGTAATTCCTGAGTTCAGAGCCAGGAGTAACCCCTGTGTATTGCTGGGTGTGACCCAAAAAGCAAAAAAAATAAAAATGTGGGACCCAGCACGGAGAGGCACTGTGGGGAGAGGACAGATGGGGGCAGGGGGGCTAGAGCCGGGGAGACGGGTTGGGGACAGCTGGGAAAAAGCTAAGGTGTTGAGAGAGGTTGAACCCAAACACCTCTTTGTTCTAAGAGCCAATGAAGAAGCAAACAAGAAAATGGTACAAAATAGATCCAGATAGCAATAGGAGAGCAGGGAGGGCGTTTGCCTTGCATGCAGCAGATCCGGGTTCAATTCCCGGCATCTCCTAGGGTCCCTTGAACACCACCAGGAGTAATTCCATTCCTAAGTGCAGAACCAAGAGGAACCCCTGAGCATCGTCCAGTGTGACCCAAAAAGCCAAAATAACCCCCCCCCCATCAGATCTGGAACCCTCAGGCCTGGAAGAGGCAAGGAGCAGAGAGAGAGAGAAAGGGGGCCTAGTCCAGGAACACCCCAGAAAGGGGGATGATGTTGCAGCGGAGGACCAAGAGAGAGGGGGCAGGGGTGGCTTCTGTGAATGGGAGCCTGGCACGCCTCTTGCGCCCCTTCCCCAGAACTCTGTATCCAGCCACGAAAAACGAGGGGGTCCCAAGAAGCGGAAGGCACCGCCGCCCCCCGCCAGCATCCCAGTGCCGGTGAGAGCAGCCCCAGCCCTGGGGTGGAGTGGGGGGGCATTCAAGGGAATCCGGGAAGGAACATCTGGTTGGGGGGGATGAGAAGGGACCATCTTTGGGCCTCATCTAAAGGTGTATGTGGGGGGGTCCCTGGGGTGGGGCTGGGGAACCAGGATGATCGAGATGCCTATGAGGAGATTGTGAGGCTGAGGCAGGAGAAGGGCCGTTTGCTGCAGAAGATCCGGGGCCTGGAGCAGCACCGAAAGCAGGAGGTGAGGGAGCTGGGGTGCAAGTAGAGGGCGAGGACTCTGCTCTCTCCCTCCTGCCACTCTCTCTTCCCATCCCCATCTCTTTCTACCCCAGGACCTTTGCGCACTCTTCCCTGCTCACCTATTTAAAACTGTAGGGTTCCCCCCTCCCCACTCCCAAGTCTCGGTTTTTGTTTGTTTAAAGTGCTTTACAGCTATTGGACCTAACTTAGCATTTATTCGCAACTACCTGTTTGGGCTATGAGCCCATGAGGAGGGTGTGATGGTGTGCGATTCTCAGGAGGGCGTGGCGCCTATTTATGGAGGGAATGAGGGGACAAATCATGGAATTGAAGGAAGGAATGAATCAGTGGCTCCAGATGGGGTCTGGCACACAGTAGGCGCTCAATAGTTGTCACTGGCTGAATGAACAGAACGGAGCCTGGCATACGGTAGGTCTCCTTGCGGAGCGAGTGAGACAGAGCCACGCTGGTGTTTTGGTGGGGACTGCGGGTCACGCGGCAATAAGACGCAGGACCAGGAGCCTGAAGGCATGGTCCAGAAGGCAGGCAGGGGCCTCGCCCCACGCCCGATGCAGGCCTGGTTCCCTTGCCTCTTCTTCCCAGCAGCTGCCGGAGGCCGAGGCCAGCTCCCTGCACAGTCTGGAGAGACAGGTGCGTGCAGAGGGAGAGAGAGCGGTGCCCGCGGGCCCACCGTGTTTCCTGCGGGAGCTGACTGAGCCCCTGTGCAACCCCCGTCTTCTCAGGTGCAAGAGCTCCAGCAACTGCTGGCCGAGAAGCAGGAGGAAAAGGAGTGTCTGGGGCGGGAGGTGGAAAGTCTGCAGAGTCGCCTGTCCCTGATGGAGGTGCAGCAGGGAAAGGGCGGGGCGGGGGTTGGGCGACAGTGGGCGGGGCCTATGAGGTAAAGGAGGGGTATCCTGGACGGGGCCGAGGGAGGAGCGACCGTGGGCGGGGCCTAGGATGTACGTGATGGGCGGGGCTTGCGGGCGGAGCCTCACCCTTATGATTATATCAAGGTTGAGGCTAGTGATTTCCAGTACATGCAGATGCCCAATTACACATGTACACCTGCAATTGTGGTACATATACACCTGCACGCACACACACAGTCACAAAAAGATCTGGGAGGCTTGCTCTACAAGCCCATATTCTTCTTTGAACATATCTTTGCACTCTTTTTTTTTTTTTGCTTTTTTGGGTCACACCTGGCGATGCACAGGGGTTACTCCTGGCTCTGCACTCAGGAATCACTCCTGGCGGTGCTCGGGGGACCATATGGGATGCTGGGAATCGAACCCGGGTCGGCCGCGTGCAAGGCAAATGCCCTACCCGCTGTGCTATCTCTCCAGCCCCAATTATCTTTGCACTCTTGCATGCTGTCTCCATGTTTCTTTGCTTGCTTTTTCTTCCTCCTTTTTTTCAGCATACTATTTTCTTTCTTTATTAAAAACTTTTAAAATGTATTTATTTATTTATTTTGTAATGAATCGCCGTGAGGTACAGTTACAGACTTACAAATTTTCGTGCTTACGTTTCAGTCATACAATGATCGAGTACCCATCCCTCCACCAGTGCCCAGTGTTCCCAGTATCCCTCCCACCCCCACCCCCATTCCCCCCAGCTTCTTCTTTCTTGAACACACACTCCCTCTCACTCTCTCTCCATACATCTTTCTAAATAAGTTTCAGTAAAGACTGTCTTGCCACAACCGCAACAAAAATCTTCCGGAATTGCATCATTGCACGTCTGCCAACATCCCTGAACACTTGTGTGCCTACCACACACAGAACCACATCCACATAGATGCATGGGCGCACACATAATTTTTCAGAACACACAGTGTATCTACACAGCTATGCACAGAAGCAGCTGTGTTCATGTGCGTACACACAGACAAACGTGGGGAAGTAGACATAAACTCAGGCACACAGACGTACACAAACACCCAGACAAACACATCACAGACAGCCTTGCAGACACCTGGAGAACCGGAGAGATTGTGCAGGGGTTAAGGTGTCTGTCTTGCACACGGCTGATCTAGGTTCAGTCCCCGGCACCGCTTAGAGCCCCGCTGCGTACCTCCAGGAGTGATCCCTGAGCACAGAGTCTCAATCCCTGAGTACCCTCCCTAAACCTAAATAAAATAAAATTCTCCAGTGGAAAATACCTAGGGGTGGGAGGGAGGGTGGGGGGACCCTGAGCTGGATCCTGACCCCTTCTCACCCCAGAATGAGCGAGAAAACACCAGCTACGACGTGGACACACTGCAGGATGAGGAGGACCTTCCTGGTGAGCCCCCCGATGCCGCATCCCCCCCAAACCCCCACTTTGTCCCTGGGATGTCAGGAGACATGATACTGCCTTGTAGACACTCATGGGGAGCATTTGAAGTTGGGGTAAGAAGTTTAGCCTCCTCTCACTATTCATTCCACCTTCCTCGGTGTGCCGATCCTGGGGGAACCCTGACCCACCCCTCCAGACTGCCCAGTTCCTATAGCTTGGGACTTTGGGGCTTGATCCTGTGCCCCCCACCAGGGACCGAAGCTCTGCTCTCCAAGCCGCCCACCCCACCATCCCACGACCTCTTAGCCGCACTGCGGGACCAAGTGTCCACACTCACCAAACAGAACCAGGAACTGATGGAGAAGGTCCAGGTGGGGAAACTGAGAGAGGCGGGGGAAATGAGGATCCCAAGATTCTCCCTCTCCCTGGAGGCTGGAGTGGGGGGTGGGAATGGGTGGCTGCATGTTGGACAGAGGTGGGGGCGTGGTGATCCTGTACCCCAAGCACCACCGGAGCCCCTGCTTTCCCCCAATCTTCAGATTCTGGAGAACTTCGAGAAGGACGAGGTGGAGATGAACGGCTCAGTGGAGGTCATCCCTCTCGCCGTGTATGATGCCCTCCGGGCTGAGTTTGACCAGCTACGCAGGCAGCACACCGAGGCACTGAAGGTGCTGGAGCAACAAGCAGCACGAGGGACCCCTGGAGAAGAGGAAGTAGCCCCTGGGGGTGACAAGGGCACAGAAGCCGCGGCTCTAAGAAATGGGTCGGCCGGCACGGAGCTCAGTGACGTTGCCGTTCCAGAAACCAGAATCAACGGGGCCGAGACCACAGATGAGGAAGCTGCAAGAGCTGAGGCCACAGAGGCCAGGACCCAAGAGGTGGCCCCCGCCGATGCTGAGGTGAGGGCCACAAAGGCCACAGACGTGGAGGCCGTGGACACCGACGGTGTGGGGACCGAGGCCTTGGGCCTCAAAACCAATGGGGCTGAGGTCACAGAAGTGAAAGGCAGAGACGAGGGACGAAATCCAGGGACAGAAGTCAGGGGAACGGGAGCCACAGACGCAGAGGCCACGGATGTGGAGACCACGAACGTGGAGGCCACGGGCGCAGAGGCCGCAGACGCAGAAGCCACGGATGCCGGAGGCACTCACACAGTAGCAGAGGAACCTGAACTAAGGGTCAACGGGGTGGCAGCTGTGAAGGCAGAGCTCCCGGGTCCAGAGGCCACAAACAAGGAGGCCTCGGAGACAGAGGCCACGGGCAGGGCAGCCACTGGAGTGGAGGCCACGGCCCCAACTGTTTCCGCTGGCCCCGTCCTTCACCCTGGCGCTGCCGAGGCCTCAGAGAAGCTGCAAGCCGAGCTGGAGACTCGGATCCGGAATTTGGAGGAGGCGCTCCGGCAGCGGGAGCGGGAGGCAGCCTCCGAACTGGAGGCCGCCCAGGGCAAGTGTAAGGCCGCGGAGGCCGAGGCCGGCCGGCTCCGGGAGCGCGTGCGGGAGGCCGAGGGCGGCGGGGGCGGCAGCTGCGACGCGGGCCAGCTGCGGGCCGCCCTAGAACAGGCCCGGGAGGACCTCCGAGCCCGGGACGCGCGCCTGCGGGAACTGGAGGCCGCCTGCACCCGTCTGGATGAAGCCCGGGCCGGCCGGCTGCTGGCCGAGGAGGAGGCCCGGGGCCTGCGGGCCGAGCTGGCCCAGCGGGAGGAAGTGAGGCTGGAGCAGAGCCGGGAGCTCCAGGCGCTGCGGGAACAGCTGGCCACGGCCACGGCGGCCGGGGAGCAGCACCTTGCCGCGGCCACACAGCTGGGCCACGCGCGGGATGTGGCGGAGGCCAGAGTGGCCGAACTGGCCGCCGCCTGTGAGGAAGCCCGGCGGGGCCTGGCAGAGCTGCGCGAGGCCTCGGAGAGTCTCCGCCAGGCGTCGGTGCCTGCCTCCGAGCACCACCGGCTGCAGGAAGAAGCCCTGGAGCTGCGGGGCCGCGCGGCCAGCCTGGAGCAGGAGGTGGTGGCCACTGGCAAGGAGGCGGCGCGGCTGCGGGCCGAGCTGGAGCGGGAGCGAGTGGGCAGCGTGGCCCGCCTGGAGCATGACCGCATCGTGGGCGCGCTGCAGGCGGATGTCGCCCGGCTGCAAGGGCAGCTGGAGGAGCTGGGCCGGCGGCACGAGAAGACCACCGCCGAGGTCTTTCAGGTGACCGGCGACGGAGCCCGCACCCAGGGTGACATGACCCCATGGTTCTATTTTGCTTCCCTCTCTCTCTCTCTCTCTCTCTCTCTCTGCTTTTTGCATCACACCCAGCGATGCTCAGGGGTTCCTCCTGGCTCTGCACTCAGGAATTACTCCTGGCGGCGCTCGGGGGACCATATGGGATGCTGGGAATCAAACCCAGGACCATATGGAATGCTGGGAATCGAACCCAAGGCAAACTCCCTACCCGCTGTACCATCGCTCCAGCCCCCAACACTCCCATCTCTCACCACACTCTCTCTCTCTCTCTCTCTCTCTCTCTCTCTCTGTTCAACTGCTTGGTAGTCCTGAATCCTATTGGATTTTTGTTTTGTTTTGTTTTTGTTTTCTGGGACACCTCTGGCAGTGCTCAGGGCTTTTTCCTGCACTGCATGCAGGAATCATAGCTGGAGGGTTTGGGGAACCTTATGGGGTACTGGGGATTGAACCTGGGTTGGCCGTACGCAAGGCAAATGCCCTGTTTGGCATTTTAGGTGTTTTGTTTGTTTCTGTCTTGCCACATCTGGCAGCACTCAGGGCTTACTCCTGGCTCTGCGTACAGGGCTAACTCCTGGCCATGGCCAGGGGATCCGCTGGGGATCAAACTCAGGCTGGCCACTTGCAATGCAAGTGCCCTACTGCTGTGCAAATGCTCTAGCATTCTAAGTAGTTTTTTTTTTCTTTTTGTGTCACACCTGGCGATGCTCAGGGGTTATTCCTGGCTCATGCACTCAGGAATTACTCCTGGTGGTGCTCAGGGGACCATATGGGATGCTGGGAATCAGACCCGGGTCGGCCGTGTGCAAGGCAGACGCCCTACCCACTGCGCTATAGCTCCAGCCCCTTGTTTTATTTTCTTTGTTTTGTGTTTTGGGTCCCACCCGGCTATGCTCAGGGCTGACTCTTGGCTCTGGACTTGGATCACTAGGGGGTGCTGGGTAGGAACCTGAGTCAACTGTATGCAAGACAAGCACCTTCTCCTGCTATTTCTACTTGTTTTTTTCTTTTTGGGTCACAACTGATGATGCACTCATGAATTACTCCTGGCGGTTCTCGGGGGACCATATGGGATGCTGGGAATCGAACCCGGGTCGGCCACGTGCAAGGCAAAAGCCCTACCCGCTGTGCTATCACTCCAGCCCCTCTCCTGCTATTTCTCTTTTTCTTTTTTTTCTCTTTTGCTTTTGGGCCATACCCAGCATACTCAGGAGTTACTCTGGGCTTGACGCTCAAGGAATCATTTCTGGTGGGGCTCAGGGGACCATAGAAGATGCCGGGAGTCAAACCGGGTTGGTCACATGCAAGGCAAATGCCCTCCCCTGTACTATCGCTTTAGTCCCTTGGCTCTGTCTTGGGGCAAAACCAACAGCAGCTACATAAACTAAGTAGCTGTTGGAAGAAATTTGTGCATAAGAGACTACAAGCAGACTCCTAAAACTCGATTGTGAACAGCTATGCAAATCAGCGTCTAAATTTAATATACAGCCCTCGTGGTAGTACAGTTGGTAAGGCTCTCGACCTGGGTTCGAGTCCCAGTATCCCATAGGATCTCCGGAGCCTGCCAGGAGCGATCCCTGAGCATAGAGCCGGGAGTAGAGCCCTGAGCACTGCCAAGTGGCACCCAAATGAAAACCAGAAGGTTTCGGGGAGTTTTGGGGTTCAGGCTCACACGAGGGACCCCGTAGGTGCAGAGAGAGGCGCTATTCATGAAGAGCGAGCGGCACGCAGCTGAGGCCCAGCTGGCCACGGCGGAGCAGCAGCTGCGGGGGCTGCGGACCGAGGCGGAGCAGGCACGCCAGGCCCAGAGCCGCGTGCAGGAGGCCCTGGACAGAGCCAAGGAGAAAGACAAGAAGGTGCGACCCCCTTTCTCTGGGCTCTAACTGGGGTCCTCAACTCCACAGAGGTTTGGGGGAGAAATCTTAAGAATATCTCCACAGAGAAGCTCTGGAACAATCAGCTGGGAAACAGCCCCAGGCACAGAGAGGTAAAGCCACTGATCGAAGGACACACAGCCACACAGTTTCTCCCCCAGTCCCCAAATTCTTTCTTTTGGGGGGGCGGTCACACCCGGCCATGCACAGGAATTACACTCTACATTCAGGAATTACCCCTGGCAGTGCTCAGGGGACCATGTGGGATGCTGGGAATTGAACCTGGGTCGGCCGTGTGCAAGGCAAATGCCCTATCCACTGTGCTGTTGCTCCAGCCCCCAAATTCTTTTTTGTTTGTTTTTTGGGGTCACACCTAGCGATGCTCAGGGGTTACTCCTGGCTCTGCATTCAGGAATCACTCCTGGTGGCACTTGGGGGACCCTATGGGATGCCGGGGATTGAACCTGGGTTGGCTGCCTGCAAGGCAAACACCCTACCCACTGTACTATTGCTCCGGCCCCTTCACAAATTCTTTTTAGTTTTGTTTTGCCCTCACGTTTTTTGGGGGCCACCCCTGGCTGTGCTTTGGGGCTTTTCTAAGCTTTGTACTCACAGGTCATTCCCAGCAGTGCTCGGGGGACTCTGAGGTATTAGAAATCGATCTGGGCTTCCCACGTGCGAAGCATCTACTCTACTCCCTTCATCTATACCCAGGATCCCCCTAGGATGTGAATTTTTTTTTTGTTTATTTTTTGGCCACATCCTGGCAGTGCTCAGGGCTGACTCCTGGCTCTGTGCTCAGGGATCACTTCTGGCAGGGCTCAAAAGCCATAAGGGCGCTGGGGATGGAACTTGGGTCAGCCTCAGGCAAGGCACGTGTCCTACCCACTGTATTATCTCTCTGACACCCTAGCATGTGTTGTGATGTGTGCGTGTGTGTGTTTGGGTCACACCCAGAGATGCTCAGGGCTTCCTCCTGACTCTGCACTCAGGAATTTCTCCTGGAAACACTCAGAGTATCATACGAGATGCCAGAAGTTATACCCAGGTTGACTGCATGCAAGGCAAACACCTTACCTGCTGTGCCATCGCTCTGGCCCTCAGATAGGAATTTCTCTGAAAAAACTTCCGGCCTTGGCCCCTGACTGCTGACTGACTGACTGACTGTGTGTGTGTGTGTGTGTGTGTGTGTGTGTGTGTGTGTGTGTGTGTGTAAAGAACCCCAGGTTCATTGTGATCTCAGACACTGCTCCTGCCGCCCCAGATCACAGAATTGTCAAAGGAAGTCTTTAGTCTTAAAGAGGCTCTGAAGGAACAGCCGGCAGCGCCGGCCAGCACGGAGGTGGAGGCACTCCGCAGTCAAGTGAAAGCTTTACAGGAGCAGCTGGAGGTGAGAATCCCCAGACCATCAAGATGTCAGGCTGGTGCAAGCCTCTCACAAGAGGGGCAGGGGCATGCATGAGACTCTGACGGAGATTCGGAGATTCAATCCTCATGGCAAAAGCAAACCAAAAAAAAAAGCTGACAGGAAGGGCTGGGATGCAAAGGCGGCTTGGGGATGCTTTGCGGAGATGGAGGTGGATGGGGCACTTCCTGCTTCTTTTGCCCGAGCGCCCCTGCCTGTAATTCCAGGAGGCTGCCAAGGAGCACAGCGCGGTGGTCGCCTTGTATCGAAGCCACCTGCTCTACGCCATCCAGGTCAGTCTTGGACAGGCTGTGGGTCTCAGTTTCTCCAAGTGGGTAAGAGGTGTGGAGGGAGGGGTTCTGGAGACATCGAGGCGGGAGCATCCGGGTTCGCCCTCACCCCAGGGCCAGATGGACGAAGACGTGCAGAGAATCCTGAGCCAGATTCTGCAAATGCAAAGGCTTCAAGCTCAGGGTCGCTGAGCCCCGCCTCGGCCTCGCCCACCACCCAAGCCACGCCCACACCGCTGAGCCACCCAGCGTCCTGGCCACGCCCACGGGGTGTTAGCGGGTTCTGATCAGCCTCGGTTTTGGCCTTGACCGTGACAGCTGCCCCCACCCCCACCCCACCGGAAAAGCTGTGTGTTCCCCGCCCCACGTGTTCGGGCCACCTGGACGCCACCCCAGGAATAAAAGCGCCCAGAGCACGGGACGAAAGCTTGTGGTCTGATTGCTGGGCTCCTAATGGCCAGGAAAAGGGACTTGGGGTGGCGGGAGAGGTGGGTCGGGGGCGTGTGACCAGAGCTGGAAGTAGGAATTTGGGCATCCCCGCGGAAATTTCTTTGAGCCACGCGAAGAGCCCCTGAAAGAAAGTGCACCTCTAGGAGAATTTCCTTAGCATCTCTGGGAACACCCCCTAAAATCCCCTGGGGTTGAGGGGGTTGCTTAACTCTGCAACTGAGGAGGTGGAAGTAACCTTTGAGTGTGGTAACCTCCACCGACATCCATCCTCTGCTGGGTTTTCCTGGGGCATCCCCGGCTGTGCCATGTCCTGTTCCCCGCCGGCGTGTCCCCCGGACCTGGTTTGTGTCTCTTTGGCCTAGCGCAGGGCTGGTGAGGGGTGCAGATGTCTCTCTGAGAAGTGAGTTTGTCATGGCTTCGGGTTCCCCTGTCTGTGCTTAGAGGTCACTTCTGGAGGGGCTATGTGGTCCTGATGGGACCTGGGTCAGCCGCAGGCCAGGTAGCACCTTAACCCCTGCACGAATCTCCCTGTGTTGCTTTTCCTCATGATCTGGGTCTCAGCCCTGGGGAGGGGTGTCGCTCTCCTGTCTCTGCATCCCCTATTTTTTTTTTTGCTTTTTGGGTCACACCCAGTGATGCTCAGGGGTGCCTCCTGGCTCTGCACTCAGGAATCACTCCTAGCGGTGCTCAGGGGACCATATGGGATGCTGGGACTCGAACCCAGGTCCACCGCGTGCAAGGCAAATGCCCTACCCACTATGCTATCACTCCAACCCCTGCATCCCCTGTCTTTGACTCTAGTTCTTGTTTGTTGGTTTGGTTTGGTTGTGGGGCCATGTCCAGCAGTGCCCAGGGTCTATCCCTGGCTCCCTGCTCAGTCATCACTCCTGATGGGGCTCAGGGGACCTCATGCAGTGTTGGGATTCAAACCAGGGTCAGCGGCAGGCATGACCAGCGCCTTCACCCTTGTCCCTCTCTTTTTGGTTTTATTTTGGCTTTTGCTTTTTGAACCATGCCTGGCGATGCCCAGGGGTGACTCCTGGCTCTGGCACTCACGAATCACTCCTAGTGGTTCCAGGAGGACCCTATGGGGTGCCGGAGATTGAACCTGGGTGGGCTGCGTGCAAGACAAATGCCCTCCCCGCTCCCCCTCACTCCCATCCTCTCTGTATTTGTATCTCGCTGTGTCTCTCCCTGGTCTCTGCCCCTCTCTCAAGCGTTTCCTGGGTCCCTGGGCCAGTGTGCCCCGTCTCCTGTGGGAGTCTCTGTCCCTCTCTGCTTTCTCCACGACACTGTCCCCTCCTGGGCTTCCCCCTCCATCAGCGGAAGTGAGGACCCGTGTGCTGGGGAACCCCGGACTTCTCACTTCCTCATCCCAGTGGACAGTGAAAGACCCGTGGGTACTGTCCACCCGCTCCACCCTCTGCTACCCGCCCCCTAAGTCACAGCTGCCGGGAAGGGGACGTGGAGCCTTCACCATGGCCCCGAGACTTCTCCTGGTCTTTGTCCTCTGTGCCACCCGTTTGCCTTGCCGTGGGGAAGAAGGTAAGGGGGGGCCTGGGTGGGGAACTTTGCCGTGAAAATTCTGGGGTGAGGTGGGAGTTCACTTCCCCTCTGTGTGCCCTCTACGGGGAGGGGTCTCTGGCTGTGTGGGAGAAACTGAGGACAAAGAATCTCCCTGTGGTCACAGCTGGGGCCGGGGGAGCAGAAAGAGAGGGAGAGAGGAACGGGGAGAGACGAAGAGAAAAGCGGACCGAGGGAAAGAGAGGAGGAGGGAGACGGTGGGAGCAAGAAGGGGCGGGAGGAAATCCAGGTGGAGAGAGAACAGGAGAGAAGGGGAAGGGAGAGAAGGAAGGAAGGAGGGGGCTGGAGAGATAGCACAGTGGGGAGTGTGTTTGCCTTGCACGCGGCCGACCTGGGTTCGATTCCCAGCATCCCATATGGTCCCCCGACAGCACCGTTAGGAATGATTCCTGAGTGTAGAGCCAGGAGGAACCCCTGAGCATCCTGAGTGTGACCCAAAAAGCAAAAAAAAAAAAGAGAGAGAAAGAAGGAAGGAGGGGAAGGGAGAGAAAAGAAGAAAGAAGAGAAAGGAGAGAGAAGGAGGGAAAGAGAGAGGGAGAGAAAGGCAGGGAGAAGAAAGAGACATGGGGAGGAGGGAAAGAGGAGGAGGGGGAGAGAAGCGGGGAGGGAGGGAGAGGGAGCAGACGGATATAAAATACTTCCATTCCCGCTTCAAAGCTTGGCCAGAGAACTTCATACCAAGATCTGGGCCACCATGACTGAGGAGCCTCAGTTTTCCCCTCTGAAGAATGGGCTGATGGTCTCTGGATGTTGTGGCGGGTGGGAATTCCTAGCCTCCCGTCTGGGTTCTTCCCCCCACCTTGACTGCAGACATATCGTGGGGTGGGGGGCAGAGCGCAGGGTCAGACCCTGCTACTCCCAGGTAGATCACATGTTAAGGTCATCCGAGGTGACACTGCTCTCCCTGCGGGCTCCCCGCTCAGCGCCCATCCAGCCCCGGGTGCAGTGCTGGTCCTCTAGGTACCCGATCGCCGTGGACTGCGTCTGGATGGCACCCCAGGCTGCAAACAGCACATCCTTCATTGCTACCTACAGGTCAGAAGCCTGAAAGTGGGGAGGGGGGTTACCCAGGGCCCAGCACCCCTAGTGTGAGAGAACCTGGAGCTCAGACTGGGAGAGCACTCAGAGGGCTGAGCAGCCCAAGCACCCGGTGGGGAGCACCACCAGAAAGCCCTCCCGCCCCAGAGAAGATTCACTGAGGTGAAGTCTGAGCCTGAAAGATTCTGTTTTGGATTGTTTGGGGTTTTTTCAGTTCAGTTGGTTGGTTTTGTGGCCACACCCGGGATGTTCAGGGCTGACTCCTGGCTCTGCCTCAGGAATCACTCCTGGCGGTGCTCGGGGGACCCTCCCCGCTGTCCCCTTGCTCTGGGCTCCCGGGGAGCTGTCGCCTCCAGGGTCACACAGCCAGCTCAGAGTGCAAGCCCAGGGGGTCCCGCTGGGGCGGTCAGGGGCCCCCGGCCATCACAGTGCCCACCCCCTCTCCAGGCTCGGAGTGGCAGCCCACGGGGAGAGCCGGCCCTGCCTGCGCCCCGCGCCCGAGTCCAATCACTGCACCATCCCTGAAGTCCTGCTCTTCTCCATGCTGCCATACGTGCTCAACGTCACGGCCGTCCACCCCGCGGGCGTCAGCAGCACCTTCCTGCCCTTCGTCCCCGAGCACATCAGTGAGTATGTGGTGGTAGGGCTGGGGGCTCCCCCTGCCGGAAGCTGGTCCTCCCCCCTCTCCTCCTGTCTGCCCAGCTTGGGCTCAAACCCTGGTCATCCGCATGCCCAGCAAGGGCCTTCCCCACTGCACTATCTCCCTGTTCTTCCTTGTAGACTTTTTTTTTGGTGGCGGGGGCAAACCTCGCCGTGCTCCTGGCTTGCTCCTGACTCTGTGCTCAGGTATTACTCCTGGCAGGGCTTGGGTGCTGAGGATCAAATTCAGGTCAGCCTCGGGCAAGACCAGCACCCTCCAGGTTGGAACAATAATACTGCAGGGAGGGAGTCTGCCTTGCACGCGGCCGACCTGGGTTCGATTCCCGGCATCCCGTATGGTCCCCCGAGCACTGCCAGGAGTAATTCCTGAGTGCAGAGCCAGGAGTAAGCCCTGAACATCAAGTGTGACCTAAAAAGAAAAAAAAAAGGGTTGGGGGGTGCTGGAGCGATAGGACAGAAGGCAGGGTGCAGGCCTCTCATGTGACTGATTCAGGATTGATCCCTGACCTCACATTCGGTCTCCTGAGCCCTGCCAGGAACTGGCCCTGAGTACAGCCACGTGTTTCCCCTAAAAGAATTCAATGGGCTGGAGCTATAGCACAGTGGGTAGGGCGTTTGCCTCGCACGCGGCTGACCCGGGTTCGATTCCCACCATCCCATATGGTCCCCTGAGCATCGACAGGAGTAATTCCTGAGTGCAGAGCCAGGAGTTACCCCTGAGCATAGTGGGATGTGACCTAAAAAGAAAAAAAAAGACCAAAGACCAGCGGCCTCCCCTCCTGTAGACTCTTGCCAATAATTTGTTGGAGGAGTGAACGCTTCTGCCTCTCTCTTGCCCTTTAGTTAAACCAGATCCTCCAGAAAGTGTGACGCTGAGCCCCCTTCCTGGGCGTCGGCTGGGGGTGCAGTGGAAACCACCCAGCTCCTGGCCCTTCCCAGAGATCTTCTCCCTTAAGTACTGGATTCGCTACAAGCATCATGGAGCTGTTCACTTCCGCCAGGTGAGGGCCAGGCGGGTGGGGAGGGCAGATGCAACAAAAGGAACAGCAGGTGCAAAGCTGTGAGCCCCCCGCCACCCCCAACCACCACATTACTATTTGGGATGCTAGTGAGCATGGAAGGGAGCCCGGCAATTCTATTTCCGGTGCTGAACCAGAAGCATGTTTGTTTGGGGGACACATCTGGCTGAGCTCGGGGCTTCCTCCTGGCTCTGCACTCAGGAATCCCTCCCTGCGGGGCTCACGTGACTGGGGATAGCTGGGAATAAAACCCAGCTCAGCCACATGCAAGGTTAAGGCGTTTGCCTCAAGCCCTGTACGATCTCTCCAACCCCTAACCTAGAAAATTGGAATTAAGGAGCTGGGTTGGGGGAGCTGGAGCAATAGCACAGCGGGTAGGGCATTTGCCTTGCACACAGCCGACCTAGGTTCGATTCCCAGCATCCCATATGGTCCCCCGAGCACCGCCAGGAGGAATTCCTGAGTACACAAACCAGGAGTAACTCCTGTGCATCGCCAGGTGTGACCCAAAAAGCAAAAAAAAAAAAAAAAAAAGGAGCTGGATTGGGACTCTGCAATGAAGTTTTGAGGTACTTTGAGGTACTTTGAGGTATGAGGCCCTGAGTTTAGTCCCCGAGACTCTTCCCCCACTCCGGGTCAAAAAAAAAATTGAAGGATTGAAAACAGGGACCAGGGACTCAATAGATGCTTGCAAACATGTTCACGACAGCCCGAGGGCAGAGCCCCGAGGACCAGCCACAGAATCACACGGGGGATGGGGGGGAGGGGCTGTTCTACCATTGGAAATGTGTTTGGCTGTGAAGAGCAGCTGGGGCAGGGGGTGTCTACAAGTGGCCCCTCTGCAGACAGGAAACATGTCTGGGGTCCAAGCACAGCAGGAAAACCGCCGGCCAAGCTCCTGGCTGACCTGGATTCAATCCCTGGCACATAGTTCCTTGAGACCGCCAGGAGTGATCCCTGAGCACAGAGCCAGGAGTCAGCCTTGAGCACTGCTGGGTGTGGCCCCTAAAAAGAGTAAAGGGTCTATGGTGACTGTGAAGCCCATTGTCCAAGGGTCTCCACTGTCTGGCAAGAGGTGCAATGGAATGTTCTAGAACTCGACCGAGCTGGTGCTTGGCAGCTTTGCAAATGCACTGGATGTTATTCAGTCCTCGCCTTAGACTCCTACAGGCTGTGGAGCTCAGCGTAGGGGGTGGGCGGGGGGACATGGTGGCCCCTCCCACCCTCCACCCCTTGACCCTAATCTTTTGGCTCACAGGTTGGCCCCACGGAAGCCACATCGTTTGTCCTCAGTGCTGTGAGGCCCCACGGCAGGTACTGCGTCCAGGTGTCAGCCCAGGAACTCACCGGTTCCGGGCAGCCAAGTGACTGGAGTGTGTCTGCCATCACATCTGGGACCCTGGTTGGGGAGCGCAGAGGCAGCACCCCCAAAGAAGAGCTGTGTCCCTGAGTTCTAGGCTTTCTGCTTCTGATCACTCATTCAAGGGCGGCACCCCGACAGGGTTGGTGGCCTTGCTACTTGCCTCTACAATTGGGGTAGGGGCTTGTCTCTGCATCAACGAGAGGTCTGGATGAGTGAATGAATGAAAAAAAGTAGCTCTTAATTTTGTTGTTTTGGGGCCACACTTGTGCTGGGGGCTCCCTCCAGGCTCCATAATCCTTGGGGGCAAATACCTTGGGGGCCGTAGCAACAGCAGGTGGCATTGCCTTGCATGTGGCAGACCCAGGTTTGATCCCTGGCATCCCGTATGGTCCCTGGGGCCCCACGAGGCGTGTTCCTGAACACAGGGCTCACTCTAACTAACAAGGAGTCAGCCCTTGGTACTGCTGGGTGTGGCCCAAAAATCAACTGAAAAATAAAGCTACCTATCCCTTCTTGGGCCAGCCCAACGCGAATGTCTTGAGAAGGGTCCTGTTTTCTTTTCTCTCACCCCCCCCCCTTTATTTTTTAATTCCTTAATAAAATCTTCCACTACTCTTCGTGAGCCCTTCCGAGTGAATTCTCTCTTGAGGAGACAAGGACCAGAACTACAAAATACAGTCACTTGTCCCAGTAGGATCAATGCCTGAAGTGTCCTCATAGACACAGAACAAGCATTCATACAACGAAGGGTTTGAGGAAGAAATGGGGTGGGCAGTTGTTGGGGGGATGCTTCGCTGCAGGATGGGTTTGGAGCCTAGTCTTTGAGTCTCCGCCTAAGCCCCCATAAACTGCTTTGGGAACTGCCATGTCCCAGCCCATCCCCCACATCAGCGGCAGCGACACAGAAAATCAACTCGCCAACGTGATTCAAAGAGCCCAGCACAAAGGGCGAGCGCTCCACACAGCGCTGTTTGTGGGGTGAACGAATGAACGAGCAAGGATCACGAATGAATGAACGCTACCAGCAGCCACTTCGCGCCCCTCGAAATGTTTCACGAGCCGCCGCCCTCAAGGGGGCGCAGCGCCTCCCGCTTGCACACCCTCAGTTCCGAAGGATCGCGGAACCGTTGTTGCGCGCTACCGAAGTGGCAACTCGGAAGTTTAAAATAAAGCAACGACCAGCAAGGCTTTTGATGGACGGGGATGGCAGCCAATCAAAAGAGTAAGCGGGGTACCTTACAACCAATCATCGCTATCCAAGGAAATGAGGTCGACGGAAGTGGAAGGGACGGTCCGGGAATCTTGGTAAATACCGGACCTTTCCAGGTCTCTCGCGCTTGTGAGAAGAGTAGGACGCAAGATGTCGGAGCGAAAAGTTTTAAACGTAAGTGTTCGGGGACTGGAACTTTCTGGCTGGCGCGGGACATCTTGGAGCGCGGGACGTGGTGGGCTGCCTTAAACTAGTCCCTACGGGACGGGCTTTCTTCCTCCATAACGGCCTTCCGCGGGGCTGGGCTTCCCAAACCCCTCCCAATCACCTTTGGGAAGGGGTGGGTCTTAGCTAATTGCTCTCCCTGATTGGGAGTCCAAGACGGGAACTATCCAATTATCTCCTTGGGGGCGTGGCCTTTAAAGGTAAAGTTCCAGGGGCGTGGCCCCGTGAAGCCACACCCCTGAGGGGGCGCTCGCCCTGGAGGGTTTTAGGTTTTGCTAAATTGTTCCGCTCGACTCATTAAAGGGTTTTACCAGTTGCTTCCGTTTATCCCTGTTAGATCTGTTGTGGGGATGGAGAGGATTTAGGAAGATAGACTTTCACTGGTAGAGAATGTTCAGTCCGGGAGGGTGTGTGACCCCAAGAACGGACTGAGCTGGCCAAGGTGGGAGTGTGCCATCCGAGATTTCAAGAGCCCTCAGTTCCACGGGGTCGGCTTATGTGGCTTAGCAGCCTCATCCTTAAGTTTCTCTAGTAAGAGTCCAGCCCCTCAATGCTCCCAAGTTTCCGTCCAGTGATCTGGACTTCTGTCCATGAACCTCCATCCATTCCCAGGATCCTTGGGGGAACCTTCCGCGAGTCCCTGGGAGATGCTGCGGCCTGGGGTCCCCACCTCCGCACGGCTGTGAAACCAAAGTTCTTGTTTCCCGGGGCACGTGAAAAAGTTATGTGCGGGGGGCTGGAGCCATAGCACGGCAGGGAGGGTGTTTGCAGCCGACCTGGCTTCGACTCCCAGCATCCCGTATGGTCCCCTGAGCACCGCCAGGAGTAATTCCTATGTGCAGAGCCAGGAGTAACCCCGGAGAATGGCTGGGTGTGACCCAAAAAGAAAAAAAAATTAATGTGTCTGCTCTAGTTCGCCAGGCGGCACTGGAGCCCTAAAGCACACCCCTGATGTCAGGGTGACCTAGAATCAGGTGAAGTCCATTAGATTTATCTGGAAGGGTCATGGCCAGCACTGTGTGTAAAGAATGCAGCATCTCTGCAGTGCGGTGGCCCACCCGGTTTCCATGACTTTAGAAGATTCTGCACGTTCCAAGCTTGTCGGATCCTTGTGGGTGGGTGGGTGGGTGGGTTATCCGTTTTCTAAGAGTCACGCCTTGGCCAGGGAGCTCGGAGTGGGCAGCGAGGCCAGTGAGGTGACCACTGCAGCCACTGCAGGCTGGTTTCTGGGACATACCCGGCAGTGTGTCCCAGAAGTCAGGCCAACACTGAAAACTCCAGGCCCGGTATCTCCCAGCGCCCCCCCCCCCTTTGTTATTTGCTTGCTGGGGGATTTGGGTGCCATCCTGTGGGACACCATTGAGAGAAAACTCTGGATACTTGTGGGTGTTCTCCCTGGTTCCTTCTTCTGTGGTTTTCCCCTTTGCTTTACTCATTTTCCTTGTCTTCCATTTTCTGCCTTAAAGAGTTACCCCTGGGGGGCTGGAGCGATAGCACAGCGGGTAGGGCTTGCACATGGCCAACTCAGGTTCAATTCCCAGCATCCCATAGGATCCCCTGAGCACCTCCAGGAATGATTCCTGAGTGCAGAGCCAGGAGTGACCCCTGAGCATTGCCAGGTGTGACCCAAAAAAGAAAAAAAAAAAACAGGAAAGAGTTACCCCTGGGCCGGAGCGATAATATAGCAGAGTATAGTTTGCCTTGCATGCAGCTGAACTGGGTCCAATCCCCGGTATCCCGTATGTTCCCCCAAGCACTGCCAGGAGTAACCCCTGAGTATTGCTGGTTGTGACTCAAAAAACAAAAAAGAGTTACCTCTGTGAAGGGTGCTTACCTTGTGTCTTTGTATGTGGCTAACCTGGGTTTGATCCCCAGCACCACCACATATGGTCCCCCACAAGCTCCCCTCGGAGTGATCCCTGAGTCCAGAGCCGGGCAGTCAGTCCTGAGAACCGCCAGGTGTGACCTCAAACCCCAAAATAAGATTAAATGTCTCCACCACGGCTAGGGACTCGAAGGTCCAGTCCTGAGGCTGGGGCAGGGCGTCCCCGAGCCTGTGCAGAAGCAGCTCCCCTAACTCTCTCCCCGCCCCGACCTCCCCGACAGAAATACTACCCGCCCGACTTTGACCCTTCGAAGATCCCCAAACTCAAGCTCCCCAAAGACCGGCAGTATGTGGTGCGGCTGATGGCGCCCTTCAACATGAGGTGAGCAGACCCGCCCCCACCCTCACCCTTCGGGCAGAGAGACCCAGCGCCCCACCCCGAGCCAAGTAAGTTACCTCCTGGGCCCCTTAGTGCCCCCAGCTGCCATCTGGTGGCAGAGCATCTTTTTGAAAAATGGATTTGGGGAACCATTAAGACTCAGTCGTTACCTGTTAGCTATTGGAAGAGCTTGCCACGATGGGGTGCCGCAGGGATATGCCACAGAGGGAAGGGGAGACAAATACGAGAACCCTTGCGGTGGTGCCAAAGGGCCCCGACATCTCTCCAGCGGGACCCCCTGGGGCTCGGAAGGAACTTGAGTCTCTCACCAACTCCCACCCCGCACAGATGCAAGACGTGCGGCGAATACATCTACAAAGGCAAGAAGTTCAACGCCCGCAAGGAGACTGTGCAGAATGAGGCCTACCTGGGCCTGCCCATCTTCCGTTTCTACATCAAGTGCACACGCTGCCTGGCCGAGATCACCTTCAAGGTAGGGGCGGGCCTCACACCTGTCAGTCTGGAAGCCCTGCCCACCCGCCCAGTGGGCCGCCCCCAACCTGCCTGGGCGCCTGGTTCACCTGTCCCCACCCCATCCCAGTCTGCCCGGGAGCCCCGCCCATCTCCCTGCCCCCTCCCTTCAGGGAACATCCCCCCATCTCCTTTCCCACCACACCTCCAGTAGATCAGCTAAGGCTTGGGGGAGACTCTCCTAGCTGCTGAAGGAAGTGGGGATTGGGAGTGTCACGCGACGCTGTCCCTTGTGGCCCAGGATTGCCCTGTCACTCATCCTGCCGGTATTCATAGGGTCCAAGCACCCTGCCGGCATACACTCAACTTCCAGTAATGGGATTCACTGGACATGCTCAGGCAAACTCTGCGAAGCCAATGTTGAAAAAGAAATGCCCAAGTCTCGCTTTCTGGACTGGAGAGATCAGACATGGTTAAGGCACTTGCCTTGCACGCGGCCACGCTGGGGTTTGATTCTGGCACTGCATAGGGCCCCCTGAGCCACCTGAAGCTATCCATGAATGCAGAGCTAGGGGTAAGCCCTGAAACCAGAAAGAAGGAAAGAGAGGGAGAGATTGAGAGAGAGGAGAAGGGGGGCGGAGGGAGGAGGAAGGAAAGGAAGGGGAAAGGGAAGGAGGAAGGAAGGAGGGAAGAGGCAGAAAGCAGCGGTTCCCCAGAGGGAGGCGCCTGTTTGGTGCACCCAGTGGCGACGCGCAGGGACCTGGGGCTGACGTCTGCCCGCCCTCCTCCCAGACAGACCCCGAGAACACCGACTACACCATGGAGCACGGGGCCACACGCAACTTCCAGGCCGAGAAGCTCCTGGAGGAGGAGGAGAAGCGGATCCAGAAGGAGAGGGAGGACGAGGAGCTGAACAACCCCATGAAGGTGTGCGGGGCATGGGCGCGTGCACACGTGGTGTGGTGCACGCATGTGCGCCTGTGCCTGCCTGCAGGTGTGCACGCGGGCCAGGGCTTGGCGGAGCAGAGCTCTCGGTGCCCCTCCCACTGGGGCTCCCTGATTGGGACTTGGGGCCTGGGGGGGGTGTTCTGTGGAGCCCGAAAGAAACGCCGGTTCCCGCCTCCTGGCCCCATGCCCTGTGTCTGAGGGATGTGGCCCCGGAGCAGGTGCAGCTGACCTGGGGACGGGTTCGCTTGGTTGCGGCCGAGAGCCCAGTGGGTTCATTCCTCGCCTTCCCGGCCGTACCATGCATGGCTCCAGAGCTGACCCGGCCCTGGGACTCTCTGAGCTGTGTCCCCCTCACGCCCCCGCCCCGCCCCTGGGTGACCGCCGTGGCCAGGCAGGGTCAGGGTGGGACTGAGAGGCGTCAGCCCCTCACTGTCCCGCCCTCCAGGTGCTGGAGAACCGGACCAAGGACTCGAAGCTGGAGATGGAGGTGCTGGAGAACCTCCAGGAGCTCAAAGACCTGAACCAGCGGCAGGCCCACGTGGACTTCGAGGCCATGCTCCGGCAGCACCGCATGTCAGAGGAGGAGCGACAGAAGCAGGAGCAGGAGGAGGATGAGCGGGAGACGGCGTGAGTGACCCCCTGCCCGCGCCGTGTCCCCCTCTGCGGGGTCGGGAACGGGCGGCCTGGTGGCGGCTGTCGGAGGGGCAAGGGGGCAGGTGCACACACCCCCGGTTCCCAGGTGCGTCCTCAGGTGTCACCGTGTGTCCTGCAGGGTGCTGGTGGAGGAAGCTCGGAAGCGGAGACTTCTGGAAGACTCCGACTCAGAGGAGGAGGCGGCAGCTCCCGCCCTGCCCCGGTCGGCTCTAAGGCCCAACCCCACCGCCATCCTCGATGAGGTGAGCCGGGCCTCCGGACGTCGCACCCATGGAATCTCAGGTCAAGCAGGACCAGACCTTCCCGCCTCCGCAAAGGCCAGACAGTCGGCATCGCTCGCTCAGCACCGACATGCAAAAGCACCCAGGTCCAGGCCCGGCTATGCCCTGTGCCAATAAAACTTTATTCACAAACACGGGTGGGGGGCAGGGGACACTTGTGGATTTTTCAGCCACATGAAAGTCTTAGGGGGGGCTGGAATGATAGCACAGCAGGTAGGGTATTTGCCTTGCATGCGGCCGACCCCGGTTCGATTCCCAGCGTCCCAGATGGTCTCCCGAGCACGGCCAGGAATTCCTGAGTGCATGAGCCAGGAGTAACCCCTGTGCATCGCCAGGTAGCACTTCACTGTAGCACTGTCCTCCCGTTGTTCATCAATCTCCTTGAGCAGGTACCAGTAACATCTCCATTGTGAGACTTGTTACTATTTTTGGCATATCAAATACGTGACGGGTAGCCAGGTGTGACCAAAAAAAAAAAAAAAAAGAAACAACAACAAAAAGTCCTAGGGTGACAGACTGCTTTTCCTGGCACTATGCTCGGGGATCACCCCTGGCAGTGCTCAGGGGACCCCGTGGGATGCCAGGGATCAGCCGTGTGCAAGGCAAGCGCCCCCTGCTGCTGTGCTGTGACTCCAGCCCCTCAATATGTGGTTTAGGAGTTGTAAATGCAGAGTGTGGGATGGGCCACAGATGGGGGTCTGGATATCAGGCTTGGGGGACCGAAGTGGCACAGAGAATTTTAGAGTACGGTGACTTCATCAGCTTAGCTCGGGGAGAGGAGGTTTATCACCTCCTAAGAGGCCAGAGGATGGAGGGAACATGGGGCTGAGACTACCCACTCGTCCTCCCCTGTCACCCGCAGGCCCCAAAAGCCAAGAGGAAGGCGGAGAGTTGGGAGCGGAGTGTCGGCACCCTTGGCACTAAGCCCCGAATGTCAGGCCTGGTCATTGTGAAGAAAACCGACCCAGATGCCAGCACCCTGAAGGATCAGGGGGCGTCTGCCACTGGTATGTCCTCCCTGGGCCCTTGGAGCTGAGTGCAGTGTCCTGGCTAGCCACCCTGGGCTGACTCAGTCCCTCCGGGGCTGCTCTGGGCCTGCATGCAGTCCCCTACTGAGGCCACCAAGTGGCACTGTCTGTTCCTTTTAGTGCAGTTTAGAATTTTTTGTTTTGGTTTGGGGGCCGCACCTGGCAGTGCTCAGGGCTGGCTTGATTGTGCGCTTAGGGATCACCCCTGGCGGGCTTGGGTGACCCTGTGGGATGCAAGGGATGGAACCCATGCAGGTGATGGGTGAGGCAAAAGCCCACCCCACTGCTTTGCCCCACCCAAGAACTGGAGCGCAGTGCCCCAGGGGGCCACCAGGTGGCAGTAGCCTTGTGCTGCCCGGGCGCCTCCTTCCAGCATCGTTGGGGGTCGAGCTCTATCCCCACTGCCAGCAGGACCGGGCCGGGCAGCTTTGTCTCAGTCATCCCTGAGCTGATGTCTGTGGACCCCCACTGGGGGCGGCCCTTCCTTGGGTCTCGCTCTCCCATCTTGTATGAACGTACTTCATGGGCCTCAGCTATGTTCCCAGCTTGACTCCAGCTAGATTCTGGGCTTGCTCCAGTCCAGGGGTTCGCACCTGGACCGCAGCCCGGTATGCAGCGAGAGATACCAGCACCCGGGGGCCTTTATCATCAGACCAGGGGGTAGCCCCGAGAGGGCTAGACACTTGCCTGAAGCCACACAGCTGGCAGGTGCGGGATGGAGCTGGGCCCCGCCTTCTCCCTGCCCTCACTCTTGCCCTGGTCTTGCCCTGTGGGTTTCATTAAGTCCGTGCCCCAAAGTGGACTGGACTGGGCCACCCAGCCTCTGAGTACTTCAGCCCATGTCCAAGTGCCCCAAGAATCCGCCACCATGCCCCCCCCACCCCCCCCCCCGGCTGACAGGGGGCCGGTCGGACAGACGAGACCCTCACTAGCTCTTGCCTCCCCCCCCCAGGCTGTGTGAAGAACGGATCAGCGGCCGATCATGCCCCCCCGAAGCCCGTGTCCTCCTCCCTGAGCCAGCTGGGGGCCTATTCGGACAGTGATGACAGCAACGGCAGCAGCTGAGCCCGATCCCCCACCCCCGCGGGCACCCATCGCCCAGCCCGCCTGACTGTCCAGCGCCAGCCGCCGACCAGCAGAAGCCTCCGGCCCGGCCGCCAGCAGGATGGTCCCAGACGCGGCCCACTGTCCCCCCTGTTCCCGCACACACGTGCCAGCCCCCCAGGACCTTGGGTCCGAGCTCACGGTTGGTGCCATCCCAGCCTTTCTTCCCATCCCCCCGTGTCGCCGGGTTTGGGGTCACAGCGGTCTTTCCCATCAGAGCCGGCGGCAGTCAAGGAGACGGCACGGCCGGGTGGAGGGGTGTCGGCCCCTTGGCCCCGTGCCAGACACTCCCATCCCGGCACCGTCGCCCTGAGAACCTGGTGTTTGGTTTGGTTTGGGGGCCACGCCCAGCAGTGCTCGGGGCTGACTCCCGCCTCTGTGCTCAGGGAATCACTCCTGGTAGGGCTCGTATGGGGTGCCAGGAATTGAACCCACGTTCACCGCGTGCAAGGCAAGCTCCCTCCCCGCTGTGCTGTGGCTCCGGGCCCAGGAATAAATGTCTGTGCTTGAACCCGGGCAGCGTGGGGGCCGATGGATGCTGCAGCCGGAGCGGCCCCGTCATCCTGCCCTGCCTTTGCCTGGACGCCCCCCACCCCAGGCCCTGCTGATGGCCCCCCTCGGGAGCCCCAGGGCTCTCACCCTCCCTGGGAGCTGGTGGCCTCTCCCGACTCCTCTTTTGGCTCTCGGGGGCTCCCTGGCACCGAGCACCTCAGCAGCCCCTTCCTGCCCCACCCCGCCTCACAGGGACAGGGTCTCCCACGCCTTCCTCACCGCTGCCTCCCTGGACAGCTGAGTGGGGAAGCCGGGCCCAGGGCTCAGAGCAGGACGGGCAGGACCCAGTTCCCGCGCCGCAAGTCCCCAAGCTGCACCTCGCATCCTTAGCCCTGCACCACTCAGGCTACGAGCTTATATCTATGTCTCCTCTGCTAGATTAGGGGTGGTTGAAGTCTGCCATTCCTCCTCTGTCAGACTGGGGGCCTGGAAGCCCTCAGACTCTCCCTCAGACTCCGGGCCCCTGCAAGCAAGCAGTTTTGGGATCCCCCCCCTCCGTCAGAGTAGGTCACTTCAAATCGGAAGGGTCCGCATCCCCCATAAAACAGGTTTCCAGTGGCAGCTCGTGCCTCTTTCATTGGACTAGAGCCCTGCGGTCTGATCCACATCTCCCCTTCGTCTTGCCTGTGCTTCAGAGGGGAGGATTCAGCCTCCTCCATCAGACTATGGGCACCTGAGAGAGAAACTGTGTCTCTCCCGTCAGACTCTGAGTTAAGGAAGGAGATGCTCAGCACGGACTCCCGGCCCTGAACTCAGGGGTCACTCCTGGCAGGCTTGGGGGGCAGAAGGGATGCTGGGGATCGAATTCCGGTTGAGCGAGGCAGCCACTCCCTCCCCCCCCCCCCCCCCCCCCGCGGTCCTGTCACTCCGGCCCCTCTGGATCCCACTTTCTGAGCTGCCATGCAGGTTGGGTGACAGACACCAGAAGGGCCACCTGCCCCCTTTAAAAAGCAAAGAAAGCACCTGAGGTCACCTGTGATCTGTAGCTTCCAGCGGCCACCCCCTGTTGTCCCAGTGGTCACCCCTCATTGTCATTGCCCTTCTCACAGGTGGGAAAGGAATCAAAGTCACTTCACAAGCCAGCGGTGGGGGCCAAGGGACAGTACAGAGGGTTGGGTACTTTACTTTGGGGACCCGGGTTCAATCCCTGGCTTCCCATAGGGTTGTCCCCCCCCCCAGCACCGCCAGGAGTGATTGCTGAGTGCAGAGCCAGGAGGAACCCCTGAGCATTGCCGGGTGTGACCCAATTAATAAAAAACATCAGGAGAGGGTCCGAAAGCCGCCATGAACTCTGGATTCCCCCAATTACCCCCCTCCTGGCTTTCGTGCAGTTACCCCAACATCCGTGTCCTCAACCCCAAGAACTGATGTGTGGCTACTCTGGTTTTCACAGACCCCAAGCGCAGCTCCCTTCCTCCGCCCGTCACTCCCCCCTCACACCCCCCCCCCCCCCCCAACACATACACACACTCGCTCGCACGCTTCTCTGCTCTGGGCTGGAGAAACTGGGAAGCAGAACCCTCTGGAGAAACCAGCTCAAAAGCGCCTGGAAGTCAAACGCCGTTTGATCCCGCCTGCGGGCGCCCCCATTGTTATTCCCAGCACACGCGGTAATTAGAAAGTCCCTTTCAAATATTTATACCTTGAAGCGCGCTATTTATCCGGCGGCTGGGAGAGGCTGGGGACTTGATGAGGTCTGTCAACAGCTCGTCCCAGCCAGGATCGCCTGGCGGCTGACAGAGCTGGACAATTACCCGCGGGCCAGGGAGCTCCCAGGGGACCAGCTGCCTCTCTGTGACGGAAAGGCGGGGGGCAGTGCCGGGGGTGCCCTAGGAAGGCACCACAGAGAGGGAGCTGCAGCGCCTCAGATTGGGCTTCTGACCTGCCTCCACCAGCTCTGGGCCTCGGTTTCCCCATCTGCAAAACGGTACTGACTGTGCCTAGTCAAATCATCTTCCGTTGTCAAGTCCAAATGAGCTGCCTGGACTCGGCCTCACCGATCTGTGCCTCAGTTTCCCCTTGGTAAAATGACGTCTGTGGCTGAAGAGATAGTGCAGAGGGTGGGGGGTGAGGCGCTGGCCGTGCTCACGGCTGACCCGGGTTTGATCCCGGCGTCCCTTGGGATTCTCTGCGCCCCCTCAGGACTGGTTCCTGAGCACAAAGCCAGGAATAGGTTCTGAGCATCACTGGGTGTGGCCCGCCCAAAATGACAAAGCTGGGGCTGTCCCTTTGGGTCCTCTGGCTATTCCTTTTTGGCCCCCTTATTTCCACACACACACTCGGCAGTGCTCAGGACTGACTCCTGGCTCTGTGCTCAGGGATCACTCCTGGGTACAGCCATCTGTGGTGTTGTCTCCAGCCAGCTCCCATTTCTTGCAGCCAGGAAGCCCTGATGCCCCCCTCCAGACCCCCTGGCGTGCACCGTGACCAGGCTGGGAGGCAGGACTAGGGGGGCTGCCCCTCCCTGCCCGCTTCCTTCCTCCTCCATTCATTGGGGGAACCCAGCCAGTTCTCTCTGGGGAAAGATAAAAGATGGTGGTGGTCAGGGACACCCCCCCATCCCAAGTCTCCCCCAAACACACACAGCTGCTGGACACACCAGACCCCTCCCTACCTCTCCCCCACACCACCCCCAGAAGCCAGACACACACAAACGGCAGATGCTGAGTCCTGGTCCCCCCCCTTCACCCCCAGACACAGATCTCATCTCGCGCGCTCCCGCGGCCAGCTGCCCCAGCCCCGGCTGCCGCCCCCTGCCATGAGGCCCCTGAGAAGGTGGCGGAGGAGCCAGATGTCCCCGCGTCCCCGGCTCGCCCCCCTTCCTTCGCGCTGACCTCCCGGGGCTGCGTTGTGCCGAGTGGCAGGTGCGCGGCTGGTGCCCCTCCATCGCTGCCACCCACCCTAGTCGGGTCAGGGCCAGCCCTCCCCAGATGCCCCCGCCCCCGCCCCCCTCAATCCCCGCCTCCTCCCCCGTTGTTCCCCCGCGCTCAAGGTCAGCGTGCCTGGGGCGCACGCCCCCTCCACTCCAGGGTCCTGGGGGGTCCGTGTCCAGCGGCTCGCTCGACCTCCGGGTGCGCCCTCGCTCCGCCTCTCCCACCGCGCATCACCGCAACCGCGGGGGGGCTCTCCCTCCCCAGAACACCCTGAAGGTCTCTGTCACCTCGGAGGGGAGCGCAGGGGGGCGGGGAAGCTTTGACGTCGCTGCCCAGGACGCGTCCCCCCACCCTGGGGCGGGTAGGAGCTGGGGCGTCCGCCTGCGCGCCCCCCTCTCCCCCAGTCCCCCTCCTCTCTGCCGGGCGCGCGCCGCTGCTGGCGAGGAAAGTCTCCCCCAAAACGGGAAGGGGGGCGGGAGGAGGTTTTATTCCCCTTTGTGCCAGATCGTGGCGGCCGGGCCGGGCGGTGGGGGGCGGCGGGTTCGGGGAGCCCCTCGGCGCGGGCTGGAACGCAACAAAGGCGGTGCGGCTCCGGGGATCACCGGCCCCGCGGCCCCAACTTTGCGCGCCGGCGCGTGCGCCCCCCGGGAGACCCGTCTAGGACGCGGGGGGCGGGCACCGGGGTGAGGGACCTCGGCGGGCGCCGCTCGGCGCGTCCACGCCCGCCCCCGATTCCGCGCCCCCTCCCTGAGCCGGGGCAGCACCCCGGGACCGCGAAACTCCGCGCGCTTCCGACCTGCGCTGCGTCCCCGCGCGCCCCCCAACCACGACTCCCGCGCCTCCTCGGGGCGCCCCCTTACCCGCCGTCCCTCCAGAACCGGTGAGGGCTCAGGTGCGGTCTGCTCCTTGGGGCCCCGAAGGGCCTCCTCTTTTTTCTGCGCCCCCTTTTTACACCCCCCCCAAGGCCAGCCAAAGGGCGCACAGATCCCGGACATCCGCCCCCCCACTCCCCCCGCCAGACTCATCCGAGGAAAGGAGGCATGTGAGCCCCACTCCGACAGTGGCCAGCTTCGGGGGGTGTCACGCAGCCCGATGGCGAAGTGGCTGCGGGACTACCTGAGCTTCGGGGGCCGGAAGCCCCCTCCGCAGCCGCCCACCCCGGATTACACGGAGAGCGACATCCTCCGCGCGTACCGCGAGCAGAAGGACCTGGACTTCGAGGACCCCTACGAGGACACGGACCTGCGCCCCGAGCCGGACCCGGCGGGCGCCGCCGGCGACGCCAGGAGCCCGGGAGAGGTCAAGTACGATTCTCCCAAACACCGACTCATCAAGGTAGAAACCGCCTCGGACGCCAGGGCCAAGGCCCTGCTGGGCTGCCCTGGGGACGAGGTGTGTATGCTCATGAGAGGCTGGGGGGGCCTGGGAGTGTGGGGGGCCCACCCCCAGTCCTGGGCTTTGAGGAGCTTGTTTCATGGGGGACATCGGGGCCTTCAACCAGGCACTGGGTAATCTCCCATGCAGGTCTGAGTCCGGGGCCCTGTCCCTTCTACACTGTGTAGCTGGACCCTTTTCTGTTTTTTGACTTGTTGGCTTTTGGGGTCACATCCAGCGATGCTCAGGGGTTCCTCCTGGCTCTGCACTCAGGAATCACTCCTGGTGGTGCTCCGGGGACCCGGTGGGATGCAGGGGACCGAACCCGAGGTGGCCGCATGCGAGGCAAACACCCTCCCCGCTGAACTACTGCTCCGGCCCCCTGGACCCTCTTTTGTCTCCCTCCTGCTCCGCATCCTCCCCCTCCAGCAGCCTCTCTCATAAGAAACTGGACAAATCTTCCTTCCACAAACCCAGACAGTCCCCTGAGCACCCTGATCTCACCTCTCTGCCTGGCCTGTTCTTGTGCCCATTTTGCAGAAGTAGAAACTGAGGCTCACAGTGTCAGGGGCACTGCTCTAGAATTTGAACCTGGCCCATGCTTTTCTGGTATTCCCACCTCCTCTCCAGGGCATCAGGGACCCCTGCCCCTCAGAAGACACAGAACAGAATTTGAGAAGGGGGATGAGAGGTCGTGCTGGGTAGTGGAGAAAGGCATAGGACTTGGGAGTGTGGGCGAGAAAGTGGGGATCACAGTGCGTGCACATCTTGCTTCAGTGCTGTGTGACCCTGAGCCGGTCGCTCACCATCTCTGTGCTTTGGTTTGCTCCTCTGTAAAATAGTGGTCGATGCATCCCACAGGGTCCCCCAAGGACCTCCAGGAATAGTTCCTGAGTGCAGAGCCAGGTGTCAATCCTGAGCATCACCAGGTGTCTCCACCCACCCATGCAAAAAAAAAAAAAAAGCAGTGCTTAAAACTGATTATTATTCACAGGATTTGGAGGTGTGTGTGTGTGGGGGGTGCTTTTGTTGTATGTAGGTGGGCGGTGGTGGTTTCTGGAAAGATAAGGAAGAAAAATAAAGGAGGGCAAGAGCTAAGCGAGTATTTGTCAGTGAACACTTGTGGGCGACAGAGCCCTGCATTGTCGCCCGTGCAGCCCCAACAGAACTGCTTGGGGAAGTAAGGCCACTTGCCTGGCACGCAGCTGACCCTGCCCCGAATCCCTGGAACCCTATACGGTCCCTTGAGAACCTCAGAGATTGCTCCTGAGCACAGACCCAAGAACAGCTCCTGCGCTGAGCTGAGAATATACCCCTCTCTCTTCCTCATCCCCCCAAAAAAGAGGGCCAGGAAGATAGGACGAAGTTTGCCTTGCTTGCATCCCGCCCAGGCTCAATCCCGGCATCCCATAGACTCCCCTGAGCACCACTAGGATTGGTCTCTGAGTCCAGAGCCGGGAGGAATCCCTGAGCATTGCCAGAGAGGGCCCCCCAAATAACCCCCTCCCTCCAAAAAGGAACTGCTTGTGCGTCCCGAGGACAGGTGTGGTACCTGGACTCCCCAGCAGGGGGCGCCAGGAGTTTGCGCCCCTGAGTTCATGCCCCGCTCCCTGTCCTTTCTCCAGTCGGACGGGGACGCCGAGTACTCGGACCCTTTCGATGCTCAGCCTCCGCCACCAGCCCCCGACGACGATGACGGCTATATGGAACCCTATGAGGCCCAGCGGGTGGTGAGCGGTGAGTGGACCACCAGGCCGGAAGGGAGAAGATGGGATGCCGGGGGGATGGAGGTTAAGGTCGGACCCGTGTCCTTGGCTTCCCAGAGTTCCCAGGTGGACCTGTGCACCTGTATGACACGCCCTACGAAGGACAGGGCGAGGAGCCGGAAGAGGACGCGCGGTCCGCGGCGAGGCCTCGCCAGAGCCGGCTGCCCCAGGGGGATGAGCGACCGGCAGATGAATATGACCAGCCCTGGGAGTGGAAGAAAGAGCATATCTCCAAGGCCTTTGCAGGTGCGTCTCCAACGCAGAACCTCAGTCCCCTGCCCCTGGGAGATTTTGTTAATTCCTGTGTTTGGCCGCACCCGGCGATGTGGCATAGGGGCCGGGAACCCCATGGGAATGCCTGGGATGGGGATCGAACTTCGCTGCGTGCAGTGCAGGCGCTCTATCCGCCGTACTAGGCTAATTCTAACTCAAGTGTTAAGTGGCTGGAAGGAAGAAATATTCTCCCCTGGAGTGGCAGTACCGAGGACAAAGAATGGGAATTGGGTTTCCGGTGCCTCGGCCTGTTTATACAAGGGGAAGCTGTCCTCTAGCCCGATCCCGCCCACATCTAGCCTTGCCCCTGATTCGACAGACGTGGACCTGCCCCACCCCTATCAACCACTGGTTTTACATGAACCACGCCCCTTTCTCCCGAATGCTAATTGTTGCACGAGTACCAATCCTGGCCCAGCCTTCACCCCAGACCCACCTCCTCTGGATTCTGATAGGTTGGTACTAGCTAGTCCCGCCTTTACTCCTGAAATTCTATTGGCTCGCCTTGGCCATGCCCCATCCCAGGTAGATTACTTTCACGGTCACTGTCACTGTCCTCCCGTTGTTCATCGATTTGCTCAAGCGGGCCCAGTAACATCTCCAATGTGAGACTTGTTACTGTGTTTGGCATATTGAATTCGTCACGGGTAGCTTGCCAGGCTCTGCCATGCGGGTGAGATACTCTCGGTAGCTTGCCAGGCTCACCGAGAGGGGTGGAGGAATCGAACCCGGCTTGACTGGACCGGCTTTGTGCAAGGCAAACGCCCTACCGCTGTGCTATCGCTCCAGCCCAGATTACTTTATTTTTTAAAATTATTATTATTTTTTTTGTTTTTTGGGGCACACCCAGCGATGCTCAGGGGTTACTCCTAGCTCTGCACTCAGGAATTACTCCTGATGGTGCTGGGGAGCCCATATGGGATGCTGGGGATCGAACCCAGGTAAACTGCGTGCAAGGCAAATGCCATACCTGCTGTACTATCGCTCCGGCCTTGATAGGATACTTTAAACCTTTCCTTTTTGATTGTGTTCTTTCCAGTGCAGTTTGACAGCCCCGAGTGGGAAAGGACCTCAGGCTCTGCCAAGGAATTCCGGAGACCCCCACCCAGAAGCCCTCAGCCTGCAGAACGTGTAGATCCAGCCCTGCCCCTAGAGAAACAGCCGTGAGTAGGGAAGTTGAAGGCTGGAGAATCTACCCTCCCAGTCCCATGTCAGCTATAGGGATGTGGTGGGATGGGAGCTGGAGGAAATTTGATTCATTCATTCACTACATTAATTTTCTCAACTGGGCGCCAGATTCCCTCTAACCACATATCCTGGCTTCAAATCCCTGTTCTGAGTCTCCACGGATCCAAGTCATTTCAGCTCTCTCTGCCTTATGCTCAAATGTCCTAATAGGGCTGCATGCCTCAAATTGAGAAAAGGGGGGTTTCCTTGTCAAAAGGAAACCTCATAAAAGGATCTTTTATATGTAAAAAATGTTGGTTTTTTTTTTTTTTTGCCTTTTTTGGTCACACCCGGCAATGCTCAGGGGTTACTCCTGGCTCTGCACTCAGGAATTACCCCTGGCGGTGCTCAGGGGTCCATATGGGATGCTGAGAACAGAACCTGGTTCAGCTGCGTGCAAGGCAAACGCCCTACTCACTGTGCTATAGCTCCAGCCCCCCCCCCCTTATTTTTAATCCCCCTTAGGACTCATAAGCTTCAACTCTGAGATGGAAGCCATTCTCCTGCCCAGGAAGTCTTGGGTGCAATTGGGGAGGAGCAGGATTTTAAAAGGGTCCCACTTTGGGTGGGTGAGGCGCAGAGCTGGGTAGCTTTGGATCTTCTCTGTGTCCCTTCTGAAAGAGCTTCCCAAACCCCAGCCCTGTGGGGCACAAGTGTGGGGGACATAGTGACACAGAACTGACAGGAGGACACACCAGGGGAAGGAGGTAGATTCACTTTTCAGTTTGCGTTCAGTGCAAACAGCCACTGTTGTCTCTGTGTTTAATACTTCGTGCAACCCACTCTTGGAGCACAGGGGAAAGTATTAAATGGAGAATAGTGTATCTCATGAAAAGTGACACAGTGTAACAGGTTTTGGAGGAGTAGGAAGGGAGGACCCCACGGAGGGAGGCTTTGAAGATTAAGATCGGCTGTAGGTGCTGATTTGGAGAGAGCCCCTCCCTCTGCCCACCGGGTAAGCCCTGGCCACCAGTAAACCTGGCTCCTTTCACCAAGCCAGGGGGAATTTTCCTGCTCGCGTGTCCTGGTGTTCACCAGTACCAGCCTGCTGTGGATCCCAGGGTGCCTTTGAAGGTGGGTTACCCTTCAGATGACCTCTGAACCCTCTTGTCCCCCGTCCCCAAGGTGGTTTCATGGCCCACTGAGCCGGATGGAGGCCGAGAACCTCCTGGCACTCTGCAAGGAAGGCAGCTACCTCGTGCGTCTCAGCGAGACCAGCCCCCAGGACTGCTCCCTGTCCCTCAGGTGAGACTGCCCCTGGAGGTACTGAGGGTCACAGAGACAGGTGGATCCAGGTCAAGGTGATTGGTGGGACTTTGGGTTCCAGGCGGGGCTCTCATGGTGGGTGGGTGGGGTTTCAGGCCAGAGGCGGGGCTCTGAGACTGGGTGGTTTTTTCGGTTGGTGGTGGGCGGGGCCTTTGCTCAGGGACGGGGCTTCTGTGGACAAGGGGCGGGGCTTCCACGGCTTGCAGGCTTGGGGAGATTTCCAGAGTATGAAGCTCTCATTGCCTGCCGCGGGGCCTCCCCAAGTTTCCGACTGGGAGTGAGCTCCCAGTGCTTGGAGGTGTGCGGGAAACTGGTGTGCATGTATCTAAGGGGGGATCCGGAGCAGTAGTACAGTAGTACAGATTGCATGCAGCCAATCGGGTTCAATCCTTGGAATCCCATATGGTCCCCTGAGCACGCACCAGAAGCAGTTTCTGAGTGCAGAGCCAGGAGTAACTCCTGAGCTTCGCCGGGTGTGCAAGAAAAAGGGTTCCTTCATGCTCCCTCCCCAAGCCCAGAGTTGAACCATTTTGTATTTGTCCTGGGTCAGAATCTCAGAGCCGCCCCAGAAGCATGGGGGTCAAGGACCCTGGTTCTGTGCGCATCTCAGCGAGTCTGAGTATAGAAAAGCCTCTGAGCACGGGGTTCCTGAGACAGGAGGCTGAGGCGATGCACTGACAGCAGGTTTGGCACTTATTAAGCTGCGCCGTCTTGGCTAAGTCACCCAGCCTGTGGGCTTTCCCACCTGTGAAACGAGAATCCTAAACGGTAACCATCACTTCCCGGCATACTGGAAAGAAATAAAAACCATACAAGGGGGGAAAAGTCATATTTTGGATAATATTCAAGAACTCGGAAGTGCTTAAGCGATGTTAGTGTGTGTGTGTAGGTGCATGTGTTATGTTTGGGGGCCATACCAGGTGGTGCTCCGGGGCTGCCCCCAGCCTCCTTCGTGCAAGGTGTGTGCTCACCCCTTCATCTCTGGTGTTGAGGCTGATAGAAAGATTACTGGGTTCTAGATCATTCCACCCACCTGAGATGGCATTTCTTGCATCTCCTTTCTGGGAGCTAATAGCGAGGAGCTCAGAAGAGGGCAGCAGAGGGCCAGGGGATTTGTAGAGAAAGTGCACTCTGCATTCAGAGAGAATCACCCCCCTGCTTTTGGGGGTCAGCCTGGGGCTGAGGGCAGGGCTTCCATGGTTGTGGGCGGGGCGGTCAGGGTTATGGGTGGAGCTGGCAGGGTTGTGGGCGGGGCTATGTCGCAAGAGGCGGGGCTTCAGGAACTGCGTGAGGGAGGGAGGAAGGGGATCTGCAGAGCACCCCCCAGCCCGCGTGGAACATGCCCAAGGCTTGTCATGTTAAGTCCATTTCCTAATAATATTGAGGGAGTTGCGAGGAGCGTGGGTGGCCGCCGGGTGCTCAAGCCCCCTTTTGGGTCCCTCCTTGCCCTCTCCAGGAGCAGCCAGGGATTTCTGCACCTGAAGTTCGCTCGGACCCGAGACAACCAGCTGGTCCTGGGTCAGCACAGCGGCCCCTTTGCCAGCGTCCCCGAGCTGGTCCTGCACTACAGCTCCCGCCCACTGCCCGTGCAAGGCGCTGAGCACCTGGCCCTGCTGTACCCGGTGGGCACCCAGACCCACGGCCCCTGATTGGGAGTCTCGGCCGCCCGCTCCGCGCGGAGCCCGAAGCCCAGGTCGCTGGCGGCGCATCCCCCGTGGCCCTCTAGACCCAACGGAGGCCCCAGAGCAGCTGTCCCCGTCCCACCCCCGGCCCCAGCCCCAGCCTTGGGTCTTCCTCCGAGCCACATCCGGGTCCCTTCGGGGGTCTGGAACTGTGTCTGCCGCATCCTCTCCTGGTCTGGGAAATAAATAAGTGATTGTGTGTTTAGAAGGTGCTTGGTGAGAGGCGGGGAGAAGCCGGGGCGGGGGCAGGGCGCCCCAGCTCGGCAGTGCGGGGAGCCGGAACCGACTGGAAGATTGGCTGATTCTCCAGCTGCTCAGCGCTCCCACCTCCCGAGGGCCAAGAGCGGGCGCCCGCCCGGACGACCCAGCTCTGGTGGCTGCGGACCGGCGGAGGCGCGGAGGCGAACAAGGAGAAAGTGAGTGGCCGGCGCGGCCCCGCTCTCGCTCCACCCCCCGCCCCCTTGGAGCGAGCGACGGCCACGGGTCTGCTGCAGAAAGGACATCTGTCCCCATGGAAACCGCAGCACGGGGGAGAGGCGAGGGCCCGCGGCTGCGCAGTCATTTGAAGGTGACAGGCTGGTGGGAGACCCCCGGCCTTGATCAATGTCAGGGAGCCTGGAGTCCCCACCCCCCCCCCGTGCTGCCCCTGTACCCCACATCTTCAAGGCTGGGGAGATACCAACCTGGGAATGCAGTGCTTCTGCCGTGGGCGCTATTTGGAAGCTGGGGGCATCTGCCTCCTAAGGGACGGGATACCCCCCATGAATTTTTCCAGCCACCTCTGAGGACACAGGGGTGCCCCCAGATGAGCAAATCACTTCAGCACACCCAAATCACCAGCAAGTACGGCTTTTGTTTGTCCTCCCCCCTTCCATCACCTTTATTGAGGGTCCTGAGGGAGAGACCCCAGTGTCTGGAGTGAGGATGGGGTGCCCTCTGCTGGACCCTGAAATGTATACTCCCACTTTGTGGTTTGTTTGTTTTTTTTTGGTTTTGTTTTCTGTTTATTTTTGATCCACACCCGGCATTACTCAGGGCTTATTCCTGGCACTGCGCTCAGGGATCACTCCTGGTGGTGTCCAAGGGACCCTATGGGATGTCGGGGATCCCAGGTCAGCTGCCTGCAAAGCAAGTGCCCTTCCCCCTGTCCTGCCGCTCTCGCCCGGGCCCAACCTCCTTTGGAAGCAGTCACATCTTCCTGCGGCCACTAGGAGGCGGTGTCCTCGCCGGCCCGCTGACCATTCTTCTGTCCGCTTCAAGAAGCCTTCTTGGGCCCCACTGGCCAGAGGTGGCTCCTGCTACAGAGACCGGATGCTTGATTTTGGGGTTGGGGCTGAGGCAAGTTTTGGGAATCAACCGCTGCTGGGGCCTGGGAGATTTGGGCAGAGTGGTAGCGTAGACGCCCTGGTCTTTCTGATCTTCTTGGTGGCCTTCCAGAACCTTCCCTTCCACAGGCCAGTCTGCAGTCTTCTTTGGGGTGTGCCGGGGACGGTAGGGAACATTACTGTAGAGAGGATTCTCTGGAAGTTGGGCGGGGGGGGGGGGTGAAGTAAGAGGGAACAATTATAAGGATCTGGTCCTTGTAATGGGACCAGAACAATCCAGAACAATAGCACAGTGGGGGGTAGGGGGGACTTCCCTTGCACGTGGCTGACCCGGGTTTGATTCCTGGTACCTCACACGGTCCCCCAGCACCTCCAGGAATAATTCCTGAGTGCAAAACCAGGAGTAAACCTTGAGCATCGCTGAGTGTGGCTCAAAATAAAACAAGAACATGTGAGAGAGAGAGAGAGGCTTTGGCCCTGGAGCTGGGATGGCACACACGCCGGGTGTGCATGAGGCCCTGGGCTCAGTTCCCAGCACGAAGGGTCCCTCCCCAGCCCTGCTGTGTCTGTGCGCCAAACCACCAGCCGGGCAGGTGTCACTGGGAGAGACTCCCCCACTTCCTGACCACTGTTTGAGGCTTCCCTTAAAAAATAAATAAATAACCAACCCTCCCTCTCTGGCCCAACCCTGGAATCTCTTCTCTGGCTTTTTGTTTCTTTTCTTTCTTTTTTTCTTTTTTTGGTATTTTGGGTCACACCTGGTGATGCTCAGGGGTCACTCCTGGCTCTACACTCAGGAATTAGTCCTGGCAGTTTTCAGGGGACCATATGGAATGCCAGAGATCGAATCCTGAGTGGCTGCGTGCAAGGCAAACGCCCTGCTGCTGGACTATCGCTCTGGCCCCATTCTCTGTTCTTTTGCGGGTGAGGCTGGGCTATATCTGGTGGTGGTGCTCGGGCTGACTCTGAGCTCTATGCTCAGGGATCACTTCTGGGTGGCCCAGGAGACCCTAATACAATATCAGGTTCAGCCATGTGCAAGCGCCCTCCCCACTGTCCTATTTTTGCTCCAGCCCCTGTTCTTTTCTTTTCTTTTTCTTTTTGGATCACACCCGGCGTTGCACAAGGGTAACTCCTGACTCTATACTCAGGAATCACTCCTGGCGGTGCTCGGGGGACCATATGGGATGCTGGGGATCGAACCCGGGTCGGCCACGTGCAAGGCAAACGCCCTACCCGCTGTGCTATCGCTCCAGCCCCCAGCCCCATGTGTTCTTGATATAGTTGGATGGAGTGTCCCTTGCTCTCTGTTCCCCTTCTGGGTCCCCTCCCCTCCCCAGTCACCTGCCTCCCAAAGAAAGGTTAGGAATTCGGAGGCAACTGCATGTCGCTGCAGTTGCCATCTCAGCCACGTGGGGGCGCCAATGGCAGGGGTGATTCCCCCCCACCCCCCACCCCCCACCCCAAGGAAAACTCCTACCGGGCGGGTTCCCAGAGTGGCGGTGGCGGCAAAAGCAGCGGCGCCAGATGCAGGCGGCAGTCCCCAGGATGACCAGGGTCACAGTCACCATCCCTACCACCAGCAGCACGGAGTAGAGTCCTGGAGAGGTAGGGGTAAGTGGGTGACCTTAAGTTCAGGTGGGGCTGGGGAAGGGTGCCCTGAGGCAGTGCTCACCTGGAAAGCTGTCCGTCTCCCGGGCGTCAGTGCGCTTGCTGTCTGCAGAGGGCAGATCTGTGTCTGGGGCAGGTTCACCTTCCAGCTCCTGTACCCCCACCCCCACCCCATTTGGAGTCTGCGCTTGCTGTCTGCAGAGGGGAGATCTGTGTCTGGGGCAGGTTCACCTTCCAGCTCCTGTACCCCCACCCCCACCCCATTTGGAGTCGCAGTCTAGAGGATTTGGGGGAGGGTGGCACACTCTGCAGTGTTCCGTGGTTACTCATGGCTCTGTGCTCAGGAATCACCTCTGGTGGTGCTTTTGGAAGACTATATGGGGTGTCAGGGATCGATCCTGGGGTTGGCTGCATGCAAGGCAAATGCTTTTTACCCGCTGTACTATCTATCACTGCGAGCCCAAAAGGACTTTTTTTTTTTAGGTCACACCCAGCGATGCTCCAGGCTCTGCACTCAGGAATTACTCCTGGCAGTGCTTGGGGGACCCATGGGATGCCGGGGATTGAACCCGGGTCGGTCGTGTGCAAGGCAAACACCCTACTGCTGTACTATTGCTCCAGCCTGCAAAAGGACTTTTAAAACTTTGTCGTGAGCTTTATTATGCTCATCACCTTGGTCAAGAGCTCCATCAGGGCTGGGAGGGAAGGTGGGACAACATGGAGGGCGTTTGCCTTGCACACAGGTGACCTGAGTTCGATCCCTAGCATCCCATGTGATCCCTGAGCACAGCTGGCTGTCCCCACCCCAAAGCAAAGAAAACAAAAAATCTCCATTATCCTCATCATTCTTGGGCAGGAGAGACAGTATAGCGGGGAGGGCATTTGCCTTGCAGATGGCCAACCCAGGTTCAGCCTGGGCATCCTATATAGTTCCCTGAGCACACCAGGAGAGATTCCTGAGTGCAGAGACAGTAGTTAATTCCTGAACATCGCCAGGGGTGATCCGAGAACAAAACTACACACACAGATAAAAACAAAGAGGTTTCTGGGTCTCTTCAAAAGGATCCTGAGGGGCGAGAGTGATAGCACAGCAGGTAGGGCGTTTGCCTTGCATGCAGTGGACCCGGGTTCGAGTCCCAGTATCCCATATGGTCCCCCGAGCTCCTCCAGGAGTAATTTCTGAGTACATGAGCCAGGAGTAACCCTGTGCATCACCGGGTGTGACCCCCCCCCAAAAAAAAAAAAGGAACCTGAATGTGGGATTCATCCCCAGCATTTTTTTTCTTTAACTTTTACACCCTGCAGTGCTCACGAGTTATTTCGTCTGTGCCCGGGGATCACTCTTGTCGGGCTCCGGGCACTCGTGGAAGGCCAGCGATGTTACCCGGATGAGCCGCTTGCCAGGCCAGCGCCCTCCCGCAGTCCTCTCGCTCCTGAGCGCTCAGCGACTGCGGCAGCGGCTGGAAGGAGCCGGCAGCTGTGCGGAGCTGGACCCGAGCCCGCCAGCCCCCTGGCAGCTGCCAGCTCTGCTCCGCCTAGCGCGTGGCTCCCCTGCCTCTGCTAATTGATAATTGGCCCCTTCGTCATTAGTGGGGGGTGGGGGCGGGGACCCTGGTTCTCGCCGCCCTGGAGAGGACTGGAGGGAACGGGCCTCTCCCTGGACCAGGAGCCCATCGAGGCTCCTTTCCGCAGGGCCGAAAGGGGTCGACGCCGGGTGCCACAGCGGTTTGCCAGCGTCTCTTTACGCCATACAGAGCCTCTGCCACAAGGGGGCGCGCTGCAGAGTTGCCGGATGGGGCGATGAGCTCTTGGAAAAACCCAGCCAGGAGGCCGGAGCGACAGCCCTGCTGAGGGTTTTGCCCTGCTCGTGGCCGATGGGGGTTCGATCTCCGACATCCCATAAGGGCCCCTGCGTACCGCCAGGAGTGATTCGTTAGTGCAGAGCCAGGAGTAACCCCTGAGCACCCTTGGGTCTGGCCCAAAAACAGTAATAATAATAATAGTCTAAAGTCTCTTCCCTTGCGTGAAATTAACCAGTTCAGTTTCTGGCACTGCACCACCAGGAGTGATCCTGGAGCCAGGAGCAAGCCCTCCCTAACCCCCACCCCCCCAAAAAAAAAGTCAGTTACAACCCCTGATTTGTGCTTTGATTTGTGCTTTTATGCTTTCATCGTTTGTAACCTGGAGCCTGGGTGTTGAGTAGAATTCTAGAATTCTCAGTTCTTGCTCTCTCCGGGACGGCAGCATTCTAAGACTTTTCTAGTAAAAGTGTTTAAGATACCACAAATCCTCTAACATTCTAGAATCTCCTGCCTCTTGGTTTCAGTGTTTCTCCATCTGTTTTCATTATCAGCCCCTAAGGAGACTTAAAATAAAATCTTAATTTGTTGTCTCATGCAATGTTAATGGCAAAGCTGTTCATGTTCTGTCTGCATGACTGTTTTATTAAAAAAAAAACAAAAAACACGTTTATTCAGCCTGAGTGATGGAACAGCATAGAACACTTGCTTTGTATGTGGTCAACCCAGGTTCAAACCCCGGCACCGATATGGTCCTCAGAGACCCATCAGAGTGACCCTGGAGCACAGAGTCAGGAGTAAGCCCTGAGCACAGTCAGAGGTGGCTCCCAAATGAATTAAAAACAGAAAGAATATCCAGGCCCAGGCCAGGGCCGAAGTGCTAGTCCAGTGTGGAGGGCGCTGCCTCAGATGTGGCTGGACCTGGTTCCATCCCTGACACTCCTTGAGCCCACCAGGAGTTAGCCCTGAGCACAGAGCCAGGAGTCACCCATGAGCACACCCACTGGGTGTCGCCCCAAACAACCCATCAAGAGAAGAGTCTAGAAGGTTCCTCCATGTGCCCCCACACCCCCTCGTACCTGTCTCCTCCACCTGGAGCCGTGTCCCATTGCCTGAGACCTCCTCCAAGCTGGGGATCTCCAGGGTGAAGCAACATGTGTAGTGGCCGCTGTCGTTCCTGCTCATGGGGCTCAGCTGCAGGCTGAACACGCCAGGCGGCCTCCAGGAGAACCGGCCCCGGGGGCCACAGGTCCCTTGGCTGAAGCTCCTATAGTTGACCCGGGCCTGGCACAGGAGGACCTCGTCCTTGTTCCATATGACCCAGAGTTTCTCGACATTCTGGGCATCGTCCACCTGGCAAGTGAACGTCACACTACTTCCAGGTGCTGCCTTCTGCACCGCTGGCTCCTGGTATACACTCAGTCCTGTGGCACTGTGCAGGGCTGCAGGGGAGAGAGGCAGGTGTGCCAGTTTGTGTGTGTGTGAATCAGTGAGACCCTCCTGGAAGATGTAACTTTTTTCTTTTTTTTTTTTGCTTTTGGGGTCACACCCGGTAATGCACAGGGGTTACTCCTGGCTCATGCATTCAGGAATTACTCCTGGCGGTGCTCGAGGGACCATACAGGATGCTGGGAATCGAACCCGGGTCAGCTGCGAGCAAAGCAAACACCCTACTATCGTACTACCGCTCCAGCCCTCCAGAAGTGATTCTTGAGTGCAGAGCCAGGAGAAACCCCTGAGCACCGCTGTGTGTGTCCCCCAAACAAAACAAAAACATAAACTTTATTTTGTAATAATAATAATAATTATTATTATTATTATTTATAATTTTTGCCAGACACAGTGGTATTCAGTGCTTAGTCCTGGCCCTGTGCTCTGGGCTTGCTCCTGGTAGGTCTCAAAAGCCCTTATATGGTGCTGGGGATCACACCAGGGGCAGCTACGTGTGAGGCGAGCGCCTTTACTCTCGGGCCCCCAAAGTTCACATGAATCTAAGCATGGGAGGGAAAACCTAAGGCCCAGGGAGGAAATAAGGTTTGATTGAAGTCTGAAGAAGCTCCCCCTCACTGCAGTTTTGAGAGACTTCGGGGGAGCAGGGGGCGGGGAGGCAACCAAGGGCGGCCAGGAAGCAAAACCCAATAACAGCAATAGAGGCCCCCCGCCCCGCGAGAAGAAGGGCTGAGAGTTTGCTAAGATTGGGGCTGGGGGGACAGGCCAGACTCAGGGGAGTTCAGGGCTGACTCCTGGCTCTGCACTCAGGGATCACTCCTGGCAGGGCCCAGAGGGACCCTCCAGGGTGCTGGGGATCACCTTAAGGCAAGTGCTCTAACCCTTGGACTATCTCTCTGGAGTTTGCTTGGATTTAGAGGGGCCCCCTCCAACCTCCTACAAAGCTGCAAGTGGGACAGAATGGAAAGGGGAACAGATTCCCTCAAGGCTGGGACTGAGGAAGGGCTGGAGCGATAGCACAGTGGGGAGGGCGTTTGCCTTGCACGTGGCCGACCCAGGTTCGATTCCCAGCATCCCATAGGGTTCCCTGAGCACTGCCAGGGATAATCCCGGAGTGCAGAGCCAGGAGTGACCCCCGTGATCCTGGGTGTGGCCCAAAAAAGCAAAACTAAATAAAACAAAAAGTTTGGGGCCGAGAATGTGACAAACCTGAGTAACTCGAGTCCATCATCCAGACGGGGGAATCCTACAACGGGGTGGGGAATCAAATTCAGAGCACCCCCAGCTAGTGGGAGAGATAAGGTGTTGGGAAGGGTGTTCCAGAGGGAATGGAAGTTGCAAAAGCAACTTTAATTTTATTTTCCTTTTCTTGTTGGTAGGGGGTACACCCAGCAGGGCTCAGGGCTTATTCCTGGCTCTGTACTCAGGAATTACTCCTGGAGGTGCTGAAGGGACAAGTGCTTGGGGGGGTTCCAATCGGGGTCAGCTGCAGGCAAGGCAAGCGCCCTCCCTGCTGGACTTTTATTTTGTGCTTGCAAAGGCAGCAACTGGTTAGAGGGTTTTCAGGGGACCAGGAAGAGAAAGTTACATCCACAGAGGTGAGGGAAGTTGAAGGGAACTGGGGAGCGATAGGGCACCGAAGCGGGCCATGCGGGTCACAGTCTGAATGTCAGCCCGGCCCACCAGACCCCCGTACCTCTTCAAGCGGATCCAATATTCTTAGCTACTAAAGCAGAGACCAGGGGCGAGGAGGGCGCTTGCTTCACACTGTCCAGCTGCAATCCACATATAGTCGCCCCCACCATCACACTCGTTCCCTGAGCCTCCCCAGGACTGGGCCCTGAGCACAGAGCTAAGAGCATGCCCTGAGCACCACCGGTGTGGCCCCAAAACCAAAGCCAAGCAGCGAAGCAAAGACTGGGTGGCTGTGATTGCTTTGGGCAGACAGTGGGGCGAAGGTCCCCAGGAGGGCAGGTAGAGGGGAGGGAAGCCCAAGTACTCACCCCAGAAATGCCCTAGAAGGACCAGCGCTGTGCCCAGCGACCCCATTCCTGACTCATCTAGCCCCTCTCTCCTGACTTGCACCCCAGTGTCTGGGCACCGCCCTCTCACGCAACAACTTCCTGCTACAATCACCACCTCCACCACACAGGCGGATCTGACACCCGGGGCCAGATAACAGACACGTCTGGTGGCCACAACTGTTTGAGGCTCTGCTTCCTGTGGCTGCCTGCCTCAGTTTCCTCAAACTTTTTGTTGTCGTTAAGTTTGAAAGGTACTTGGTGGTTGTGGGTGGAATCATAGGTGAAAGGAGTTCTTTCTGGAAGATTCTACGTAAGCTCACCTGGGTTTAGGAGTGTGTGTGTGGGGGGGGTAATGCATGGGAAGGGCAAGTGACATGGAGTGGGGGAGGGTAACAGAGAACCAAGCCTAAGAGAGTTGAATTGCAGAACCCCAGTGTCAGTTTTTCTGCCCCTCCCCCCCACCGTTGCGTTTCACTGTCAGTGTCACTGTCACTGTCCTCCCGTTGCTCATCGATTTGCTCGAGTGGACCCAGTAACATTGTGAGACTTGTTATTGTGTTTGGCATATCAAATATGTCACGGGGAGCTTGCCAGGCTCTGTCATGCGGGCGAGATTCTCTCGGTAGCTTGCTGGGCTCTCCGAGAGGGGCGGAGGAATCCAGGAATCCAACCCCGGTCGGCAGGATTGGCCGCGTGCAAGGCAAATGCCCTAACCGTTGTGCTATCGCTCCAGCCCGTTGTGTTTTAGAGAAATGAATTTCTCTCCTGTGGCTTGGGGTCTCTCCACAGATTACGGGGCGATGCTGTCATCTGACCCCACCCCACCACCTGGAGAGATTGTGGGGGACACAGTCAGCGGTGGGGTTCCTAGGCGCTTAACATTTAATTCTGCCCTCGTCACTGGCTGGCGGGCAATACTACTCGCCGCCCCCGCCCCTGAGATCGGGGTGGGGGTGGGCAACCCAGTTGCCTCAATGTCTCACCCTCAACCACAGTGTGACCTGGTTTCTCACCCAGACGAGAAGAAGGCCTTTGTCCTTCGCAGAATTGCTCCGTTTAACCACGGGGACGTCCTTGTGGTGCGGCCGTGTCCGCACAACCCAGCTCCCACAGCGGAGGCTGCCGGGTCCAATGGATCTTCCAAAGCACCCAGCGTTCTCGCCTTCTGCCCTGAGTAGCAGGGATGAATATCGTGGATGAACATTCAGCACCAGACTGATGGGAATCTCACGGGGGAGCCCGGAGAACCGTAGCTCTGTGGATTCTGGGCTGGCGGGGAAGTCTCTAGAGAAGATGTTTGGGCCTGGGGCTTTGTGGGATGTGTAGGAGTTTGGGTGTGACCCACCCAGAGGAAGAAAAGAAGACTCCAGTGGCTGCAATCCAGCTTAAGCAAAAATCTTTTTCTGCGCAACATCGCTGTGAGCAGGGAAGGGGTCAGATCTCGGAGACAGAACGTGATGGGAACGCATTCCAGTTCTGGAGGACTTGGTGTGAGCTACCTCCCCACCCCCCCACCCCCCCTCCCCCACCCCCACCCCGCACGGGGCGCGGGACTACATTTCCCAGGGTGCTGCGGGGCCGCGCGCGCCTGCGCGGTGAGGCCAGTGATGGAGCGCTGACGGGGGGCGCGGCGGTGGCGGCGAGGGCTCGGCGGGCCATTGGCTCCCGGCAGTGGCCGAGGCGTCTGGGGCACTGGAGGCGCGAGCAGGGCCGGCGGGCCGGGCCGGGGAACCTTTGGAGCTGCAGCGATGGAGGACCAGAGGGTAGGACTGGGGATGCGGCGGGGCGGGGGCGAGCGAGGGGAGGGGACCAGGTGATGCTGCAGCGTCCTCCTGCCCCCCAGCACCCGGCTGCTCTGCAGCCGAAGCCCCACCCCTCCCACCCGGATCTGGACACCCACCTTGACGGCACAGCAGCCCCCCAGCCTCGCCTGGACCGCCCCGCACCCCGTCAGCTTAGCCCCATTCTTGGTGGCTCCCAACCCCCGCCCCACGCCCTCGACCCTCCAGCACTATGTCCAGGACCCAGCCCTGACCCCATCCCCCACTCCTTTCGCCTCCCATCCCTCCTGCGGGCCTGGTGTCCTGCCCCGCCTCCGCCCCTCCTGCTCCGAAGGACAGGTGACCCCACCCCGCAGCCAGCCCCACAAAGCAGCGACCCCCACCCGAGCCTGCCTCAGGGCACCAAGGAATCCTCCCAGCACCCCCTCACCCCCGTCCCTGTTCACCCCGGCCCTCTCCCATTTACCTAGGCCCGCAGCGCCTCACCTTCAATTTTCTCTCTCTGCCTGAAAATCCCTTCCCTCCGCTCGCACCCCAGCTCCGGGTTGGCCCTGCGCCAGGCTCGCCCCTCACCCAGGTCCAAGCCCCACATCGGCGCAAGTGGCCGCCAAGTGGGTGATTCCTGTTCCCGCAGGTGCCATGAGTCTGCGCCCTGCCCCAGCGGCGGCTCTCTCTGTCTCTGTCTCTGTCTCTGTCTCTGTCTGTCTCTCTCTCTCTGAGCCTCAGTTTCCGTCCTGGGAAAATGGAGCTGCTCTTGGTACCCCACCTAGACAAAGGATGCGCGGCCAGAGCTTGCTCCCTACTCCAGAACTTTGGGGGGAGGTAGGTGTTCCGGGGTGCACCCTGGACGGGGTTTAAGCCGCTCCCGTGTGTTCGTGCTTTTGGCGGGGGCCAGGACGCGCTCCGGAAGATCATCACCACGCTGGCCGTGAAGAATGAAGAGATTCAGAGTTTCATCTACTCCCTCAAGCAGATGCTGCTGAACGTGGAGGTGAGCGAGGGCCCCTCGGGCCCAGAAGGGGGTGGGGGGTGAAGGATCTGGGGCAGGAGGAGGTAGGGGTGGGGGTGGGGCTGGCAGCTAGCACCCAAGGACCCCAGCTTCTCACCACACTCCCGGCCCGCCTGATCCCCAAACTTCTCCCCAAGGCGAATTCGACCAAGGTCCAGGAGGACCTGGTGACGGAATTCCAGTCTCTCTTCTCCCTGCTGGAGGAAGTCAAAGAGGGCATGCTGATGAAGATCAAGCAGGACCGCGCCAGCCGGACCTACGAACTACAGGTGGGAGCCCCTGGCTGTCGCCCCCCCACTGCGCCCCAGAACCCAGCGGGCCCAACTTGTCCCTCCTTCTGTTTAATTTTGTTTCATTTTTGGGCCACACCCCGAAATGCTCAGGGCTCTAAGCTCAAGGATCACTCCTGGCAGTGCTTGGGGGGCCCCTGTGGGGTTCTGGTGATGGAACTCCGGTTGATCGCATGCAAGGCAGACACCAGAACTGCAACACCTCCCTTTTTTTTTTTTAATTTTTAATTAAAATTTTTTTTTTTTTGCTTTTTGGGTCACACCCAGCGACGCTCAGGGGTTACTCCTGGCTCTACACTCCTGGCGGTGCTCAGGGGACCGTGTGGGATGCCAGGGATCGAACCTGGGTTGGCCGAGTGCAAGGCAAACGCTCTCCCCACTGTGCTGTCCTCGCTCCAGCCCAGCACCTCCCTTCTTGATCTATAGCTTCTTTCCACTTAACCCCATGTGTTCCCAACGTCAGACCCCTCCCTGATGTCCCCCTACCCTCTGCCTGTCCCCCTACCCCAGGCCCCATCTATCCCCTGCTTACCCGCTATCCGTCCCAATCCCCGCCTTCGCCGAGCCAGCCCCGCCCCCACATTTGCCTGCTCCCCCGCCCCACCCCCAGCCTCTCGGATTTCTGGCCCCTCCCACTGGCGTCCCCTGTCAGTATCCTCCAGTTTGCCCTAATCCGTGGGGTGAGGGGGCGGTTTACTAACAGGCCAGATTCCCCCGGGGTACGCGAGATGTACACCTCTAGGGTACAGGTGGCCCAGTATGTGTGTGTGTTAATGAAGGGCCCTCCCCTCCCCCCACCCCGACAAGGGATCTGATGCCCATTAGGGGGAGCGCTCCCCCATCCCGAACCCCTTTTCAGTCTTCCCCTCCCACCTGGAGTCTGGGAAGGGCGTGGTCCCTCCCAAATTCTAGAGCTGGAGGGGTTTGCTGCAGTGGGGTGAGGTGTCTCCTCTTTGGGGGGGCTTGTCACCCACAGAACCAGCTGGCCGCCTGCACGCGGGCCCTGGAGAGTTCTGAGGAGCTTCTGGAGACAGCAAACCAAACACTACAAGCCACAGACTGTGAGGACTTTCCCCAGGTGAGCGTTGAGGCGTGGTGGGTTATTTGGGGTAGAAGAATTTCTGGGGCCAGTGCTGGAGTGCTAGGATGTTTGCCTTGCACGCGGCCAACCCGGATTCGATTCCCAGCATCCCATTTGGCCCGCCCGTGCCCTGCCAGGAGTAATTCCTGAGTGCAGAGCCAGGAGTAACCCCTGAGCATCGCCGGGTGTGACCCGAAAAAAAGTGAAAAAAAAAAATCCAGGGCCAGGGCCAGAGCAATAGGACAGTGAGGAGGGTGTAGCAGTCAACCTGGGTTCAACCCCGGCATCCTTAGGGTCCTTTGAGCACCTCCAGGAGTGATGGAGTAGTTCCTGAGTGCAGAGTCAGGAGTAACCCCTGAGCACTGTTGGTTGTGGCAAAAAAACCCCAAAAAATATAAAGAAGAATATCCAGGACTGTAGCTATAATATACAGCGGATAAGGTGTTTGCATGCAGAGGTGGTTTTTTTTTTGTTTTTTTGTTTTTTTTGCTTTTTGGGTCACACCCAGCAATGCACAAGGGTTATTCCTGGCTCTGCACTCAGGAATTACTCCTGGCGGCGCTTGGGGGACCATATGGGATGCAGGGAATCAAACTCAGGTCGGCCATGTGCCCGGCAAATGCCCTACCTGATGTACTATTGCTCCAGTCCCTGCATGCAAAGGTTTTGATCCCTGATACCCCACATGGTCCCCTGGGCCAAAAAACAAAACAAAAACCAAGAATATCAAAGACTAGGGCTGGAGGTATGGTATAGCCGAGAAGGTGCTTGCCTTTATGTAGCCAACCCTAGTTCCATCCCTGAGCTCACCAAAAGTGATCCCTGAACTCAGAACCAGGAGTACTGCTGGGTGTGGCCCGAGATACCCCCCCCACACACACATACTCATTACTTAGTGTTAATCTGAAATGAAGATATAAATGAACCTTATGTATTTTTTGTTTTGTAAAATTATTATTGTTTGGGAACCACCCCCAGCAATGCTTAGAGGGTTCTCCCAGCTCTGTGCTCAGGTGTTGCTCCCTGGCATTGCAGGGGATCAAGCCAGGGACCTTGTGGGTTTTTATTTGCTATGTCTCTCTACTGGGTGCAGAGCGGGGGATGGGGGGTGGGGGGGTGGGTCCTAGTCTTTGTTCTCTCTTCCTCGTTCTCTCCTCTCTCTCTCTCTCTCTCTCTCTCTCTCTCTCTCTCTCTAGTCTTTTCAGGTCACACCCAGCGATGCTCAGGCGTCACTCCTGTCTCTGCACTCAGGAATTCTTCCTGGTGGTGCTCAGGGGACCCTGGGGGATTCCGGGGATAGTACCTGGGTTAGCTGCCTGCAAAGCAGATGCTCTCCCCGCTGTGCTATCGCTCAGGCCCCTGTCTTTGCTGTTTTGTCCCTTATGGGGCACATGTTTTACCTCCTCTGGCTCTTAGCTGTGAGGGAGGCTTCAGTCTTCCTGTCGGTGTAGTCGGTGTAGTGGGTTTCTGCTTCCTTTGACATGACCTTTTGAATTTTGATTTTTTTCTCACCCTTTCTAGGCTGCCAAGCAAATCAAAGATGGGTAAGATGCGGCCTTTTCTCCAGGTGTGAAGTGGGGTGAGGGGGATATCCGGGTGCGGGTCCCTCAGATGGCAACACAGAACCCGAAAGAGGCGGGTTCCTCATGCGCACCTTGAGGATGCGTGGTGTGGATCCACAGCAGGCTGCCTCCGCTTCTGCCCTATAGTGTGACCATGGCCCCTGCCTTCCGACTGTCACTGAAAGCCAAGGTCAGCGACAACATGAGTCACCTCATGGTGGACTTTGCGCAGGAGCGGCGGATGCTCCAGGCACTCAAGTTCCTCCCGGGTGAGATGGGAACTGGCGGGAAGATCTGGATTTCAGGAGAAAGAGCTGGGTCTCTGGGCATGGCTAAAGCGTGGAGGAAGGTGACAGTCATTCGTGGGAGTATCAAAAGGCCACGCCCAGTCCTGATGCCCCGCCTCCTGTGGGTGGAGCCAATGCGACGCCCCGCCCCTCCAGTCGGAGTCTCGGCTGAGTGGTGCCACTCCTCCTGGGTGTCTCTATTGGCAGAGCTCTAGAAAGGGTCCACCTCCCAGGGGGAAGTCCACTGAAGGTCAGGCCTCCAACTGGTAGCTCAGTCTGGAAATGTCGCCCTGGAGCACTGTCCTCCAGTTGTTCATGATTTGCTCAAGCGGGCCCATTAACGTCTCCATCATGAGACTCGTTGTTACTGTGCTTGGCATATCGAATACGTCCCAGGGAGCTTGCCAGGCCGATCGGGTGTCCGCATTGGAAATGTACTTTTATTTATTTTATTTTATTTTGGATTTTTTCGGGCTCCACCCAGTGATGTTCAGGGGTTCCTCCTGGCGGTGCTGGGAGCCCGTATGGGGTGCCAGAGATCAAATCCTGGCAGGCCACGAGAAAGGCACGCACCCTATCCACTACCTCTTCGGCCATATTTATTTATTTTTAAGTTAATTTTTTTTAAATTTTTTTGTTTTTTGGGCCACACCCGTGGAAATTCAGGGCATACTCACGGCTTTGGGCTCACGGATCAGTCCTGCGCCCTGTGACATGGTGCAAAGCAAACATCTACCTACCCACCATACCTCCCTCCAGCCCAAAAATGTGCTCTTATTTTTAATGTTTGTTTGTTTATTTATTTTTGCCAAACCTGGCAATGTTCAGGGTTACTCCTGGCTCTGCACAGGGATCACAGGCTCTGCACAGGATTTTGGCTCGGGTTGCCAGGAATCAGACTTGGGTTGGCCGCCTGCAAGGCAAGTGCCCTCCCTGGCGTACTATTGCTCGTGCCCCGAATTCTCCTGTTTTAATTGGAGGGAACAGCCTGAGACTGCCCAGCCCTCTGATTGGCTGAGCTCTTTTTGTTTTTCTTTTTGGGTCACACCCAGCGATGCTCAGGGGTTACTCCTGGCAGTGCTTGGGGAACCATATGGGATGCAGGAGATCGAACCTGGGTTGGCCGCGTGCCAGACAAACGCCCTCCCACTGTACTATCGCTCCAGCCCGATTGGCTGAACTCTTAATAAAACTCCACCCTGTGCTCTCCCCCCACATGGTGGAATTCTGCGGAAGCTTCTTACCACGGAAAGGCCCCAAATTACACCCCAGAGGCAGCCAGGGCGGTGGGGGCGGGGCTCCTGCACACCCCCACCAGAGATATCTCGGAGAGTGAGTGCCCACAAATCCCCTCCACTGTGGGCACAAGACCCTGACCTTTCTGTCCTGTCCTGGCCAGTCCCCAGTGCACCTGTGATTGACCTGACCGAGTCCCTGGTGGCGGACAACTGTGTGACTCTGGTGTGGCGCATGCCGGATGAGGACAGCAAAATCGACCACTACATACTGGAGTATCGGCGCACCAACTTTGAGGGGCCCCCGCGCCTCAAGGAGGAGCATCCCTGGATGGTCATTGAAGGCATCCGGAACACGGAATACACTTTGACCGGTAACCCCACTCCCGAAGCCCCCATTTCCCAGGAAGCCACTCAGAGGCTTCTTGTGGGTGATCGCTAAACCTCATGGAGGTTGAGAGTGGCTAGACTGGTCTGCTTAGGAATCTCAGAAAGAAGTAACAAGGAAATGCTCTCCCCCCGCCTCATAGTACAGTGGGGAGGGGGCTGGCCTTGCATGTGGCTGATCCAGGTTCAATAGCTGGTTTCCAATAGCATCCCCTGAGCCCTGCCAGGTGAGATACCCTGAGTACAGTGCCAGGAGTAAGCCCTGACCATCACCGGCGTGGTCCCCAAAACAGAATAAAACAAATGATAGGGTCTGGAGAGATAGTTCAGTGGAGAGGGTGCTTGTCTTGCATGTGGCTGACCTGAGTTCCGTCCCTGGCATCCCAAATGGTCCCTCAAGCACTGCCAGGAGTAATTCCGGACTGAGTACGGATCCAGGAGTAACCCCTGAGCATTGCCAAGTGTAGTCTGAAAAAGATAAACAAAATACACAGACAAAATAAATAAATAATAATGGAATATTGATGACCTTGCCTTGTCACTGATCAAAGGCTCAAAATATGTAGAGCTGACTGGACCAAGAGTAAGGTGCTTGCTTTGCATGCGGCAGACCTGGCTTCTATCCCTGGCACAACACTTGGTCTCTTGAGGCCCTGCCAGGAGTGATCCCTGAGCACAGAATCAAGAGGAGGCCCTGAGCACTGCAGGGTATGGCTCCAAAACCAACCCCCACCCCCACAAAAAAAAAAAAAGCGTATATTTATAAGCATTTTACTCAGAAATAATGTGTATACTCCTCTATTAGGGAAACTGAGGCACAGGAAGCCACTCTGGTCTAGCATCTCTCAGACATATACAGTCACACATTCTTTTTCTTTCTTTTTTTCTTTTTGTTTTTGGGCCACACTCAACAGTGCTCAGCGCTTCCTCCTGGCTCTGCGCTCAGGGAGCACTCCTGGCAGGGCTTGGGGGCCATATGGGGGCTGGGGATCAAACCCGGGTCAGCTGTGTGAAAGGTAAACACCCTCCCTGCTGTCGATTACTCTGGTCCTCTCATTCTCCTTTTCTAAGCACCTAAAAAGTATCTGGCTCCTTTTTTTGTGGCACATCTCTAATTGGGGAGGGGGTCCCTAATTGGGAGCTGGGGAAACCTTCAGCCTCTGAGTGGGGGCCCTTGCTGACAAGATAAGTATTACCCATCTCTGGTGCTGTAATTAGCCTCTTCCTTATCTGCAATTAGCATATGTGGTTAATGAGCGTGCTAATTGCAGGGAAGAAAAGTCACCAGCCTTTAGAGGGCCTGAGAAATGATTGGTTCATCCTTTGCATGGGAATCCAAAGAAACACACTCTGTTTTTCCCGGTCCTTTCTTTCATTAGGATGAAATAAAATGCACATAATGTAGTAGCAGTGACCCTCTTAGCACCGCTTAGGAGCCTGGGGCCTGTTCACAACTTTACAGCACTCTGTCACTTTCCCCTCCACCATCATGGCCAGAATTTTCTCCTCTTCTGGAACGAGAACTGTCCTATGAAATTCTCCCACCCATCGTAACCCCGTCATATATTTCTGGTCTCTAGAGAGGATCGGAGTGTCATCTGCTTCCCATCTCGGGGGTGGCAGGACCTTCCCTAGGGTCTTCCTAGAAAAGATATCAGTCACCCAGGATGTATTTTTGTGTGTCTGACTCATGTCATGATTAGCATGTGGGGTGGTGCTGGGGATCAGACTCAAGATCTTATGCCTGCAAGGCTGGAACTCTACAATACAAACACCTCATGCCCCTGATTTTGTGTGTGTGTGTGGGGGGGGGCACTGGGAGAGACAGAGCACACCTGATGATGCTCAGGGCTGACTCCTGGCTCTGAGCTCAGGGCCAACTCCTTGTGGTGTTTGGGGACTCTATCCATGCCGGGGATTGAACCTAGGTCGACTGTGTGCAAGGCCAATGCCCTCCCTGCTGTACTATCACTTCAGCTCCAGAGCCTGTTACTTAAATTGTAGACATAAATTGTAGACAATGTCATAATCGCTCTGTTACCTCCCAGGTCTCAAGTTTGACATGAGGTACATGAATTTCCGAGTGAAGGCCTGTAACAAGGCGGTCGCAGGTGAATTCTCGGAGCCAGTGACGCTGGAGACACCAGGTGACACCCACACCCACCTTGGCCATGATTCCATCACCATCACCCCTCCCGTTTGGGTCCCTGAGAGCCAGTGTGTCAGGAAAATCCTCTGATCAGGGCCCAGAGCGATGGCACAGTGGGGAGGGCGTTTTTCCTTGCTCACAGCCATATGGGATTCCCAGCATCCCATTGGGTCCCCTGAGACGACCAGGAGTGATTCCTGGGTGCAGAGACAGAGTAAGACCTGAGTACTACCAGGTGTAGCACAAAAAAAAAAGGAAGAAAGGAAGAAAGAAAGAGAGAAAGAAAGAAAGAGAAAGAGAAAGAGAAAAGAAAAGAAAAGAAAAGAAAAGAAAAGAAAAGAAAAGAGGGGCTGGAGCGATAGCACAGCGGGTAGGGCGTTTGCCTTACACGTGGCCAACCCGGCTTCGATTCCCAGCATCCCATATGGTCTCCTGAGCACCACCAGGAGTAATTCCTGAGTGCCGAGCCAGGAGTAACCCCTGTGCATTATCGGGTGTGACCCAAAAGGCAAAAAAAAAAAAAAAAAAAAAAAAAGAAAAAGAAAATTGTCTAATCAACATTTTTCAGACCCTTTAGCCTTGGCCTCCAGTAAGTGTATTCACAGATTTCCTTAGCATGAATGTCTGTATAAACCTGCTTCTGCCTTGGCCATGATCCCATCATAATGGTTCTCATCTATACACTCTCTTTCTAGTAAACTCCTACTCTCTGGAGCTGGGGCTGAGATAGCATTAGTGAAGTTTGATTCCACTGCTCCCATGGTCATACTTTGTTGGTCCTGTTGGAAAGTTCTTCTTGTAGTCTAGCCTCACTCTCACACGCTTCAGCCCCACGTTTTCCTGGGCTTAAGTCCCAGTGGTAGCCCAGAGCCGTGAGAAGGTTCAGAATGGTTCCGGTCCTTTATCTACAAGCCCTCTCTCTTGTGGTTCCACCCTGCCCTCGCCACATCCCATCTCTGCCTGTCTGAGCCTCCGTCTGCTTCTCTCTGTCTGGGTCCCTGTTTGTCCCTGTTTGTCCTGTGCTCTGGCCCTGTTTTGGTTTGTCTTGGTCACTGTCTGCCTCTCTGTGTGTCTCTCTGTCTCTCCGTGTCTCTCTGGGTTTTCCCATCTCTGTGACTCCCACATCTGCCTGACCCCAGCGTTCATGTTCCGCCTGGATGCGTCCACATCCCACCAGAACCTGCGGGTGGATGACCTCTCCGTGGAGTGGGACGCCATGGGCGGGAAGGTGCAGGACATCAAGGCCCGTGAGAAAGATGGCAAGGGGCGAACAGCATCTCCCGTCAACTCCCCGGCCAGGTAGGCTACCACCTCCCTTCCCTGAGGCTTTGGTGGAAGTATGCTAGCTGGTAGGGATGGACACAGGCACCACAGAGCCCAGGATGATCCTTACTGGAGTGCTAGGTGGAAGAAGGGGCTGGGGGAACCCAGGGAGCGAATGAAGAGACTGGAGATTGCAGACTGGGCTTTGATGGTTGAATAGGAGTTTTCCATACGAGGATGGACGAACACCTGTCTCTGGGGGAGAGGGCTAAACTGTATCCTCTTCTTCCCTGCTATATCAGAGGAACCCCATCACCCAAGAGGATGCCCTCGGGTCGTGGGGGACGGGATCGTTTCACAGCTGAGTCCTACACGGTGCTGGGTAAGGAGAAAAAGAGGGATCATGTGGGGGTGGCGGCTGATTGTAGGTAGAAAGACCGCGGAGTACCTGGACGGAGCGTCTTTGGCCTGGGGAGGACCAGGACTGGCTAGCCCTGCGAGAGCCAAGGGCACCCGGGAGCCGGTTCTGCCTGCCCCACAGGGGACACGCTGATCGATGGCGGGGAGCATTACTGGGAGGTGCGCTACGAACCCGACAGCAAGGCCTTCGGCGTTGGGGTGGCCTACCGCAGCCTGGGCCGCTTTGAGCAGCTGGGCAAGACAGCAGCGTCCTGGTGCCTGCACGTCAATAACTGGCTGCAGGTCAGCTTCACGGCCAAGCATTCCAACAAGGCCAAGGTGCTGGACGTCCAGGTGCCAGACTGCCTGGGTGTGCACTGCGACTTCCACCAAGGTGATGCCACTGGCCCCACCCGCACCCGAGCCCGCCCACCACGCGCCATGCCCCCTCGGTGACCACTCTCACCACGGGTAACACCACCCACCCGTGCCCCGCCCACACCGGACAGCCCCGCCCACTCCAAGGCTACAGCCACCCAGCAGCTCTTTCCGCCCGCCCATGACCACGCCCTCACAGGCCACGCCCATTCCATGGCCCCGCCCTTCACCCAGATGGCCCTGTCTACTTCTGCCAGTCCTGGGATTCTGGCACCCCCAGGCCTGACCAGTTCTGCCCTCCGCCCCAGGCCTTCTGTCGTTCTACAATGCCCGGACCAAACAGCTGCTGCACACCTTCAAGACCAAGTTCACGCAGCCACTGCTGCCTGCTTTTACGGTAGGACCCTGCCTCCTACCTCTCTGCCCGGCAGGGCTGGGGCAGGGGGACGGGACGGGCTTTGCCAATGAGTCTCCTCGTCCCCATCACTGTCTTGTACAGGTGTGGTGTGGCAGCTTCCAGGTGACCACTGGCCTGCAGGTGCCCAGCTCTGTGCGCTGCCTGCAGAAGCGAGGTAGCGCCACCAGTAGCTCCAACACCAGCCTCACTTAGCGCGCCCCCAAACACACGCCCACCCCTGTCGGTGGGGCTGAGGTGGGGTGGGGGGCCGCCGCTGAGCCCCGTTGTTTCGGCCGGACACCCTCCTCTCACTTGCTGCTTGGAGCCTTAGCCACGGACGGAGGGGCCACGAGTCGGAGGCGGGTGCGGGGCAGGCCCTTCCTACCCGCTAATAAAAGTCCAACACTGGCCAAGCAAGGCGGCCGTACTGCTGGTTCTGTGTGACTGGATACCCCAACTTTCTGGTCAACCCCCTTTCCTCTAAGAAATGGACCTTTCTTTTGCTTCTGGCCAATTTTATTTTCTGATTTTTGAACGAGGGAGTACGGATCCCGAGGTATTCCAGAATCCCACCCAGGCTCCTACCACATGCAAAATGTGCCCCAGTCCCTGGTACGCTCTCTCCCATCCCAGAAATGGATACATTTCTTTTCTTTTTGGGTCACACCCAGCTATGCTCAGGAGTTATTCCTGGCTCTGCACTCAGGAATCACTCCTGGCGGTGCTCGGGGGACCATATGGGATGCTGGGAATCGAATCCGGGTCGGCTGCATGCAAGGCTAACGCCCTACCCGCTGTGCTATCGCTCCGGCCCCAGAAATGGATTTTTCATGCACAGACTAGCACGCAGGTTTTTGTTGTTGTTGTTGTTGTTTCCTTTTTGGGTCACACCCAGCGATGCACAGGGGTTCCTCCTGGTTCTGCACTCAGGAATTACTCCTGGCGGTGCTCGGGGGACCATATGGGATGCTGGGAATCGAACCCGGGTCGGCCGCCTGCAAGGCAAACGCCCTCCCTGCTGTGCTATCACTCCAGCCCCAGGCACGCAGGTTTGATGGTGGAGAGAATCAGGAGTGATGGGCAGGCATCTGAGTGTCCGTGCCACACCTCGGAAGCACAACAGAACGTGGAGTTCCTCAGGTTTTAATTTAGGGAGAAGGCAAGTGCCTGGCTGGATCACGGCCTTGGGGGTTCTGGGCCAAGCGCCTGCGCCTTTCCTGCAGTCTGACTTCCAGTTCCATCCTAATATCTGCCATGGAAGGAAGGGACCCCAGGTTGCAGCAGGACGAGGGACCCCAGGTCCCAGCCACACCCCCCTCCCCTTCTGTCCACCTAAGAGAAGCTACAGGACTTGTGGGGGAGGGGAGGTGGAAAATGGGTGGGCAGTGCAGTGAGTTTCAAAAGAACTGTGGGGGACAGGCATGGTCAGGGAAGGGGCATGAACCCAAGTGGGGGTCCCTTGGGTGGGAGTTTCTGAGTCCACGACATCCCGCTCCACGACCCCCTGGGTCCGCCTCACTCATCACAGAGAAGACAGCCTGTGTCGCACCTGGGCCAGCGTTATGACCTCTGCGATCTGGAGAAGAAGAGAAATGAATGCTGGGGGGCTGGCCGACATGAAAGGGAGTCGGGGGAGACGGGAACACCTCCCTCTCCTAACCTGGCCTGGGCATCGTGGGCGGTGGGGGAGCCCTTGCCAAATTCCTGGCATTGGTGACAACTGGCCGACTTGGGGGAGATACTGTGGACAGGCGTGACAGGTCAGCTCCGGCATGAACTTGACCCCCCCCCACGCCCCAATTCCAGCCACCACCCTGCCCACGACTCCTACCCTCCCCATTCACGTATCTGTTGTCTTGGTCATCGGCAATGGGGATCAAGTAGTCCTCTGCTTGTGGGTTCCGTGGCGGAGGAGGTGGTACAGATGGCCTGTCTACGGCGGCCGGGGTTTGTCTGGGCGGGGTAGCTGGAGGACCTGGGAGGAAAGAGCCGGCAAGTCAAGCCACACCCACGTGGCTGCAAGGTCGAGTCTGCGCCATGGTGTCCCAGTGTGGCGGAACCCCCGACTCCGGGTGAACGTCCCTGTTGTCCCCCTGCTCGGGTATGCCCAAAGCACATCGCATTGGCAAGAGTTTTAACCACTGTACTATCTCTCCAGTTCTAATTCTGTTTGTTTGGGGGTCACACACAGTCACGCTCAGGGTGATTTCTGGCAGTGCGTGGGGAACCCAGGTGTGGCCAGTAATCATAGGCGTAAGAACTATATGCAAAGCAGTGCCCCCTCCCCCACCGGAGGAGAGGGGCATACCCAGCAGTGCTCAGGGCTTATTCCTGGCTCTGCACTCAGGTGGTATTTCTATGGGGGGTACCAGGGATGGAACCTGGGTCGATCGTGTGCAAGGCAAGCGCCCTTCCCACTGTACTATGGCTCTGGTCCCATGTATCTCTTGCACCATCACTTCTTTCTTTCTTTCTGGTCACACCCGGCGATGCACAGGGGTTACTCCTTGCTCGGCAATCAGAAATTACTCCTGGTGGTGCTCAGGGGACCATATGGGATGCTGGGAACCGAACCCTGTACGGCTGTGTGCAAGGCAAACGCCCTCCCCTCTGTGCTATCACTCCAGCGCCCTCTTGTACTATCTCTGGAGTGTGTGTCCAGTTATCAATCCTCTCCCCGACTTGGAACCCTTAAGGGCAGGGTCTGGGTAATTTCGGGGTCCCTGCAATTCTGGGTACAAGACTGGATACTCCTCATGTCAGGAAGGAAAGGCGGCTCCGTGTGAATCTTAGATCTCGTCCCTCTCTGTTTTCCACGAGCAACAGCCGCGGGGAGGGCGCGTCACCTGGGTTTGGGGATCTGGTGGCCGTGGACACCACCCACTCACTCTCGCCGTTCTCATGATTCGACTCTGGGTAGCCTGGAACAGAGAGGGCAGCCTGGAGGAGACGCCCCAGCCAGAGGCTGACTTGGGTTCCCGCTGGGGCAGGAGGGAGGAGAGGCAAGAGGCCTCTTTGCCTGAGGTCACACCTACCTAGCGCCTTCTCATAGTCCTCATCCAGCAGGAAGGGCAAGAGTGAATTTTTGGTGTGTTGCACGAAATAGTTCACCACTTCGTCCAGGGAGGAACAGTAGTGCTGGGGACAAACGGGCCGCCATCAGAACCCACGGAGGAGGGGCGCAGACCCTGGCCCTGTACATCCTGGGAGCCTGGCCCCACACTCACAGGCGGCTCCACGTCGATCATGTACTTAGGGCCTCCTAGATTCACTTTGTAGTGCAGGACCTTAGGCGATCTGCAGGGAGGGACAAGGGAGGGTCCCGGCTAAAGTCAAAACCTTGCCCTGTGATTGGCTCCGCCCCCTGATCCTTGCTCCCGCCCAAACCCCGCCCCCTGTCTGGCTCCACCCCCGGGTCCTGGCTCAGGTGAAAGACCCGCCCTTATCCTGGCCCCGCCCCCATGAAGAGCCTAACTCGCAGGTAGGCTGCAGAGGGTCCTGGCATGGTTCTGGGGTGCTGGGATCAAGACCCAACGGTCTCTGCCCACAGGCGACCATGTCAGTGGCTTGGCTTTGCTTCAGTTCTCGCTCCACCTTGGAAGCGATGGTCTTGTCCCTAACTCTGACTATTCCGAAGAAGTATGGAAGGTCCTGCTTCTACTTAATGGCTCACCCTCCAGGGCCATGACTCCTCCCACGGGATCTGACCCCGCCCACCACACTCATTCCCTGCTCTGGATTTGATTTCGGACTCCCGTTGTCAGCCTAGACCTAGGGGTGCCCTCGCCAACAAGGGTCTGATCTGCTTAGAAACCAGGACCTGACTTCTTCCCTGAAGGGTCCTCTCCTGGTCCGCCCCCTGGTGCAGCCAGCCTCGGCAAGTCAAGCCCACTGCACCCTGGCCCGCCCCTAGAGCCCTTGGCCACACCTCTCCGGCCCCAACCCCAACCCCGTGAGAGGCTCTTACCCGTTGATTATCTGTCTAGTGGTGACTGACACGCCTCCCGCACCATTTCCACTGGGGCGCAGAAGCAAGTTCCCACACTCAGGATAGTGCTCGAGGAGCAGCTGCGCCTGCAGCCGACTCACGTCCAGGTAACACCTGGGGCAGGTCACCAGTCACCAGCTGGATAGGCTGGCTCCGCCCCAGGGCGCCTAACCCCGCCCTCCAGTGGCCACGCCCCTCTGTTTTGCATAACCCTGCCCAGGCCTCGCCCTCCAGTGCAATTTATGCATAACCCCCTCAGTCTAGATGCCTCACTCTGCCCCGTATCCTACCAGGTGCCCCAGGCTCAAACTCCACTTCCCACACTCTCCAGGATCCTCCAGACTATATCTTTTGTTTGGTTTTGGTTTTGGTTTGGGGCCACATCCAGCAGTGCTCACGGCTTATTCCTTGGCTCTGTAATCAGTGATCACTCCTGGCGGCCTCTGGGGACCATACATGATGCTGGGACTGAACCCAGGTTGGCCACGTGCAAGGCAAGCATGCTCAAGCCCTCCAGGCTCTGGGACTTGGACCAAACTCCCCAGCACCTTAAGCTTTCAGTAGAAAACTGTCCTGCTTCTAGACCCACACTCAGGCACCTAGACCCCCCCATGCTCCAATTCCCCACTGGATTCCCAAATTCCACCTTTGGAGACTGCCTTACTCTCCAGATATCCCACTCATTGCCCACCCCAGTCACACGCCCTCCACCCCCCCAGGCAGACAGGAGGGGCAGGCAAGGGTCTCACGGGGGCATTTCTTTCGAACGACGCTTTTCTTCTTTGGTCAGGGCCTCAGCCATCATGTACAGATGCCCGGGGAGGAGGGTCAGGTTTCTGGGGACCTGAAGCTGAGGGGAGGAATCCATGGAGAGACATGAGGGAATGGTTGGCTTGTGCCCAGATCATAGAGAGACACACTGAGGCCAGAATGCAGACAGAGCCAGGGTCTGGGGAAGCAGGGGTAGGAAACAGAATCTGTGTGTGTGTGTGTGTGTGTGTGTGTGTGTGTGTGTGTGTGTGTGTGTAGATGGCAGGGACTTTTTAAAAAATTTTTGCTTTTTTTGGGTCACACCTGGCACAGGGGTTACTGCACTCAGGAGTTACCCCTGGCGGTACTCAGGGGACCATATGTGATGCTGGGAATCGAACCCGGGTTGGCCACGTGCAAGGCAAAAGCCCTACTCACTGTGCTATTGCTCCAGCCCCGGCAGGGACTTTTTAGAAGTTTAAAACTTTGTTGGTCAGACAAGACATCATTTTTTTTTTTTTTTGGCTTTTTGGGTCACACCTAGACCGGAGATGCACAGGGATTACTCCTGGCGGAGCTCGGGGGTGTGGGGGGACACCATATAGAAATCGAACCTGGGATGGCCGCGTGCAAGGCAACTGTTGTACCTGCTGTACTGCAGCCCCCAAACATAAACATTTATCTTTAGGGCCACTGGGTTAAGATCTAAAGGGTCATGGGGGAATGAAGTATGGTGGAGAAACGGAGAATGGGAAGCTGGGGGGACAGAGCATTCTGACCTCGATCACTGTCAGGATGAATCCTTTCCACATCTCACGAGACTCCAGGTTCTCCACCTGGAGGGGAAAGGGAGAGAACCCTGAGGCTGTGAGGCTGGAGGGATAATGCCCTGGAGTGGAGGGAAGGCACTTGCCTTGACCATAGCCGTGTTGGCTGTATCATGGGTCCAAATCCCCCCACCCCCAAACCCCCTCACTAGCTATGGTCCCTGAAGCACCGCCAGAGGTCGCTCGTGAGTACTGTCACTGTCATAGCACTGTCCTCCCATTGTTCATTTCCTCGGGCCCAGCGGGCCCAGTAACGTCTCCAATGTGAGACTTGTTACTATGTTTGGCATATCGAATACATCACGGGTAGCTTGCCAGGCTTTGCCGTGCGGGCGAGATACTCTTGGTAGCTTGCCGCGCTCTCCGAGAGGGGCGGAGAAATCGAACCGGCTTGCAAGGCAAACGCCCTACCATTGTGCTATCGCTCCAGCCACAGAACCAGGAATAACCCCTGTGCTTTACCAGGGGTCGCACCTGAGAGCAGTCAGGAGTAACCTCTAAGCACCACCAGGGGTCGCTCCTGAGCACAGAGCCAAAGCACCTGGAGGTGTGGTTCCTCCCCACCCCAATAAATAAAACAAGAAAATAAGAGAACTCTGTGTCTAAGCCCGGGGGTCTAATTCATGGTGAAATATTAACACAGAAAACAAGTCTCTGTTTTCTTCTTTTTTTTTTTTGCTTTTTTTTTGGGGGGGCGTCACACCTGGCGATGCACAGGGGTTACTGCTGGCTCATGCACTCAGGAATTACTCCTGGTGGTACTTGGGAGACCATATGGGATGCTGGGAATTAAACCTGGGCCAGCTGTGCAAGGCAAACGCCCTACCCGCTGTGCTATCGCTCCAGCTCCAAGTCTCTGTTTTCAAGGGCTGTTGTGGATTACATCTGAGTTTTTACATCAAATGTCAAAACCCATGCATTATGTTCACGGTGGACGTGACTGTGGGGTCTCCCACCTACCTTGACAGGGATGGACTTACCTTGAAATTGATCACCTGGTGCCGGAGGATCAGGTTGAAGTAGATGCTCGAGTCTCGAATGCTCCCTCCCGGAGGTTCGTCTGTGAGCTTCACGAATGTTCTTAGATCCAACTTCTGCACGTGCTGGGGTTCAAAATCAGGCAGCCTGAACTCCAGACCTGTGACCCCTCAGCTGCCCAGGATCATAGAGTCTTTGGTTTGGCCACAACCCACATACGCTCTGCTTTGTCCCTGGTGTCTGGGGGTTTAAGGAGGCAGGTTGCTATCTCGTAGGCCTCATTCCCAGCTTTACCTGAATATCCCGGTTGGTATTGTAGAAATAGATTGTGAGACCATGGAGGCCGGCCCAGAACTTCTTGTAACCCTGGGGAGCAAAAGGTGGAGAACAAGGAAGAGATGAGCTAGTGAAGCTGGTTATGTGTTCACGTTGGCCTCAGGACCTTTGCACTGACTCTTCTCTCTGGATGCTGTCACTAGAGGCACTTTCATACTCTGGTTAAATTTTTGGAACCAAGGTCACCTCCTTCCCTCTCAAAGCCCAAATTCTGGCAATTTGTTACTCTCTAAGATCAAAGGGAAATTCAAGGGGGGGACTCAGAGGACCCTACAAATAATGGAGGGGGGCTCTGGGAATGAATTCCATTAACTCAACTGATGAGTTGTGGTGATATGGTGTCTTCTTCAGAGTGAACCTTTCATCTATCTATCCATCATCCATCTGTTCATCATCAAATATTAGTTCATCCATAGATCATACATTTTTCATCCATCATCCATTCATCATTTATCATCCATTATCTGCCCATCTCCATCCATCCATCCATCATCCATCCATCACCCGTCCATCATCCATTCATCATCTGTCCATCCTCATCCATGCATACATCCCTCATCCATCCATCATCCATCATCCATCTACGATCTGTCCATCCATCATTCATCTATCATCTATCTATCTGTTCATAATCACCCATCCATCATCCATCATCCATCCATTATTATTATCCATCCTTCTATCATTCATTGATCCATACATTCACTCACACATGTACCATCCATCTATTATCCATCCATCCATCCATCCATCATTTGTCCACCTGCTTATCATTATACATCCATTCATCCATAGAGGTACCACCTATCCATCATCCATCATCCACCCATCAACTATCCATCATCCATCATCCATTGATCCATACAATCATCCATACATGTACCCTCCATCCATCATCCATTCATCTGCTCATCATCACGCATCCATTCATCCACAGATCCATACTTTCATCTATACATATATTAATCCATCCATCATCTGTCCATTCATCCATATGCCCGTTCATTTATTCATGCATCCATCCATCCAACCATCGTTATCATCATCCATCCACTCATCCACATATCTATCTGTATATCCCCAGGATAGCTCTCCCTCCCTCCCTCCCTCCCTCCCTCCCTCCATCCGCCATTCACCTATCTCTGAATTATTCATTATTATTTGGATTTGTTTTGGGGGGGGACAGATGTTCCACTCCTGGCTGTGCTTAGCTCTGCACTCAGAAATCAATTCTGGCAGTGCTTAGGGAACCCTGTGGGATGCTGGGGATTGAATCGTGTTGGCTGTGTGCAAGACAAGCGCCCTCCCTGCTGTCCTGTTGCTCCAGCCCCTCATTCACTCTCCTGTCCATCCATCACCCATCAAGCATCTCACTCCATCATCTGTCCTGTCTTCTCGTCCTTCCACTCATTTCTCATCCACCCATTCGGCCATTGCAACATGCCCCCATCCCCCACCCACACATCTATCATCCCTTCCTCATCCTCCCATCCAATCCATTCTTTGTCCATCAGCTCATCTCTCCCTGTTCCCTATCTCGTCTTCCCATCCACGGTGCTTTCCCACTGTACTATTTCTCTGCCCTTGGTGTTTTCTCAGCCAGCGGGGATTTGGAGGCAGGGAAATGGGCGAGACTGTCCTAGTGAGTGAGTGGATGCTGGGGGGGTGATTTGGTGGGGAGACATACAGACAGACTTGCACAGACGAGACCGAAGCGATAGCACAGTGGGAAGGTGCTGGCTTTGCATGAGGTTGACCTGGGTTCAATTCCTGGCACCCCATAAGGTCCCCTGAGCAGAGCCAGGCGTGATCGCTGAACTCAGATTCAGGAGTCAGTCTTGAACCTCACTGGGTGTGGCTCAGAAACCAAAGCAAAAAAAAAAAACCTCTCTCAGACTGTGACATGCCCACAGAAGCACACAAATATACCCTGAGAGAGACACACAAATATGGGTATATGGGTGTATGGGTGTACAGCAGACACCCACAGACTCACAGGGACAGGCTCACACTCACAGTGTGAGGAGACAGCCCCCTACACAGACTCAGGCACAGACAGACATTAATACACTAACACCTGTGTTAGATGTAAGTACCTTCACCCAGGTTTATACGCACAGACACACAGGCCCAGAGACAGACATGGAGACAGACTCACACAGGCGCATGTGTAAACACATGAAGAATCACATACTGGTGGGTCTGGAGCGATAGCACAGCAGGTAAGGCATTTGCCTGGTTCGATCCCCAGCATCCCATATGGTCCCCTGAGCACTGCCAGGAGTAAGTCCTGAGTGCATGAGCCAGGAGTAACCTCTGTGCAAAAAAAAAAAAAATCACACACTGGCCCTGAACTGACACGGCTAGATGGACACCAATAGAAACACACAACACACACACACACACACACACACACACACACACACACACGCCCAGCTTCTGCCCCTCCCAAGTCCTTGGACCTTATAGTAAGTTCCAAGGGGGAGGCAAGGGATGGGAGAACATCATGGAGACATGGGAAGAAAGGGGGGTGGGTCCCCCATCCCGCCTGTCTCTATGAGCCAGAAAGAAAGAGGCTGGAGAGGCACCTCGGCAGGAAGGACACTGCCTTGCACACACCAACCCAGGTCCAATCCCCAGCACTCTAGAGGGTCCCCTTGATCACAGAGCCAGGAGTCAATCCTAAGCCCCTAAGCATCACAGGGTGTGTCCCCAACACGCACCCACCCCTCAACAAAACCCCAAAGATGAAAAACTCAGGCAGAGACAGGGAAGCAGAGACCCAGAGAGATATACAGGCAGAGAGATATACAGGCAGATGGGCCGTGAGCAGAGCTCCCTTGCCCCCCAGTGCCCCCACACCTCTACCAGCTGGGGAGAAGAAGGCTCAGAGAGGTACCTCAGCTGCCCAGGGGCGCCCAGCGCCACAGCACAGACCGCGGGGGCGGAGCCCCCCTGTCCTGCCTTACCAGATCCTGGGGTCCCTTCTTTTCCACGAGGCTCTCATGGTAATGTGATCTCTTGGAGTTGGTGGCCATAGCAGCGCCTGGGGCTCCAGCTGGCTCTCTCCAGTGGGTGCCCCAGCTGGCTCAGGCTAGGGCCGGGCCTGGAAGTAGTGAAACAGGTTCTCAGGGGAATTTTCTCTGGGCTGTCTCGACAAAGAGCTGACAGTTCCCGCCCCCTCCTCCCCTGTCATGGCAGGGCGGGGACTTGGCTCCAGCAAGTCCAAGGACTAGGGAATCCCCCTGGACTTTTCCTTCTTCCTGATACAGTCCTGGGAGGCTTCCCAGAGGAAGCCAAGGGAGTTGGAGGCAGGGACTTGTCCAAACACAGGCGTGTAGAATAGAAATCCCTGGGGTGGAGAGATAGGACAGTGGGGAGGGCCCTTGTCTCGCACACAGCTATCTGGGGTCGATCCCCTGAGCACCGCCTGGAGTGATCCCTGAGCACAGCAGGGTGTCCCCCTCCACGCACACCCTGAAAACAAACAAATAAAATCAAATAACCAAACATAATATAACCCCCTGAAAGACCCAGTTTTCTTTCCATCCAGATGTTGGAGTAACCTGGTCTGTATGTATATGTATTTATTTATTTTTATTAGGACTTTTTTTTTTATTTTTGCGTCACACCCGGTGATGCTCAGGGGTTACTTCTGGCTCTGCACTCAGTCCTGGTAGTGCTTGGGGAACCATATGGGATGCTGAAAATTGAACCCGGGTCAGCTGCGTGCAAGGCAAACGCCCTACCCACTGTGCCCTCTATTTGGACTTTTTGGGTCACACCTGGCAATGCTCAGGGGTCACTCCTGGCTCTGCACTCAGGAATTACTCCTGGAGGTGCTCGGGGGACCATATGAGATGCCAAAGATTGAACCCAGGTCAGCCGTGTACAAGGCAAATGCCCTACCACTATGGCCTGTACATATATTTCAAGAGAAACCGGGATGTGTGAGGGCAGTCGTGAGGGGTGCTTGGGAAAATTGGAGACAATGGTGGAGGGAAGGTGAGAATGGTGGTAGGATTGGTGCCTGTGACAAGTCATGAATGACTTTGCAAACCACAGTGTTTATATAAAATGTAAAGGGAAAATTTACATATGTACATATGTAGGCTGTAGGATAACATTGGTTTGTCCTTTCTCCCTGGCTGCAGGGAGCTTAGGTTTATTGGGTCACACCCATCACAGTGCTCACGAGGCACTATGATTGATTCCTGTGTGTTTATCTTTAACCTCTTCTCTGTGCTCTGCTTCCTGAACCCGTTAATCACCTTTATCCCCAAATCAGACTGTTGATTGTATTTGTAAATGAAATACTGTTTTTCTCCTTCCCTTATGACCTTTTACGTAGTCGGAGTGATAGCACAGCGGTAGGGCGTTTGCCTTGCGCACAGCCAGCCCGGCCGAGCCAGGTTCGATTCCTCTGCCCCTCTTGGAGAGCCTGGCAAGCTACCGAGAGTATTGGATATGCCAAACACAGTAACAAGAAGTCTCACAATGGAGACGTTACTGGGCCCGCTTGAGCAAATCGATGAACAATGGGAGGACAGTGTTTGTTTTGTTTGTTGTTTGTACCTCAGAGCAATGTTATTTTTTTACAGACACAGGAAGACCGTTAATGCTATGCTTTTGTAACTTGGGAGTTAATTGATTCCAAGTAATATTAACTCCTGAGTATCTGTTTTCTCGACTTAAGCCTCAGTTGCCCTTAATTCCTACCACCCCGAAAGCAGGGTCCTGACAAGAGACTGAATGGACCCAGGGCAAGCTTTGAGCTACCCTAGCATCAAAATGGGTCAGGCTAAGCACAATAATACTTATTTATAAGATAAGAGCACGGTCATGGACAAATTCTATCATGATCCAAAGAGTAACAATTGGATTAGGACCCTGCTAGGGTTAGGAAACATTAATCTGTCCTGAGCACTGTAGTCTGGGATCTATAGTGAGATGTCCTCAGGAGAGTCACCCTACAAGCTTAATGTATCTCTTACTGTGTTCATAAAAAATGACTAATATTAAGAAGTAGAATTAAGATGAATGTTTAAATGGTTGGGCTGGAGCAATAGCACAGCGGCAGGGCATTTGCTTTGCACACAGCCAACATGGCCGACCCGAGTTTGATTCCTCCGCCCCTCTCGGAGAGCCCGGCAAGCTACCGAGAGTATCTCGCCCGCACGGCAGAGCCTGGCAAGCTCCCCGTGACGTATTCGATATGCCAGACACAGTAACAACAAAGTCTCCAATGGAGACGTTACTGGGCCCACTCGAGCAAATCGATGAACAACGGGAGGACAGTGACAGTGACAGTTTAAATGGTTGTTGAACTAAGGAAAGGAGAAGCACACTGTAGGTGGTATTTTGCCCTTAAGTGAATCTCCTGGCTGCCGGAGAGGGCTGTGTGTGTGTGTGTGTGTGTGTGTGTGCGCTTTTTGGGTCACACCCGGTGATGCACAGGGATTACTCCTGGCTCTGCACTCAGGGATTACTCATGGCCTGGCGGTGCTTGGGGGGACTATATGGGATGGGATGCTGGGAATCGAACCCAGGTCGGTTGTGCGCAAGACAAATGCCCTACCCGCTGTGCTATCCCTCTGGCCCCAGAAAAGGCTCTTGCATGTGCTACTGGACCTAGGTATGGTTGCCACCCCGAATGCTTGGGAGGTTGGCACTAGATCAATGCCGTGAGATGGAGCACGGAGAGACTAGCATGGGGACAGGAGGAGACGGGAATGAGGGCCAGGGGAGACTGGAAGAGGGAACCGAGCGAGACTGGAACAGCGGGGTGGGGGGCGCGGAGAATGGAATAAGCAGCACCTGATCCCCAACCAGCCTGGCGGCCCTGTTCTCTCCTCGTCCATCTGTTGGCGGTGGCTGTAGACGGGTGGGGGTGGGGGAAGCGGCTCATGGCCAGTGACGCATGTGGCTGGCGAGAGAGACACACCACTGCCCACCAACCACTCGTTTATTTTGTGATCACACAGTAGGCCTTACTTAGTTATGTAAACTCCAAAATATATTGGCCCAGATTATCTCTTAATTTTTTTTTTTTTTTACTTTTTGGGTCACACCTGGCGATGCACAGGGGTTACTCCTGGCTCATGCACTCAAGAATCACTCCTGGCAGTGCTCAGGGGATTGTATGGGAGGCTGGGAATTGAACCTGGGTCTGCTGCGTGCAAGGCAAATGCCCTACCTACTGTGCTATGGCTCCAGCCACCCCCAAATTTTTTCAATTAAAAGTTTTATTCATGACACATAAGCCATGATTATTGCCATAATGAGATCCAAATATAAAATAAAACGTACTGCAATGTACTTTTTTTTTTTTTTTTTGCTTTTTTGGGTCACACCCGGCGATGCACAGGGGTTACTCCTGGCTCTGCACTCTGGCGGTGCTCAGGGGACCATATGCGATCCTGGGAATCGAACCCTGGTTGGCTACATGCAAGGCAAATGCCCTACCAGCTGTGCTATCTCTCCAGCCCTGCAAAGTACTTTAGACTCCAGAGTTGAAATGGAAATGAGAAGAAGCATTTTATTATATTGTATTCAGAGAGTTTACTTTTCTCATTTAAAAAAGATTAAAATCTTTTTAAACATAGATTAAAGCAGTTGTGGCCAGAGTGATAGTACAGCGGGTAGGGCATTTGCCTTGGGCAGGACTATATTGTCTGGCCCCCAATTATGGTGTTTTTTAAAAATAAATAAATAAATAAATAAATAAAGAGAAATTAGACTGGGGTTTGTCTTTTCTTTTTTGTGTGTCACACCCGGCAATGCTCAGGGGTTACTCCTGGCTCTGCACTCAGGAATTACTCCTGGCGGTGCTCAGGGGACCATATGGGATGCTGGGAACAGAACTGGGGGTCTGCTGCGTGCCAGGCAAATGCCTTCCCCTCTGTGCTATCGCTCTGGCCCCATCCCCTATTCTTCTTAAGTAGAGATATCTCATGGCCCGGGAGAGCCCAGGGCTTACTCCTGGCTCTGCGCTTAGGGATCATGCCTGGTGGAGCCCAGCGGACCCTGTGGGGTGCCAGAGCTAGAACCTGGGTCAGCTGCATGCGAGGCAAAGTGCCTTAACCCCGACACCCTTTTTCTTTCTTTACTTTTTGGAGCAGTTAGACATGGCATTGTGACGTGTTCCCTTCTTTTTGTTCCCACCACTCCTTTTGTTGTTATTTCTGCAGGCTCAGGGCACACTTGGTTGTGGTACTGGTGGGGGACACAACCTTTGGTATGGCAACAGGGATCCCCAATGACAGAACTACTGGCATCACCCTTGGGTGCATTGAGTGGTGCCAAACTCACAGTCTCACGCTTACAAGTTCTCTACCGCTGAGCTAAACTTGGGTTCATGGCACGCTGTACATGTTTTTTGTTTGTTTGGGGTCACATCTAGCAAAGCTCAGGACTTACTTCTGCTGTGTTCGCAGTGATCTCCCCTGGTGGTCGTGGGGACCATATTAGGGTGCCAAGATCAAACCTGGGTCAGTCATGTTTGAGTGAAACACCCTCCCCATCGTACTATAGCTCCGGCCCCCTCTCCAACATCATTTCTGGAAACTTTATTCTATCTCCGACAGCAAACAGTGGCCTGTCCTTGATTGATTTTTTTTTTTTTTTGCTTTCTGGGTCATACCTGGCGATGCTCAGGGGTTACTCCTGGCTCTGCACTCAGGAATTATTCCTGGCGGTACTCGGGGGACTATATGGGATGCTGGGGATTGAACTCAGGTCAGCCGTGTGCGAGGCAAACGCCCTACTTGCTGTGCCATCACTCCGGTTCCTTTGATCAATTTCTGACTCCTGTGCTAGCCCTTCATCCTCAGAATAAATCCACTTTGGTTAGGATATTTTGTTGTTTGTTTGGGGGCCAAACCTGGTGGTGCTCAGGGCTGAATTCTGGCTCTGCATTCAGGGTTCACCCCTGGCAGGGGACCCTATGGGATGCCGGGAATTGAACCCTGGTCAAGACAAATGCCCTTCCCTCTGTCCTATTGCTCCAGCCCTGGTCACTTCCCTTTATATATGTTACTGGCTTCCACTTCCCTGTATGTTTGGAGAATTTCCCCATGGATTCATGCAGAACACAGTCTAGCTTTCTGTACTCATACTCTCCTTATCTGACTTTGGTATGTGACTAAAGCAAGCTCCATATAGAGAGTTGGAAATATTTCCTTCCTCTGCAATTTTTTTTTGGGGGAAGACTTTTTTTATGGAAAGTTTGTCATCTTGGGCTACCCTGGTAGAGTTTGGGGGTATTTTCAGTGCTTCTAATCAATTAAGAGACAATGTGAGTGGGTCAGGGGATTAAACCAGGATGTAGCACATGTGAGGCAAGTGACTTGACCCCTGTTTTATCTCTCTGGCCCCCAGAAGGAGATTTTTTTGGGGTCACACCCAGAGATGCTCAGAGACTATTTCTGGCCCTGCAGTCAGGAATTACTCCTGGCGGTTCATGGGTGACCATATGGAACGCCTGGGATTAAACCCAGGTTGGCCGCTTGCAAGACAAATGCCCTACCCACTGTACTACCACTCTGCCCCCAAAGAGAGGTATTTTTAAAAAATATATATTTTTTTGTTTTTGAACCATGTCCTGCAATGCTCAGGGGTTACTCCTGGCTCTGCACTCAGGTACTACTCCTGGCAGTGCTTAGAGGACCCTATGGGATGGTAGGGATTGAACCTGGTTTGGTGCATGCAAGGTACCCTCTCCGCCGTACTATGGCTCTTGTCCCTGAGAGAGATTTTTTTTTCTTTTTGGGTCACACCCGGTGATGCACAGGGGTTACTCCTGGCTCATGCAATGAGGAATTACTTCTGGCAGTGCTTGGGGGACCACATGGGATGCTGGGAATCAAAGCCGGGTCTGCAGCGTGCAAGGCCAACGCCCTACCCCTGTTCTATTGCTCCAGCCCCAAGAAAGATTTTTTAAGTGATGTCTATTCTCCTTAAACCTTTTGTGGAATTCTACCATGGGTCCGATTTTTTTTTTTTTTAGTGGGGGTCAGGCATGCTGGGTGTTAAACCTCGGACATTGCACCAACAAGGCACTACTCAATGTCTGAATCACATCCAAGTTATTGTGTGTTTCTTCAGGCGTTTTAAAATGACAAATTCAGTGCCTGAGAGAGTACCTGGATTAAGACGCTTGACCCGTCTTGCACAGTAGACCCCAGCAGTTCAGTCCTGGAACCGCCTAGGGTCCTCTGGGCCCTGCTGGGAGTGTCCCTGAACACAAAGCCAGGAATAACCCCTGAACACTGCTGGGTGGGGGCTCTCAGACCAATAAAAGAATCAATTCAAGGTCGAGTGACATAGATCAGGCTAGAGCGTGTTAATGGCATGTATGAAGCACTGGGTTCAATTCTTGGCACCAAAAAAAAATTATTTGGGAACGAGGGAGGGGAATCGCAAATTCAATTGTTTTCCTATAGACAGAGCTAATTGACCCGATCTTTATATTTAGAGCACATAGTCGATTGCCTATGGAATCGATCTGAGTTGTGTGACTCAAAGTAATTTCTCTGCTGCCCAAATAATGAAGTTGATAAGCACATATGCCATAAAAGAGAGACCTGGTTGCCGAAAGGTCACAAAGTTAGTTTTAAGTGTATCTGTTGGGAGCACTAGGAAGATAGTAGCTGGATCTGTGAATGTGGGGTTAGCTGTAAGGGGTGGGGCACAGGGAGAGTCATCCCAAAGGAAATCCTGAGCTGGACATAAACAGAATTAATTCAGGTAAGGCAGCGAGGAGGGCGTTTTCCCTGCACACAGCCCACCTAGGTTCCATCGCCCGCATCCCTATAGGGTCCCCCTAAGCACCAAGCCAGGAGTAAACTCTGAGCACCGCTGGAGTGACACCCCTCTCCACCAAAGAGAGAGAGAAAGAGAGACAGAGAAAGAGAGACAGAGAGGCAGAGAGACAGACAGAATAATTCGTATTTGCCCAGCTCTGGCCTGAATTTTTTTTTTTTTTTGGTGGGTTGGAGCTCTGCAGCTGTGCTCAGGGCTTTCTCAGGGCTTTCTCCTGCCTGAACTCAGGAATCACTACTGGTAGGGGCTCAGGATCGATCCCCGTGCACGTATGACTGGGTGCTTTTTTGGGGGGGGGATTCACACCTGGCAATGCTCAGGGGTTACTCCTGGCTCTGCGCTCAGGAATCACTCCTGGCGGTGCTTGAGGGACCATATGGGATGCCAAGGCTCAAACCCAGGTTGGCAGCGTGCAAGGCAAACGCCCTACCCGCTGTACTCTAGCTCCGGCCCGGACTGGGTGCTGTACTATCTTTATACCTGACCCCTGGCCTGATCACTTGGAGGGTGTGTGTGTGCGTGTGCGTGTGTTTGTGTTTGTGCGTGTATGTATCACAAAAAGGACGGGCACTTGACTTTGGCGCTGGAGTTCTTTCTGGATGGGGCTCTTGTCTCAGTTCTCAACCAGGGATCCAGGCAAATCCCCCCTGGGCCGACTCTAGCTCGGGAGACTGGCATGTTGGGAGTTTTCAGCCTCACCCGCTACTGGGAGTTCCGACACTCCAGGAAGACGCTCTAAAGCCTCTGAGCAAAGGTCCTAAGATAGGAGGCCAGGGACAAAGGACTGCGCAGCAGGCCCCTCGCAGATCATCCCTCTGGACTCCGCCCACGTGCTCTGCGCACCGCGGAGGGCGGGCGGGGCTGCGGCCGCGGTCCGCGGGGCCGGGTGTGCTCTGATTGGCTTGCTGAGGCCAGCGCCTAGTACGGATTGGCTACTGGAAGGGAGAGTCGCTTCCTGGTCGGCGGAGCAAACGCTTAGCACTGATTGGCTGGAAGGCACCCGCTGCTTGTTGCCAATTGGACCAGGCCTGCTCGTCGCGCTCCGCTCCGGCCCAATCACAGAATCCGTCGAAGGCCGCGGGGAGAATGGAAGTTAACCCTTTAGAAACCGACGCGCGGCCTCCCTGGCCGAGGTCTGTGGCGCGCTCAAGAACGGTAGCGACGGGACTCAGTTTCCCCGCTTCTCCTGGCTCGCAGAGCTTCCCGCCGGCGGGGACATCTCCGATCTCCTGAAAGTCCGGCTCCAAGTGGTCACCTGCCTCCCAAGGATGGTGGCTCAGTGCCGGAGCGATCCCTACTGCGCGCGCCCGAGGCCTCAGTTTCCCCGCTCGCTCCAGCGGGCGAGCCCCCCACCCGCCCCCGGGCGGCAGCCAATAGCTGCCCCGTGGGGCGGAGCCGCGTCACGTGGCGGGAAGAAAGGGCCGGCGGCGAGCGGGGCGCGGGGTGTGGGGCGCGGGGCGCACGGGCATGGCTGGTAGGTCGGGTCCGAGCGGGGGCGGCGAGGCCCCGGGCGGGGTCTGGGCGGGCCGGGGCCGCGCACCCGGCTGCAGCCGTTTCGCTGTCCGCAGCTCCGGAGTCCCTGTCCCCGGCGGGCGGCGCGGGCGAGGAGGCGCCGGACGAGGACGAGGACGAGGCGGAGGCCGAGGAGCCTGAGCGGCCGGCGGGAACGGGCAGCGCGCGCGGCGGCGGCGGCGGCGGCGGCGGCGGCGGCGGCGGGGCCGGGGTCGGAGCCGGGGGCTGCAGCGGAGCCGGGAGCGCGCTCACGCGGCGCGCGGTCACTCTGCGGGTGCTCCTTAAAGATGCGCTGCTGGAGCCCGGCGCGGGGGTGCTGTCCATCTACTACCTGGTGAGCGGGCGCGCCCGTCTCCCGAGGCCCCGCGGCTGCCCAGGGAGGCGCGCTGGTGGAAGGGGAAATCGAGGCAGAGAGCGACCGAGGCTAGCTCGGGGCCCGTATGGCTGGGGAGGAGATTGTTCAGCGAACACTCCGTTGTAACAAAGGAGAAACTGAGGCGCGGGAAGGACCCCGCCGTGTCACCTCACTGAAACTTTCTTTTTTTAGTTTTTGGGTCACACCCGCCTGTGCCCAGGGCTTCCTCCTAGCTCTGCGCTCTGGCGGTGCTCTGGGGGCCCTATGCAGTGGCCGCGATCAAACCTGGATGGGCTAGCTCAACCCCCGGGTAATTTGGATACAGATTAGAGTGGACATACAGGTTCTGATAATCATCCATAATGGGACAACGGTGTCGAATGCTGGAGAGGCGGGGAGGGCTTCCTGGGAGACCTTTTTTTTTTTTTTTTTGCTTTTTGGGTCACACCTGGCGGTGCACAGGGGTTGCTCCTGGCTCTGCACTCAGGAGTTACTCCTGGCGGCGCTCAGGGGACCATATGGGATGCTGGGAATCGAACCCGGGTCGGCCGCGTGCAAGGCAAACGCCCTACCCGCTGTGCTATCTCTCCAGCCCCGCTGGGAGACTTTTTTGTTTGCTTGCTTTGATTTGGTTTGAGGATGAGTCACACCAGTGGACCTGGGTGAATCTAAGGGGACTGTGAGCGGCAGAGGGAGCAAACCTGTGGTCCCTCACACGCGAAGCACATACTCCAGCCCTTGGAACTGTGCTCTGGGGCCCTGGAAGAAGCGCCTTTGTAGGCATCAGATTTGGCTTCATCCGTTCTATCATTACTGTAGGGGAAGAAGTTCCTGGGGGACCTACAGCCCGATGGCAGGATTGTGTGGCAAGAGACAGGGCAGGTGTTTAACTCCCCCAGCGCCTGGGCCACCCACTGCAAGAAGCTCGTGAACCCAGCCAAGAAGTCGGGCTGTGGTTGGGCATCTGTCAAGTACAAGGGACAGAAACTGGACAAGTACAAGGCTGCCTGGCTCCGGCGACACCAGCCCCACGTGCCTGCAGCGGTCACCGATGAGGTGCGTCCGAAGCCACCCCTCCCGGGTTCTGTGGGAGAAGCAGGGGCTGACACTGAGGCTTTTCCAGGCCTGTGCCAGCAAGAGGGTGGGGCTTTGAAGGACGAGGGGGAGTCTGTTAGCCCACTGTCAAGAGAGCGGCTTTCTGAACAGGAATAGCCGTGTGGAAGAGATGGAGGCAAGCCTGGGCGGGTGGCTACAGCGCCGGGAGCCCGGGTGTCCTGCACAGGAAGCCCTGGGGTCGATTTTCACACAGAGGTGCTGGCATGGAGTGAGTTCGGTGCCTTAGGGGACGTTGATTGGCTGATACAGCTGGAGACAGAGAACCAATGGGAGGGAGGGGAGGAACATGAGCTCCTGGGACAATGTGGACCGGTCCAGGGGCAGGATGGGGCCTGGTGTGGGAGAAGATCCCTGGGGGGTATGCAGGAGAGAGTAGGTCGTGTAGGGCCTGGTGGGCACCTGATAGGGCTTGGATTTTGCCCCGGAAGTGGAGGTACTTAGCCAGCACTTCCGGCTTAGAAGGCGGGTCTGGACTCAGGGGTCACAGTGCTCTCTAGTGGCTGGTTCAGGTAAAACAGTCTGGAGGGGGTAGGATCGCAGAATACAAGGGACTCCCCAATTCCGGGTGGAGATGATGGAATGCAGAGTCTGGCCATTGAGAGGGGGAAGAAGTGGGTGATCCCTGAGGGTTCTTTTTTTTTGGTGTGTGTGTGTGGTATCATACCTACCAATGCTGGGGTGAGGAGCTTCTGGCTCAGTGCTCAGCAGACCATGTAGCTCAGACCCAGGACTCCCGCATGCAAGCATGAGCTCAGCCCCTGGTGGTTTTGAAAGTGAGGCTAATGGGAATTGCTAAGGGGCCCGATGTGGGGGCTAAGGAGAATTCGTTCTGAGCAAGTGGGGTGCTCAGGGCTGATGGGAGGGGAAGAGGAAGTTTGGCCACAACCGGACAACAAAGGCATAGGAGACGCCTGTCACTTCTCCACAGAGAGGTGGTCAGGGTGGCTGGACCCTGGGTCTTGGAGCTCGGTGGGGTATCAGGCCAATGACAGTCGGCATTGCTGGGGTGCCAGCTGGCGTTAGAGCCCAAGATGGACGAAGTGGCCTGGGAGGGGTGCCAGAGGGGGGAGAGGAGAGATCCGTGATCCTGCCCTGAGCAACGTGGGGAAACTTGGGGAACCCTTGAGGGGTGCCCAAGTGATTTGGGTGGACCCTGGCAGCGTCAAATGAGGAGTAGGAGGAAGACAGAGACTGAGACATGGCCATTGAGTTAGGACCAAAAGAAGTCACCTAGGCCCCGGGCAAATTTGAAGAGATCCAGAGGTTACAGGGGAATTTAGCGAAAAACAATCCAAGCTCTGACTGGTTTGCAGAGTGAGGCAGCGAGAGGCGGTGCTCACAGCTCTCCTTGCGCCCAGATGCCGCCCGTTCGGGATTGAAGGGCATTTTCCCCCAGGGTAGATTAGAGCTCGGAGAAAGTGGGGGGGCTGACCTGGTGACACAAATTTAGTTTCACAACAAAACCCAGAACCTCGGCTCACTCCCTCCCTCTAGCGGCCGCTCGGGGAACGGCAGGATCCTCCTAGCTGGAGGTCCGGGTGCATCTTCTGGGGGAGGCAGAGGGCACCCCAGCTGAGGGCCTTCCCCTCTCTCACTCACCACTTCAGAGCCCGGCTAGCGAAGGCGAGGAGGACGACTTACTGATGGAGGAGGAAGAGGAGGAGGTCCTGGCAGGGGTTTCAGCGGAAGAAAAGAGTCGGAGGGCTCCGTTGAAGGCGCCCCAGGAGTCCGCCCATCCTGGTGAGAGGCATGGGGCAAAGGTGCCCAGACTTGCCCCCAAGATTTCCTAGCCCCGCTGCGTAATTTCACTCTCGTCGCCTGACTTCTTACACTCCAGTGCTGGGGACCGGAGTTTGCCTTGCACACAGCCAGGCTGAGTTTGATTTGGCATCCCAGAGGGTCCTCTGACCCCCCGCCCCAAGAGGGAACCTTGACTATGGAGTTAGGAGGAAACACTGAGCACAATTGGGGATTCCTCCGCCCCCAGGTAAAAGAAAGAAATAACATATCTAAACTAAATTCCAGCCAGTGCTGCCTCTCTTGGTCCCACTGCCTGATTTGTTGTTGTTGTTGTCTGTTAGCTCTGCTCTCTGGTTTCCTGAGCCGATGATTCATCTCCTCTTCCTGATTTGCCAATCCATCGCTTGATTTCTTTCTATTTTTTTTCTTTTGTTGTGGGGGGTGAAGGGCGGGGGGAGTGGGACTGTACAACTCAGGGGCTGCTCCTGACTCTGTGCTCAGTAGTGACTCCTTTGCAGTTCTGGGGATAGAATGAGGATGGACCATGAGAAAGGCAAGCAGGCAAGCACCTTATCTCCTGGCTCTGTTGCCTGATTCTTTTTTTTTTTTGCATTTTGGGTCACACCCAGTGATGTTCAGGGGTTATTCCTGGCTCTGCATTCAGGAATTAATACTGGCATTACTTGGGGGACCATATGGGATCCAAGGATTGAACCTGGGTTGGCCGCGTGTAAGGCAAATGCCCTTTACTGCACCTCCAAGTTGCCTGATTTCTAAAGCTGACTTTGCCTGCCTTCCTTCCTTCCTTCCTCCCTTCCTTCCTTCCTTCCTTCCTTCCTCCTTCCTTCCTTCCTTCCTTCCTTCCTTCCTTCCTTCCTTCCTTCTTCCTGCCTTCCTGCCTTCCTTGGTTTTTGGACCACACCCAGTGATGCTCAGGGGTTACTCCTGTTTCTGTGCTCAGGAATTACTCCTGGCAATATTCAGGGGACCACATGGGATGCCGGGAATCGAACCCAGGTCAGCTGTATGCGAAGCAAACACCCTTCCCGTTGTACTATCGTTCCAGCCCCTCTCTCTTTCTCTATTTCTTTCCCTGGCAGTATTCAGGGTTTATACCTGACTCTGGGGACCCTATGTGGTGCCAGGAGTCAAACCTGGGTTGGCCGTGTTTGAGGCAAGAGCTCTCCCCACTGTGCTCCGGCTCCTGCTGTGGTTTTATTGTTTCTTGTACTTCCCCTTCCTGACTGTCCAGCGGTAGGTCGGTAGGTCGCAGGCCATGATGCTTCATTTCCTTTTCTTTCTGATTCCCCACCCGCACCCCGCCCCTCCTCCCCAGAGACGACACTCCCCGGGAAACGAGTGGAAAACAAGATCCGGGTACCTGTTCGCTACTGCATGTTGGGGAGCCGTGACTCGGCCAGGTAGGTAGATGGCAATGAATCTGTCCCCCAAGTCTGCCATCACCTCTGCCATGTGGACTAGCGGGGAGCAAGAACTGGGGTAAGGGCAAGACCTGAGATTCTCTTTGTTTTTCTTTTTGGGTCACACTTGGCTATGCACAGGGGTTAGTCCTGGCTCTGCACTCAGGAATTACTCCTGACGGTGCTTAGGGGACTATATGGGATTCTGGGAATCGAACCCGGGTTGGCCGCGTGCAAGGCAAACGCCCTCCCCACTGTACTATTGCTCCAGCCCCAAGAGCTGAGATTCTTAGGGCTGGCTGTGTGTGTGTGTGTGTGTGTGTGTGTGTGTGTGTAGTGGGGGAGTGGTGGTGGCTGAGGAGCCAGTTTGGGGGTGCAGGAGCATCCTGAGGTTTTCTGACTCACCTGCTTCTTTCAGGAACCCCCACACTCTCGTGGAAGTAACGTCCTTTGCGGCCATCAACAAGTTCCAGCCCTTCAATGTTGCCATGTCCAGCAATGTGCTGTTTCTGCTGGTGTGTGCTGGGGGAAGGGGCGCCTGCGCCTGCCCAGTGGGGTGGGGTTCCCAGAATGTAAGCTCCCCAAGGATAGGCACCGCGTTTACCCTGTCCACTGTTCTGAAACAGTAAGCATTTAACATTGGCAGCGCAAGGTTGAAGGGTGTGTGTGGCCACAGTCTGCAGGTACTGGGGACTTATTCCTGACTCTGTGCTCGGAGCGCCCCCTGGTGGTGATCAGGGGTTATTCCTGGCTCTGTGCTCAGGTGTGACCCCTGGTGGTGCTCAGGGTGCTTGAACTGGGGACTTGAAATGGGGCCAGTCGGGAAGCAAGGCCAGCACCTGACCCTCTGTACTCTCTCCGCCCTGCAGTACTCGGTGTTTGAAGGGAGGGGCCTGTTTCCTTATCTTGGAAAGAATCCTGGGAGCCCCCACCCCAGAACCTCTGTGTGTATGGGGGTGGGGCTGCTGGAAGCCTGAGACATTCTCCTGACGTCTCTCTCCATCCAGGACTTTCACAGCCACCTGACTCGCAGCGAGGTCGTGGGGTACCTGGGGGGACGCTGGGACATCAACAGCCAGAGTGGGTATTTGGGGATCAGTGGGCTGGGCGGGGAGCATTCAGGACCGCGGCTCATGCTCTTGCCTTCTTGCCTCCGTGCAGTGCTCACAGTGCTCAAGGCTTTCCCCTGTCGGAGCCGGCTGGGGGACGTGGACACGGCGGCCTCCACGGAAGAGGAGGTGAGGGGTGCTGCGTGACGCTTGCTGTGTGTGGGAGGGGGTCTGGCCCCCCACAGTTGACAGCTTAGCCACGGTGCAAACGTGAGCAACAGTGATTGCCTGCCCCAAGATCCCACGGTGAGGCTGCGGGCCTTGCACTTTCTGTGAGTGCGGCTAAGAGCCTGCTATTTGCAGCTATTCTGAGTGTTTAGGTTAACCAGAAGGGCAGACACTGTGCTGGAGGTGGTTCTGAGTGTGTATGTGAAGAGGTTCTAGCCGGGCGGGACCAAAGCTTTCGGGGAGGGGCCAAAGGCGGCGGGGGTGGGGCATGTGCAGGAGAGAGCCAATCAGTGAGTCAAGGCCAGTGTGGGTGTGGCCACATGCTAGGTATGTGTGGGCAAGACTGCATGGGGTGGCCCAGTTGCGGCTGATCTGGTAACCCAGCCAGTGCCAAGCTGGATGCGTGGAAGCAGGAGTGTGCCAGGAGCACCCAGGGACAGCGAAGGAATCTGGGTGCACCCGAACCCTCCCCTGCACCCTCCCTGCAGGCGCCGCACCCACCCAGTCGCACCTCTGCCCCCAGATATACCAGAGTCTCCTGCTGCGCGGCTTATCCCTCGTGGGCTGGTATCACAGCCACCCGCACAGCCCCGCGCTGCCATCGCTGCAGGACATCGATGCGCAAATGGATTACCAGCTGCGGCTGCAGGGATCCAGCAACGGCTTCCAGCCCTGCCTTGCCCTGCTCTGCTGTGAGTGCCGACGAGGGGAGCCGGGATGGGCATGTGGGAACACCGACACCCCCAGTCCGCCCTCTCTTGCTCTTCCCGCAGCTCCTTACTACTCTGGCAACCCGGGCCCGGAGTCCAAGATCGCGCCTTTCTGGGTGATGCCGCCCCCGGAGGTAGGCAGGGCCAGAAAGGGTGTGGGCGGGGTCTAGATGAAGTGGAGGCGGAGCTTAGAGGGAGTGTGGGCGGGGCCAGGGTGCCTGGGAGGACCACAGCGAGGGCAGGATCTACCCTGGGGGGCTTCGGTGACAATTCAAGGATGGAGCAAAGCCCTGGTAGGGTGCAGCCAGATCCCTGCCGGTGGAGTCAGGTTCTGGAGCCACTTCGGGGGGAGCCGAGGCCGGTCTCTGAATCTAGAAAGCTCCTGGAGTGAAGGGGTTGAAAAGGCAAGACAGGGACTGGAGATAGGACAACGGGGAGGGCGCTTGCTTTACACCCAGCTGACCCGGGTTCGATCCCCGGCATCCTGTATGGCCCCCAGTCCCCTCCTGAGAGATCCCTGCGTACAGAGTCCCGAGTAAGCCCTGAGCACCGCTGGGTGTGCTCCCCAGCGCCCCTCCCCGCCAAACACAAAAACAAAGAAAGAAAAGGCAGGACGGCCTCCTTTCCGAACTTGGCCAGGTCTCAGTTGCCAAGCCCATATTGGGATTAGAAATCAGCACTGTTTTCATTTGTTTTGGGGCCACACCCAGCGATGATCAGAGGTTACTCCTGGCTCTGCGCTCAGGAATCACTCCGGGCGTTGCTCAGGGGACGTATGTGGAATGCTGGGGATCAATATGGGTCAGCCACGTGCAAGGCCAGCGCCCTCCCTGCTGTAGTATCGCTCTGGCCCCAGAAATCAGCTTTGGAAAGAAATCTCAGGACCAGGTTTGCAGCTTCTCAGCCTCTTCTGTGTGAGGTGGGGGAGGGGGGAGGGCATGCCACCCGATCTTTCCTAGTGGCACCACAGGGTTCTGCGTAAGCCCCACGTGGCTCAGGACCCCTGATGGCAGAGTGGATAGATCTGGAGTCCACTTTTCTGGCTGTCCCCTACTGTCTGGCCATGTCCCTTACAGCAAAGGCCCAGCGATTATGGCATCCCCATGGACGTGGAGATGGCCTATGTCCAGGACAGCTTCCTGACTAATGACATTCTTCACGAGATGGTGAGTTGGAAGAGAGGCCCTCTCGCCACCACTGGGGCCCTGGGGTGGAGCCAGGCTCCCGGGGGCAGAGCCAGGTTCCTGGGGGTGGGGCCAAGGCCTTGGGGCGGAGCCAGACTCCTGGGGGTGGCGTCGGGCGGAGCCAGACTCCTGGGGCAGAGTGCTCTTCAGGGGCGGAGCCACGTAGGTGAAAGGTGACTGTGGCTCTGACTTCAAGTCCCTGCACCTGGCCTAGCCCCTCCCGCTTGGCCCAAGGGCTGCTCCAGAACTTGCTGGGGTCCTGACATAGGAGCCGGGATTACCCACTGCTGTGCAGTGAGGCTGGGCCCGCGTGGGTACCTGGGGCTCCATCTCCCGGGGGCTCCGTCAGACCCTGAAAGGAGGCTCAGAATGCCTCCCGCTGGAGCAGGCCCGACCTGGGGGTCCCACCTGCGCACCCCCCACCACCTAGATGCTGCTGGTGGACTTCTACAAGGGTGCCCCAGACCTCGTGCGGTTCCAGGAGCCCTGGGACCAGGAGCACAGCTACCTCGACAAGCTCAAGGTGAGGCACGCCCCGACCCCGCCGACAGCAGTGCCCCTCCGCTCGGCCCTCTTCGAGCTCTACAGCCCGTGGCACCCATCACGGCCGGGGGGGGGAGCGGGGGTCCTGGGCCCACTCGTTGGGGTGTGAAGTGGGCCTGCTGGGGGTTCCAGGCTGTGCACAAGAGTGGGGTCCTCTGGCTCACTGCCCCCCCCTACTCCGTGGGTGAGTATCTGGGCCCGGTTGCCTGTGACGTGGAGCTGGCTGATGTCCCACATGATGCGGCATGAATGGAGGTTTCTTGTTTAAAACAAAGAGGGGCGAGGGCACGCGCTGGAATATGACCCCCAAGTCCCAGGGCCAAGCCTCCAGCCAGGGGTGCTGTCAGCTCTGTGATGGGCTCCGCGGAGGCCACTGGCTGCACCCTGAGTTGTGGTCCCCACTTGTTTCAGATCTCGCTGGCCAGCAGGACGCCCAAGGACCAGGGCCTGTGCCATATGCTGGAGCAGGTGTATAGCACCCTCAGACAGGGTACCTGAGCCCCCGACCCCCACCCCACCCGGGGCTTCCTGTGGCCTGGAGACGCCCCAGCAATAAAGGAGAGGAGCAAAGAGCCCCCGCCCTTGTCTGACAGCAGAGCCTGGGGCGGGAGGGCACGGGGTTCTCTCCTGCACTGTGAGGATGGCTGACCCCCGAGACATGCATCTGGGGGACACACAGACTACCCCCCACCACAGAGCAGACAAGAGGCTGTGTACAAAGAGACATTTAATACTTTTTTTAAAAAACCAGGGTTACATGTCCATGGGCCCGAGGCCGCGCTGCTGTTGGGCCCCCCATAATGGCAATAAGCAAGGCCCCGAGTGAATGTCTGCGCTCCTGGGGGGGCTGCGGAATGTGAACCAGGCCCAAGACTCCCCCAGCAGTCAATGTTCGGAAAGGCAGAAGAGGGGAAGCAGGGGGTGGCCCTGAGCACCTCCCTGGGGCGTGGGGGGCCCCCAGGAATGGTTGCTCGGAGGCTGGGGGAAGGGCTCCTGTGCTTGACCTTCCAGAGTGGAGGCTGGTCCCGTGTGTGAGTGTGGAGTGTGTGTGTGTGTGTGTGTGTGTGTGTGTGCGCGTGTGTGCATGTGTGTGTGCGTGTGTGCATATCTGTGTGCTGTGTAACTGTGTGAGCATGTATGTGCGCTCAGGTGAGTGCAGCTGGTGCCAGAGGTTCCCTGTGCTTGGCTGGGGCTGGGGGTCCCCAGAGGGAGGGGGTGTGAGGGGACCTGTCCCGAGGGGCCCCCTGGCTGGTGGCAGTGGGGCCGAGGGCATCCGGAGCGGGGCACGGGGCCCATCGCCGGCAATGGGCAGGGACGGAGGTGGGGCGCCGCCGGGCCCAGGGCTCCCCGCAGCGGGCGAGGGGGGTGGCGGGGCGGAGGGGGTTAGTGTTTCTGAGAGCACCGTAGGGCGAGCCCTTGGCATGGGGGAGGGAGCGCCGCCCCACCCCGCATGTAAACAGGGCCCCCGCCGGGGCCAGCTGAGGAGTGAGGCGGTCACTGCGGAAGGGGCACGAGCACGTCCACGTAGCTGAGCGGGAAGAAGCCCGACTGGCCGTGCAGCATGCCCTCGTACCAGTTCTCGTCGATCTGGTTGGTGAGGGTGATGATGTCGCCCTCGCGGAAGCCCAGCTCCCCGGCGTTCTCGGGCTCGAAGTCATACAGGGCCTTGCAGCTCGGCTGGTCCAGGGGCGCTGCAGGGACGCATGGGTGGGTGAGGTCACTGGGTGCGGAGAACCGGGGCCCAGGAACCTCCCCGTGGGGCGGTGGTCACTCACGCATACTCCTGCTTGGGGCCCGGGCGGGCTTCTCGGACGACCGGAAAGACGAGGAGGCTGCGGGAGGACACACGGGGGGGTGTTGAGAGCCGGGGGCGCCCAGGCCGGCACGCGGGCTGAGGGGTCCCTCCCGACAGGTACCTGTGATCTTGGGGGCCGTGGAGGTGCAGGGGAAGCCCCCGTTGGCTTGCTCTGGCTCGCCCAGGTCGAAGGGCTCCCGGGGCCGCGGCTTGTACTCCCGTTTGGGGCGATTTGAAGCGTCTCGCATCCTGCGTGTGGGCGGGACCCGTGAGGTGCCCCCTCCAGCCCCTCACCCCAGCATCTGTGGGGACACAGCCTCTTCCCCCAGCAGAGGGCGCTCTGTGGCCTTGCTGCCCCCTAAAGGGCCATGCCTGGGCTCACCTCCGCTTCAACTTGTCCGCCAGCTCGTCCAGGATCTGCACGGCCTGCCTGTGGTAGTCCAGCTGGGCGTCCACCAGGGCAGAGAGCTGGCTCACCTGCTCGATCTGTGAGCAACCAGCAGGGCTGAAAGGACAGCCCCACGCCCCCTCCCCACCATGCCCATCTCTGAGATGCCTCCTGCAGGAAGTCCTCTGGGATTGTTCTAGCCACAGTTGAGTCTCTCCCTGTTCACCTCATCTCACTGCCCAAGAGAGGCTGAGGGGCCAACCGCTCCCCCACCAGCCAGCAGGGCCCTCCCTGGGCGTACGTCTGTCTCCAGGAGGTTGTGCATGCTGGTCTCGGCCACCTCCTTTGACTCCTCGAACTTCTCCATGGCCTGGCGCAGCTCCTCGTCGGCGATCTTGCCCTGGCGCTTCTTCTTGTAGTCGAAGTCCAGGCGGCGGCCCTCCAGCTTCTTCAGGTGGTGCTGGGGGCGCGGTGGGGGTGTTGGGTGCGGCCACATGCCCATGTTGGGGCGCAGGGGGCCCTGGGGCTGTGCCTGGAGGGGCGCATTGGTACCTGGATCTCCTTCAGGTCCTTGTCGCACAGGTTCTGGAGCGGGTCGATGAAGTTCTGCTTGACCTCGATGTCCAGGGAGTCCTTCACCTCGGCCAGGCGCTTCATGGACTCCCCTGCATCCAGCAGGGCGTCGCCTGCACAATCGGGGGGGGGGGGGGAGCAGGGCGGGAGGTGGGTGTGTGTGTGACCAGGTCACGTGAGACTTTGCTAGCTGGGTCGGGTTCCCCACCACCATTCTGCCCTGCCCAGAGCAAGGTGCGGGAGTGGGGGAGCCAGGTCCCCTCAGGTGGGGGGGTGGGGGTAAGGGGACAGCCCCTGTCAGCGCTGGGGGTGGTTCTGAGCCCTGCTGGGGCCTCACCGAAGTTGGACTCGCCGCCCAGCTCCTTGCCGTGGCGGAGCATGCACTCGCCCAGCAGCCCCTCGGACTGCGGGTAGCCGGGGTTCTTCACCTGCCCACGGATCTTCGACACCGTGTTCAGCATGGTCAGCTTGGCCCGCGAGGCTGCAGCAGGGTCGGGGGGGGAGGGCGGTGAGCGGGGTGGGTGGTGCCTCCCCCTCTGCCCAGGAGACCCCAGTGCATTCGGCCCGGCACATGGCGCAAGGGAGACGGGAGCACCCCGTCTTGAGCTGGGAGGATGATTTCAGCCTAAGCCTGGCTGGCCCCCCAAAGGGAAGAGCTGGCAGGAAAGGAAACCCACAGCCCAAGAGCGAGCTCCTGGATCCAGCTGCTCCTGCAGGCCGCCTCGCCCTGGGGACTTCAGTTCGAGAGCCCCTCGCTTCAGGCCCCGGCCACAGGCAGACTGCTGGACTTGAGGGCGGCTGGTGCCCCTTACCTGGGTTGGGCTGCAGGTATTCAATGGTCCGGGCCAGCACTTCGGTCACAGCCTTGCTGGTGACATCCACTTTCTGCCAAGAGAGGCGGGGTGTGGGGGCGCCCAACTGCTTGCAGCCCACCCGCTGCCCCCTTGCTGTGCCCTTCCCCTTCTTAAGCTGGCTGGGGGAGGGGGGGTCCACACGCACCACCCTCACCTTCTCCATCTCTTTGAAGTCATCGTCCAGTTTGGTCCCTTCAGCCCCGCCGACCTTCTCGCTGACCAGCTGAGGGGCAGGGCAGAGGACATGAGCGGGCAAGGGTGGAGGACAAAAGGGGTAGGGGGCAGGATGGGTGTTCTGGGAACATGCCAGCAGGCCTCGGGGTGCTCAGTGAAGCCCCCCAGACTCCTGTGAGGCAGTGAGCACAGCTTGCCCATCCTGGAGGGGCTCCGCTGACTGAGCAGGGGGCAACACGTGCCCCCTGCTCTCGCCTCTCACCCCTCCTGTGAGTGTGTGGGGTGCAGTCATGGCCCCAGAGCAGCCCCAAGACACAAGCCTGGTCGCCCCTGGGTGGGGGGACCCCAATGCCAGGGCCAGTCGTGTGGGTGGGCAGCAGGCGCTGAGGGCGCTGAGGCGCACCCGGGGCCCTGCCAGCTGGTAGAGTGGAATTTCTGGTGCCACTGGCCAGGGCCCAGTGTGTAACTTAGCTTGGCGCTGGGAGGAGTCTCAGGGCAAGGCCCCCACTCGGCACCCTTTCTCTCCCAACGATCTCGGTAGGGACTACACACCCTCAAAACACATTTCCTAGGGGCCCCTGAGAGGCGAACGGGGGGGCCCTGTGTCTGCACTCCGCCCTCCTGTGGGCACAGACTGGCTGCCCTCCCCAAAGGGCATCAGGCTCGCCTGCTGTAGAATGGGGTGCTGGAGCCCGGGAAGGTGGCACGGGCCTTAGGGTGGGGTCCTTGGCCCCGGGCAGCCCAACTTGCGGCTGGGAACGAGGTGTCATCACAACAGAAGGGGAAGGCGAGGGGGCCCTCGCAGACCCCCTGTCGGGCACCAGCTCTGGGGGCTGGGGGGATGCAGGTAAAAAGGAAACCCCCGTGGGAGGTGAGACCTCAGGGCGGCTCTCCCCCCAGAGGAAGGAGCTTTGGGGAGCACTTCGTGTGAACCCCACCGCAGTTTCACTTCTTTTGATGCTGCTGGGACAGGACGTTCGGTGGCTGCCAAGGGGGAAATGAGCAGCCGCTGCCGTGCGCCGCGCCCACTGGCACCCCCAACCGTGCCTTCCGGCCAGACCCCCCCCACACCCTACGGACGTGCTCCATGGTGGGTGGCATGCCAAGGAAGCTCCAGCAGCAGGCCAGGCTCCCTGGGGGCGGCGTGGAAATCTTGGGGTCCCCATGTCCCTTCCCCGAGGAGGGGACACCAAGGCAGGCGCTGCTGACCGCGTCCTCCCCTACTGCTGCTCTCCTGGGGCACGGGGGCACTGGGCCAGGGCAAAGCCTGAGTCAAAGGCTGTGGGCGCACAATGGGGGCCTTTGTGGAATCTCCCCAGCTCTGCCCACCCAGGCCACTGAGAGGTGGCTGAGGGGGCGCTGGGCAGTGGGGCTGGGGGCTGAGGCCTGAAATACACCATGGGGGGGTCACTTTGATTGGGCTCTGTACCAGGGGACCGCACAGTGTGGCTCGGGGTCCCGCATCCCGGAACTTCCAGGGCTGCCCCATGATGAATGTGTAGGGAGCTGAGTTCGGGGAGCACCCCCTATCCTGGAGGTTCCTGGGGGCCCCTTCATGTCAATCCAGGCCCTACTCTAGCCTTTCTCTCTGAATCCACCCCCCACCCAGACTGACTCCTCTCTCCCCCACACTATGAGCATTTTTTCAATTTCAGCCCCACCCTGGGGCAGTGCTCAGGGGACCCATGCGGTGCCAGGGATCGAACCAGGAAGCCCTGCAGATTCCAGTCCTCTGACTACCCCCCAAGTTTCTTTTTTTCTTTTTCTTTTTGCTTTTTTGGATCACACCCAGCGATGCACAGGGGTTACTCTTGGCTCTGCACCCAGGAATCTCTCCTGGCGGTGCTTAAGGGACCATATGGGATGCTGGGAATCAAACCCCTGATTGGCTGCATGCAAGGCAAACGTTTGCCCTACCTGCTGTGCTATCGCTCCAGCTCCGCCCCCCCCCAAGTTTCTTTTCCTTCCATTTCATGCGGCTGGGGGTCCAGGCTGGGGTGGGGGCTGAGACACAAGGCAAGTGCTGTCTGCAGAGTCTCCTCTTATTTGGGGGATGCCTGTGCCTTGCCCCCCCAAAGCTGCAAGTGCCAGGATGTGGGCGTGAGTAAGCAGAGGTCCACCCCCCCCCCCCCCCCCGCCCGCCCTTCCCCTCACACCCTGGGATCCCTGGCCCGCCGTCCCACCCACGCCTGCATGACAGGCTAAGAGGGGCTGTCATGAGCAGCAGTGCTGCGTGGGGGCGGGCGGCAGCAGAGAGCAGCGCCCGGGGGCGGGACCGTCGTTACCCTGGAGCCCCCACAAATTCCGTCTGCGTGTGCTGGCCCCGGGTCTGAATCCTGAGGTCCCACCCGGGAAAGGGGCCATGCTGCCAAGTGCGGGGGTGCGGGACAAAGACTCTGACATGGGGACAAAGAACACGTGGAGGCACCGCCCCGGCCCGATTCATCAGGGTGCGCACTTAGCCACAGGGTGGCAGCTGCACCGGGTCCGATCGGATCGAATCGAATCACCTGGGGTGGCGGGGGCCTGGAAAGCAGCCGCAGGGCTGGTAACAGAACCCACTCACGGGGATGGAAAACGGGCCAGTGCTGTGTGGCCTTGGGGGCCAAATCTCAAGTTGGCGCTGATGAATTCCGGTTTAGGGGAACGTGTGTGTGGAAGGGGGCGGTAGGGCTGCAGGGCCTCGTCCTGTGGACACACAGTCACGCTCTTGGCAGCCGCGAGCCTCCTGAGGCGGAGGACCCCTCCCCCAAGTAGGCTCCCCTTCCTTGTCCTGGAGACAAAGTCCCAGCTTGGGCCGCAAGGCGGGGGTCTGGGCGGCTCAGAACACAGAGAGCAAGGGTCAGAGAGGCAGTCTGCTGCTGACGCAGGTGCCCTGCAAGCAGCTGACCAGGATTCAGCACCCACCAGGTGTGACCCCTGAGCCCAGAGCTGGAAGTCCCGAGCACAGACAGGTTTGGCTCAGAAACAAAGAACAAGACCACGAGAGTGAGGCTGCGAGTTCAAACCCGGGGGTGCTGCTATAGGGTGGCTCTGCCAGCCCCGGCACCCCGGACAGCATCATGTGGGGTCTGGGGCGCTGGCACTGGTGGCCAGCTGGGAGCAGGCAGGAGTCACGGTGGGCTCGAGGCAGTCAGGGATGGGGAGAGCAGGGATGGCTCTTCTTGCCCCCCTGGGGTGCCAGGGAGGACCGGCCAGTTCCCAGAGCCCTGTTATGGGAAGGGGGCGCCCGGGGCCGACCTAGTCGACCTAGTTGGACAAGCAGGGAGGAGGCTGCAGCGGCGCGATCCGGGGCAGGGCTGGCACATTCCTGAGCTGGGGTGATGGCATGTGAGAGCAAAGGAGGTGGGAGGGAGGGCGATGCTTTAAATCAAATCCTGCCCAGCTGTGGCCTCTGGCCATCTGCAAGGCCTGGGGCCAAGTGCCCGGACAGCTCGGCTGTTTCCACACTTCGAGAATGTCCACTGGATGGACAGCCCAGCCATTTCCCATGGCCCGCCTAGGGGGTGCAGGCACACGCACCCCATGGCACCCCAGCTGGGCTCTGAAGTGAGCCAGCCCGGCTTCTAGGAAGGGAGCACGTCCCTCCCCCCACCCCTCTGTGGCCCTGGGATACTGGGACAAAGCACTAGCAGTGGGAGGGAGGGGGCTGGAGAGGACTCAGGCCTCAAATTCACATACTACCGCCCCGCCCCCATCAGAACTGTGGCCTAGCAGACAGAAGCCACCTGAGTGGCCCGGTCCTGGGTAAATAAATATTTTTGCGTAGAGGACCAGAGTCGGCGGCTGCCCTTTGTACAAGTCAGGCGGGACAGAAGAGCCGCGCAAGTCGGGAGTGGGTGGTGAGGGTGGAGAGGGTGTGATTGCCAGACGCCTGCCCCCACCCCCGCCCCCTGCAGATCAAAGCAGGGCTGGAAGGTGATAGGGTGATGCTGTGCCTAACCACCCAGCCCGGGAGGCCCTGGCCACTGCCCAGGCCTGGGAATGGAGGTGGGCGGTGGGGAGACACGACAGGACAGGGAGAGCCCTAGACTCAGCTCCATGGTCAAATCCCAGGCTCCAGGGACACTGTTCCTCAGGTCCCTCCCACTAGGGTTACAGGGACCCACCAGTGCTGAGATCTCGTGGGAACCATGTCCTTGTTGGGGAGACCCCAGGTTTTCATCCCAGCTCCCCGCCGGCACTCCCTGGAAATTAGCAGGCATCCTCTCTGAGCACCCCCAGCTCACTCGCGGGAGGGTCGACTGGGCTTCTGGTTCCCCATCTAGAACCTTCCGCCCACCCCTTCTTCAGTCCTCAGTTCTTTCCAGCCCAAGACCGAGGACCTGCTGGACATCTTGGTGGCCCCGCCTGGGTCACACAGGTCCCTGTCCCAGCGCCCACTGGGGACAGTCCCAGCTGCAAGACACAAAGGCAGGACCAGCCCGGTCAGTAGGAAGGGCTGCCCTCCCTCTCTCCGCTCCCCGCAGGTGACTCAGCAGTCTTGGAAATGGGGTGACGAGGAACCTGAGGTCCACGTGCCAGTGACTGGGCAGCCCAACCCTGCCCCTCCAGAGCATGTGATGACGCTCCTCCAATGCACAGCAACTACACGACTTCACCCTTTACACAGGGTGACTGGGCAGGCCCCGCCCCTCAGGGGGTCCCCAGCGCTGGCCTAAGGTCAAGGAGGTCCTGTCCCCTAGAGCAAGCATCTGAGCTTCCAAGAACGGCACCCCCTTTCAGGGGGCGCCCCGGTTCCCTGACTGGCCCCCTTTTGCTTTTTGGGTCATACCCGGCGATGCTCAGGGATTACTCCTGGCTCTGCGCTCAGGAATTATCCCTGGTGGTGCTCGGGGGACCATATGGAATGCTGGGAATCAAACCTGGGTCAACCGCATGCAAGGCAAGTGCCCTACCCGCTGTGGTATCACTCCAGCCCTGGCTGGCCCCTTATATGCGGTGGGAAGCAGGCCTGTGGGCAGCTTGTGGGGGCGCTCAGGTAGGAGTGATGAGGGCTGTGGGCTGTGGGCCCCATAGGGCCTGTTCACCTGCCCTATGGTGCTTGGT